ATGTCTGGAATACTGCGAGTGTTCCTTTTTCATCGTAATTACATCTACAATAGTCACTCATAATGTTGAAGATTTCCTGCATTATCATCATCGTCATAATACAGCCATTATTTCATCATCATCATCACTATTACCATTCAGTAAGGACACTTTTTTTTTTGGTCTCGAAATTTGAATTTTTTTACATTTAGCCCCGTTGGGGGGGGGGGGGGTAAGGTCACCTTTTTCAGGTCAGCCATTGCCATACATTTTTTTTTTTTTTTTTAAATTAAAAAAAAAATTACAAAGGGGGGGGGGGGTCCTCCAAAATACACACATAAACAAAACTGAAGGGGGGGGGGGGTTCAACCCCAACCCCCCTCCCTGCGTACGCGCCTGACCACCATTATCATTACCATGATTTGTATTCTTGTGAAGCTTCTTTTTTATCGTCGGCAGAACAAAGGCTGACTAAAGGGGTTTCGCTTTAGGGAAATGAAGCAAGTTTGTATACAAACATTCCTTTACTAATGAGCATTTCAACCAGAGAGGAAGATCGGTTTCATTCGAGATCAAGTAAATAACTTATCATGGAAGATTCAGAATACACGTATAAGCAATGTCGTGAATAACCGAAACATGTTCTTTTGCGATCTAATCAGATATTTTCCTTCATATTTACAAATATTAAATATGATACATAATTATGACACATTAAATATACATTAAGTGTACCCTGTAAATATGGAACGTGTACTTTTTTCGACTAATAATGGGTATTTTTCTAATGTGACCCCCCCCCCCCTCGTTCCAAGCTGGTATAGCGACGCTCTTTTTTTACTTTCTTTTTGTTAATTGTTGATATTTCAACGTACCTTAACAAAAATGTTAGCGTTTCAAACCCTTCTTTGCATATGTACGCAATAAGATGAAATTAAGTTTCCCAACGGCACTACACATTTATGTAGGCCTTCATTATAAAATTGTGTAGGTTAGAATATCGAGGCGAAATTTTTCTTAAAAAAGGACTAGGTAAAAGATCCTATTGATAAAGATCCCAAATAAGAGAGTTTGTTGAGTTTATAGGTAAGATGGCGTGGAAGCGACAAATACCAATAGTTCCTCGTTTCTCTGCCTTTCACTTTAAATCCCTTCGGAATTGTGAAAAAGCTCTCAGGCTTTTCGGGACAATGGGTGCTTGACAATTCGAAATTACCTCCCTCTTCTGGTAATGTACTTCTTGATATTTCAATTGTATATGTGTAAATAGGAGTACTTTTAATTGGTGAGAAAACCTTAAAGGCTGCTCTGTTTGAAAATTGGATCAGTAAGGATGCGCCCTGGGGATTAAAACCTCAATTATAGTGCAGGAGTATTCTAAAGTCTGATCAAAATATTTTCGTTGATGTTTTCACGGTGTTTTCTTTCTGGAGAATCCGGGCCTGTTTTCTTTGACACCTCTCAGCGAAGATTTCAAATCGGATCGTAAACTGTGGTCTCATATCTACAATAGATATCTAACCATGTAAGAAATAATTAAAATACATGGACAATGTCTGGAATACTGCGAGTGTTCCTTTTTCATCGTAATTACATCTACAATAGTCACTCATAATGTTGAAGATTTCCTGCATTATCATCATCGTCATAATACAGCCATTATTTCATCATCATCAACTTCACATCCATCATCATCATCATCATCATCACTATCACCATTCATTGTCATCATCATCACTATCACCATTCATTGTCATTATCATCACCAGTTCACCACCATTATCATTATCAATATCATCATCATAATCATTATCATCATCAACACTATCACCATTCATTATCATCATCATCACTATCACCATTCATTGTCATCATCATCATCATCACTATCACCATTCATTATCATCATCATCACTATCACCATTCATTGTCATCATCATCACTATCACCATTCATCATCATCATCATCACTATCACCATTCATTGTCATCATCATCATCATCACTATCACCATTCATTATCATCATCATCACTATCACCATTCATTGTCATCATCATCATCATCACTATCACCATTCATTGTCATCATCATCATCATCACTATCACCATTCATTATCATCATCATCATCATCACTATCACCATTCATTGTCATCATCATCATCATCACTATCACCATTCATTATCATCATCATCATCATCACTATCACCATTCATTGTCATTATCATCACCAGTTCACCACCATTATCATTATCAATATCATCATCATAATCATTATCATCATCAACACTATCACCATTCATTGTCATTATCATCACTATCACCATTCATTGTCATCATCATCACTATCACCATTCATTGTCATCATCATCATCATCACTATCACCATTCATTGTCATTATCATCACCAGTTCACCACCATTATCATTATAAATATCATCATCATAATCATTATCATCATCAACACTATCATCATCACTATCATCATCTTTGGGTTGTAACCTTTAAAGGTACTATGTCCCACTTGCAGGCCAACAAATGAAAAGGTTAAATTCCAACGGCAGTGGGAAAATTATGACTATTAGTTGTCGAATCGACTTGAGAGCTATAGAGCCAGTAAGTAATAGTCTGATTTTCAGACCATTGTACCGAATGGTCGTACGTTTTATGCTGCGTAAAGATTCAATCAGTTTAATTTTGGCCATTACAAGAATTCGGTTAGAATGTAGACAAATGCTCATGTACCCTTTACAGCTCATTATATGTAGTATGTTATTACCAAAGAAGAAAAAAGGCCAGTCAGTCACTCAATAGTGTCTGACAGTAAAGTCTAGCAAGTAAACAGGTTTCCTTGCATAATTTGAATATTAGGACACTGCTAACGTCTAAATTTCACAGGTAGGACATACATGACATATTCATAATTCCTGCAAAGTTCTACATAATTTGATGTTGGCTACAAAAGGGACATAGTATCTTTAACACCATGAGTACCAAGTTGCAGCAAGGTACTTGTCTGCTGTGAAGTTCATCATGAGATCATAGACATACACCTTATATTCTTTAGTCTGTTAATGATTAAATTTTTTTGAGAGCATACTTAGACATAAAGACTGAAGCATTAGTGTATTTTGGTATTTTATTAGCACATAATACATGTATATTCAATATTTTACAGGTGTGATGAAACATTACTTTGCACGTCCGCTAAAAATTTTGTGACACTGATTTAATCAATTGAGATATAACTTCAGTTGATGGGCTATTCATGTAGTTGTATGATGAAGAAAACATCAGTAACAACATAAATGCAGTAAATTAATCAACATTGAAATGATGAAAAAAAAAAAAATTATAGAAGAGCTTCAAGTTCATAAGGTAAACAATAAGCTGTATTCCATTCACTTGTAGTTAAAACGTGCCACTGAATCATGTTTTTGTAAGGTTCCGATGAAAATAAATATTGACTAATTACTAGTAAAACGATAAAAAGATCTATGTCATCACATTCATGATATAGATTGAGATAATTCTAAGCAAAGAATGGGAAGCTAACTATTTAGAAGAACATTGCACCATTATATCATATAAGTGTTACAGTTGTAAAAGTCATCAGCATTTAATCTGAGCATCTAAGTTAGTACAGAAAATTATTATAACTGAGTTTAAGTAGTACCAGTATATTTCCAACCATATTTCATGACATAGAGGAGGGGTGTTGTAAAATGAAGATAGAAGAAAATAGATCTCTGTAAGACAACAATGTAAATTACAATAACACTGGCTTATAGACTGACCATTTCAGTGGTTTGGTTTGATGACGTGAAGCAACCTGGCAGTTTCTGTCACACCAACATCCAATGATCATACACAAGATCAACTACTTTACAAGAGAAATTCCTTTACAGTCATTATAATTTTCATTATAATTGATGTTTAAAGAGCAATAACTTTCTATTCAAGGGACCAATTTTATGTCCAAAAAGACATTTCATAGCTTATGAGTTGTCGCAGATAATAACATAAAAGATTGATACATTTACTGGGATCAAAGACTGTAAAAAAAAAAAAAAAAAAAAAAAAAAACTTGCTTCTATATATATATATATATATATCAAAAAAATTATCAATGTCACTCCAAAACGACTATTGCATCATGTTTTAGAACATATGTTTTTAAAGTCCTCTCTAAATCTTGGGTGTAAGCTACTGGTAGCATATAAAATATGATTGGCATACATGTATATAGAGTCTTTGAAAGAAGATTTTCATAGCATATGTTTCAATACAATGTCATCCTATATTTCAACTGAATATCTGTTCAACAAAATATTCTGAGGATTAATATCAAATCAAAATCATTTGTGTTTCAGTAATGCTATGGCAGATCAACTGATTGACATATTATAATATATCGCGTAATCAGCTACCTCAGATTATCATCTTAAATATCTTCTACCTTTCAAAAGTTAAATACACGAATGATAAATTACAAAAAGCTATATTATAATTAATATCGTTACTATGCTAAGAAAACAAAGTCTTTGTTTCCAAGGCTTGTTTTCTTCCTTGCAGTTTGGTTTAAACCAACCCATCTTAAGAAATTACTGCAATAAAAATATTAATGGGGAGAATCAGTATATTGCCTCGTTCTCTTAGTCACAACTTAACTTCTGAAACTGGGGATTACAAGCAAGAAGATTAGGTAACTAACAGAAGTTGTAATCTATTGGGCTGCCTGCCCCAGAGGAGCTTGAGTGCAATCAGACTCATGATGGCAGTATGCATGTTGCATTATTGACCTGGGGGTGTTTCACAAAGATTCCAAGTCAAACTTATCTCTAAGTTGGACTTAACATTTATGGAAAGCCATTAGAATCTTTGAAAATATTTTGTAAAAGTTATTTTCAAAGGCATAAAATGTTGATTCAAATCATTCATATTTTCTATTGTCAAGGAGATTTCATGTTTTTAATGCAGAATTTATGAAAAGTCTAAAATACTGAGGTATTTCCTTTGGATTTATTTTATTTTAAGGCTACAAATGGCTCTCCATAGCTTTTAAGTCCAACTTAAAGTTAAGTTCAACTTAGGATCTTTGTGAAACACCCCCAGATGATGAACTTTAAACCTTGCACTCCTAGATGGACATCAAGACATGAGGTGCCTTATCACGGGATCTTTACTCATATTACAGTCCTCGTTGACAGATCTAAGTTACATCTCTACCTACACATGTAAGAATGGACAATAATGGTCACTCCAGGATTCTTGCCAGTGGATAAAATACTTGGTGCAACAACTAAGCGTGGCTGATTTCAGACTAAAAAACCAAGGGCACATTCTGTCCATGGACCTACTAGGGCTATGGTCTGACATAGGTAGCAACAAGGGTAACGACTATGTCAACTCGTACTTAAACATGTTTTGGTCTTTCAATACAGCCCCATGGGATTTTGAGAGGCCAATTTCATTCAATTTTGACCAAAAGGGTGTACAAAATGCCCTTGTGAGAAACCACTGTGACTTCAGGGGGGCATTTCACAAAGCCCTTTTCAATGACAAATGACAAAAATCAGTGAAAAATCTGCTGATAACCAATCAGAGGCAAGGATTTCAGTAGATTTTAACAAAAACTATCATTTGTCACTGATGACAAGTTTTGTGAAACACCCCCCTGATCAGCTTCACTGGAAAGATGTATCCTCTGTGAATCCTCCAGCTAGTCTGAAGTCATCGTCCAGTAGAACACAGTACATCCTCTGGGGCGTCGGTCTGGAATAGGGTGCTGGGCGTGGCTTGAGATCAGCTTCACTGGAAAGATGTATCCTCTGTGAATCCTCCAGCGAGTCTGAAATCATCGTCCAGTAGAACACAGTACATCCTCTGGGGCGTCGGCCTGGAGTAGGATGCTGGGTGTCGGCCTGGAGGAGGGTGCAGGGCGTGGCTTGAGATCAACTTCACTGGAAAGATGTATCCTCTGTGAATCCTCCAGTGAGTCTGAAATCATCGTCCAGTAGAACACAGTACATCCTCTGGGGCGTCGGCCTGGAGTAGGGTGCAGGGCGTGGCTTGAGATCAGCTTCACTGGAAAGATGTATCCTCTGTGAATCCTCCAGCTAGTCTAAAGTTATCGTCCAGTAGAACACAGTACATCCTCCGGGGCGTCGGCCTGGAGTAAGGTGCAGGGCGTGGCTTGAGATCAGCTTCACTGGAAAGATGTATCCTCTGTGAATCCTCCAGCTAGTCTGAAATCATCGTCCAGTAGAACACAGTACATCCTCTGGGGCGTCGGCCTGGAGTAGGGTGCAGGGCGTGGCACCATGCTGCGGAGGATGAACTCTCTACCAGCTGGACGAGGGAAGTCTGGAACCGATGATGAGGATCCACCGGTCTTCTCCTTCTCTAAGATGGTCAGTGCTGAGTAGCTTTCACCGTTGCTGGCTTCCTGGTCAGATGATCCATCAGTTAACATGTGTGCAGACTGAAAGAACAAAGGTCAATATTGGTTACAAAAACATCAACAGATGGAGGAAGGAATTCAAACTTTTCTTTTTATCATTCAGTTCTACATATTCAATAAACACTTAAAGTCCCAACAAAAAAACACATAAATGTAAATTCTATAATATAAATAACCAATAAGATATGGGGTTTGGGAAAAGAGTTTAGACTTTTGTGGCATAGAAAGTATAGAGAAAATGTCTACTTATAATCACAAGGTGAGCTGGAGATATATGCATAAAACGTAAAGAACAATTATCCTAAATTTGTCTATCTTATAAAAGCGTGATTTAAAACCATCATATCAATGATAATAACCATCTGCTTCACTTGCTCCCACTAATTTAATAGGTGGCTTACACTTGAAAACTAACAAATTAAAAACAACATTTGCCATACTGAAAACATGTAAAATGTTATCTAAGCAGAGATGATTGGACTAACCCGTTGAGCCGCACTGTAGAGTTTATGAATAATGCCTCCCACTACACCCCTCCCAGCCTTGTGTACAAACACCTCCGGTTGCTCCTGTAGTTTGGTCACAAACTCCTCCAGTTCCTGCACAGCAGCATGGCTAAGATGGTCTGCTCCACTCTCATTAGAGGGGAGGAACTTAGCTCGGAGGGACTGGTCTCTGGCGATAATGACTTCTACAAGCCCAACCTGCTTGACTATCTCCTGTGGCAGAAAGAAAAACAAAAATGAGGAAACAATTCAGAGATTATAAAGGTTGTGAGCATAACATTATGTGTTTATAGGTGATGAGATACGTGCCATTTACATTTTGCATGCATTTCACTGCAACATTGAACCTATAAATCTGGTAATTCAATACCGGTACCTGCATTAACAAATGCAGAGCAGTCAGGTATAAAGATAGCATATTTTATATTTCTTTCTAAAATCATACCTATATTGTGGAAACCAATAAACTATATATCTATCTGTCTATATCTTTGTATTCCCAATGATGAGTTTTCAATCATGGGCAGGTGAATTAAAGCGGGGGGGGGGGGGGGGGGGGGGGGGGGGGGGGGGGGGAATATTGGCCTATTGAAAAATATCAATGTCCAGAAAAGCAAGGTAAACATGCTTCTCTGCATCCCTCTTGATGAACACTAACCTCATATTTCTTGATATCCTGAACAGGAGCTCTTGTCATCCTTGATGCTGTGTTCAGAAGCTGAGGAAAATGAGGCTTCAAAGATGGCACTTTCTCTGCACCTAGAAATGACAACAAAAACAACAAATGTTTTCTATTCCCAGGAAGTAGGGGTTGAGGTTGTCATGTAGAGAGGTAATACATTTATCAATCAAAACCCTGATAATTCATTAAGATAATTGTTATAATTGTGATCATGAAGAATGCTGTTCTCCCTACCATTATCTACACCATCATCTTCACCAAAAGTAACATCATAATAGCTAGCAGCATTATTATTACTATCATCAACACCACCCCATCATATATATAAGAAAATTCTGGTATTCATCATCACCACTACCATCATCATCGCTGTCACAATTCTCCTCCTGCTCCTCGGCGTACCCCCTCATCAACATTATTATCATCATCATCATCATCACCACCATCATCCCCATCACCATCATCATCATCATCATCATCATCACCACCACAATTCTCCTCCTCCTCCTCCTCATCTCCACCATCTCCACCATCATGTCACCACCACCACCACCACCACCCCCCCACCACCACCACCACCACCACCACCACCACCACCACCACCACCACCACCATACCTGCTTTTTCGAGTCTCTGCAGAGCTGCGTGCACCAGGACCGAAGGAGATGCAAGACCAGCTCAGAAGGTTTCACAGACGCTAGGAAGTGAAGCACCTTCTCTGCTTCCTTGGTATCATCAAACAATCTCTTCTGACGATGACAAGGAACAGGTCTTGATTGACTCCACACCTCCTGCCATGTGTTACCTGGCAACTAGACATACACAATCAAAACAAGGAAAGATTATCAAATCATTCATTCCCCTACAAAAACTCAAAATAACATTTTAAACATTATCTATTCTGTGTGATACAGCCATCAATGTTAAAGTTATGACCATGTATTCACTTGTTTTGTGGACAATTACCATTGAAACTTTGAAGTTCTAGAATTGGGACTATGAACAACGGCTACAAAGAAGCTACGATAATGCAAACAGCAAGACAGCCAGGAAAAAACAAAATACCAGTGACATATTTCTTTCTACAAATGAAATATTCAGGTAACTGCTCATTTTGTCAAAGATTGTATACTAAACATAGAAATATATAAAAAATTTATACATGAATTGGGTTATTTTTGTTGAAGCACATGTGGTATGTGTACCAAATGTCCTCACAAAAAAATTGTGACAGATTTTTCTAAAAATTACAATCCCATCACCACCATAATCAATTTACCTGCATCCTCTGGCTAAGTTGACCCCTGACCCTGCCCTCCGACCCCTGTTCATCAGCGGGCATGAGAGGGTCATCCTGATCAACCCTATCTCTAGGGGAGTACCATCTCACAAAGTCTTCCCATCACCACTTACCGGCATTCTCTGGCTAAGTTGACCCCTGACCCTGCCCTCTGACCCCTGTTCATCAGCGGGCATGAGAGGGTCATCCTGATCACCCAATCTCTAGGGGAGTACCATCTCACAAAGTCTTCTCATCACCACTTACCTGCATTCTCTGGCTAAGTTGACCCCTGACCCTGCCCTCTGACCCCTGTTCATCAGCGGGCATGAGAGGGTCATCCTGATCAACCCAATCTCTAGGGAGTACCATCTCACAAAGTCTTCCCATCACCACTTACCTGCATCCTCTGGCTAAGTTGACCCCTGACCCTGCCCTCTGACCCCTGTTCATCAGCGGGCATGAGAGGGTCATCCTGATCGACCCAATCTCTAGGGGAGTACCATCTCACAAAGTCTTCCCATCACCACTTACCTGCATTCTCTGGCTAAGTTGACCCCTGACCCTGCCCTCTGACCCTGTTCATCAGCGGGCATGAGAGGGTCATCCTGATCGACCCAATCTCTAGGGGAGTACCATCTCACAAAGTCTTCTATGGTGCAGCCTGGGTTTGCAGCCTGAATGTAAGAGGAATAGAGAATCAGTTCATGAAGTTAACCCATTGGCTACTGAATTATTTTCTTTCCACATTCTCAATGCACATATCACACTATGAACATGACAGACAATAAAAGCGGACAAAATATACAGTTCCTCAGGTAGACAAAGGGACAGCCCTTCACTGCTATTATGTAAAAATGTGTAGAACAGGTGTCACATGCATATTCACCTGTTCTACACATTTTTACATAATAGCTGAAGGGATGTTCCTTTGTTTTCCTGAGGAACTGTATATATTTGTCCGCTTTCATTGTCTGTCATGTTCATAGTGTCATCAGGTTCATGTAGGCAACACATTAAAGGCCCACTGTACTACCTGTAGCTACTTGCTCCCTCTATATAGAAAACAATGCCTAACCAGTGACCATTGTCCCCCATGATCCTCTTTTTCTCATGTTAATTGAGAGCTGAGATGATGAGATAGCAACCTGTCAGTGACCTTCCTGGGTGGTCTAATTCGTCCTAGCTAAACTAGTACAGATGGGCTTTAAGATGAATATGAACACAACTATCAAGTTGAGTTCTTTAGATCCAGTACTTTCATTAGGGTTTGAGTATTATTATCATTATCATTTTTGTTTTAACAAGTTGCTATTTCTGCTTAAAATAGTCATGACAAGGAGCTCCAGGATTCTATTTCTAGAATCTACAGTACCCATGGCTTATTATTATGCAGCAGTACACTGAACAAGATCAGCATGATATTTGTAATACCTACATGTACATGAATGTAGTCATATAACTCATCATTCTCTGGTGTTCAAGGTAAAATGACGAACCTCTGAAAAAATTAATGTAAGCTAGCATTTCAATGAGTTTGCTTCAACCCTTTTTCTTGACAAAAAAAGACAAATTTGAAAAATTTGATTCAACAAGCAATACCATATCATTGACTATGATTGCATTTCATTTTGAATTTTACCTTGAAAGACTCCATATCAGATAGAAGGCAAGCACTCTGCATCCTAGCTCTGAGTTCCATGCCTTCTGATGAGGTCCAAAGTTGGGCTAACACCTCAGCGTGTTCCTCTAACATATCTTCAGTCATCGGTGCTGGGTCCTATCAACATCCATGTTAAAAGCAATGATGATTTTAAAAAGGCCTTTCTAAACAATTTTTTTTTTTACAAGACACAGACATCATCTTGCATAACTCATTAAACAAAATTCAGAGTTTTCTCCTCTCTCAATTACTTAATGGCTAATCTGTAAATTTTCATAGTTTGAAGTACTTTAGAAGTGCATATACTCTGTACAATTTGTATGTACCAACGCAACATGTATATACTAGTACTATCACTAAAACAAATATATTTTGGTCTCAGCATTTTTTCACACACACAAAACAATAAGAGCCACAGTCTTGAAATTCGCATTGTATTTAAGTCCAAATAACATAATGCCATTAACATTGTTTTGGAGAGAGTACAATTTACTTTATATTTGCAAAAGAGTACTAGTGAATAAATGACCGTAGTAAAGGTTTGGCAGGTTGATGATCATTATAGGCACTTGGTGTAGGACATAATTTGGGAAACAAAATAAGAACTGTGAAAACATGTTAGATACCTGCGTAACTGGAATGTACAGAATTTCATTGGTATGTTGTAATCTGAGTTCTCCGCACTGTTTTAATCTTCCTTCAGGTTTCAACTCTTCCTTTCCTCCATCTTCTTTTCTTGATCCTTGACCCTTCTCATTGCCAACATCTTTATTCTCTGCGTCTTCTAATGAGACGTCCATGTCTTCATGCTCTAAGAGACAGGAGAGGAAAGTAAGAGAGGATGGTCAAATATTAAGCTGTAGACTACTGACTTCTCCCATTCCAATAGGCCCAATACAGCTGTCTCTATGTTCATATTGGCAATGAGTTAAAGCTTATCTTAAGTTCTTTTGGCTTTCATGAAAAAAGAAAGAAAAAAACAGGATTTTAGGGTAAATCTGCATTGTTTGATCATTCATGAATAAGACTGGTAGTATGGGTATGAGCAAGCAAATTGTAAACAAAGAAAAATCATTGCTTGTTCTATTGCTTGACACAATCAGGACAAGTAGCTCAAATTCCTTTCTTTGCTGATTCTACGTATACATTTTACATCTTTATAATATATTTTGAAACCTAATGATTCTGATTTCTTTTCTAGATTTGAGAATGAACCTTGTTTAACCTCAGAATATATTACAGATAATAACAATAACAATGATGTCTTCAATTGCTTTGCTATCTGCCAGCTAAGGCACTCCTTGTGCTAGCTCCAAATATTACACATAATCAGTTAAACTGTAGGTGCACTGCACATGGTATATACAGTTAAAATATAAAATAGTTCAAGACGACGAAACAAAACTGTACGAGATGCTTACCATCATCTTCTCTGCATACTCCTGATTGATAGACTGCTCCTGTGCACCTGCATCATCCAGGGGTGTGGCATCATCACATTCAAAGAATTCATCTTCACTGTCATCACTGTCCTTGCTCCGTGATGATGCAGCTCTCACGATCCTTGTCACGGCCTCGTGAGACGGAGCTCCTCCCCCCCTGGATGATTGATGGATGATGATGATGATGATGATTCTCGGTAGGACTCACTTTATCATCTGATTGGTCAGATGTGAGACTAGTCTTTGGCAGGTTGGAGTCTTTTGTTGGAGAGGATTGCTGTTTCCGCCTCTCTTCCCTTGCCTTCTTACGGTCTATGCAACAATTAAGCATCTGTACAAAGAGAATGAGATACATAAAGAAGGATTTAAATGAAAAGAAAAGAAAATCAGGCAGTGAATAAGGGAAGGGAAACACAGAACAAGACCAAGTAGAAAGCCACAAAAAATATTTAGAAGAAAACACTTAGACCACAAGGAATACAATATCAGAGAGTGCACAAGGATGGTGTGGGAGTATATGAAAGTGCAGATAACAATAACTTTCATACCTAGATGGATAGTATTCGCTCAAAGCAAAGGCTGAAATGAATGGACTCTATCTTGTTGAATGGGCGATTGATACACCATCCTATGTCAGGAACTTAATAAGTAAGTCATAACTATGTGCATCAGTTGTTGTTGTGGTGTGATTTCTGATGTTCAACTTCACTTGAACTTCATGTTTCTATATTATCCATCATTTCACTAACCTGTAACTTTTGATGAAGGAGACAGCAACCCATGTTAGGAGCTGTTGATCCAAGACTAAAAACAGACAAAGGAAAAGGTAAAAATAAGACATTAAGGAAAATACACGTACTCAGGAACTCTACAACCAGGGAGGTGTTTCATAAAGCTGTTCGTAAAGTTACGCATGACTTTACGAACGACTTGAATATGTAGTGCCAGATAGGATGCCCAAAGTTTTTCCTGATGTTTTAACAAAGTGTGTGATTATATTTCCAATAACCTCAATTAATTATGGCAAAAAATATACTTTGCATTAAAAATGTTTGTTATTAAAAGAATATTAATCTACATCTGCACAGTTCAACTTTAGTTGATGCAGTTAAAAATGATTGAGCATCCCATTTGGCTTTTCAAATAAAAGTTGTTTTGTAAAGTCATGCGTAACTTTGCAAACGGCTTTATGTAACACCCCCCTGGAGACATGGTGAATGAACCATCTGATTAAAGTGTATGATTACCAGTTGCTTTTACTTACCGGTAGTTGGCCTGAAAGAGAACATGACATGTTGGAGCTCTATACATTTTGTTCAGTATGAAGCGTGAAAAAAGCCTGAAACAGTGATGTGACAGGGCCTGAATTCATGTGAAAACACTGAAACAAGCATCTCTGCTTTATACATACACATAGACCTACCCAGGTATATTGTAGTTGTTTTCCAAGGGTACCTCATCTCTAGAACAAACTCATGCCATAGATGCGCAACCCCTTTCAGACCTCCATGACACTGGTTGACTACACACATACTGATGGCTAGCTTGTAGGTCAAGCTGGACTCTGGAGCCGTCTTGAAGTGACGATATCTCTCCTGGAAAGAATAAGATGCAACAAAATAGCCAGTTACACATCTATATCACAGGCTTGGAGCATGCAAGTCTTTGCTTTGAGCAGGTATTTTGAAATAGCACATCAACATCGATGTGGATAAATTTATCTGTCAATGTCAAAAGGTTTCTTACCAATTATTTTATATTTGTGCCGCATGTTTGTTTAGCATTATTTAATTCTTTGTTCGGACAAGAACATAATGCAAAGTATCTGAAAGCAATAACATATATCTATTTGGTGTTTCTTACTGCACAGGCTCCCTTATTGATATCTTTTTCATTTCTGCTGCTGCTGCTGCTTGAAATACTTGATCTACATCAGATTAAGCACCTAAACATATTAATCATCACTATAAGGTCTTACTTTAGCATTAATGTCATTCATTGAAATGGCAGTTTGAATACTTATCTAAACCATTTTGGGTGTACCTTTTTATCAAAGTCCTTTTCTGTGTCTTCATTCGGTGTAGATGCACTCTCACCAGCAGGAGTAGAGGCTGCACTCGCATCAGGAAACAGAAACTAAAGAAAGTACAATCATTGTGACATGACATTACTTTGATGCAATCACTTCACAGTACTATAGATTGCGTTAAAACTTTTGATAATTAAAAAAAGGTCCATACAAATCTTGGTATAACTATCCATATGCTGAACATTGTGTTTCATACCCATGCACACCTGTCAAGCTTTGTATTGGCATAGTATCTTGTTAATTGCCTTGGATTTTTTCTGATATCTGACATCTTTTGATCTAGCCCAAGTGACCTTTTTTTCTTCCTCACTGAAGATTGATTACAATCTAGAAGTTTTGCAATTTGCCAAAGTTTTTTGCTGCAAAAAGTCACAAAAGCTTCCGGTCTTCGCTCAGATCTAAATCATACACCGTTGGTGCTTGAGCAAATCAATGAGTCGTGAATGTTCTTTCCCCCAAAAGAGACCGAGAATTAGAAAAATCATAAAATCCTTATCATCATTATCATTTAGCATATGTTTTTCCCATGCTGTAGAGTTCTCCAAGCCTTACAGTCTTCAGGATCCACATGGGTAAGGCCAGATGCTCTTAGATCTTCTCCTAGTGTCTCCTTCCAGGTCTTGCAAAGTCTACCACCTGGTCTTGAGGCTACAACTTGGAAGTTCATTGCTCTCTGAAGCCAATGTCATAGGTCATGCAAATGTTTTAAGAGATTCTTAAATGGTAGTTCTCTGTCATATGAACTCTAGCAGACTACTGAGGGGCCTGGATAGGGTCAAGATCACTTCAACAACAAAAAAATCAGAGATTCTTACCACAAGAACATCATTGAGGATGTTCACAGGTATAGGTGACTCCAGTCTTGACGTCTGATTGCCTTGGGTTCGTATCCTACGCTGAGCCGCTTGGGCTCTACTCATCACTGAGGACAGCGTGGGGAACTGAACACGGGCGGGATCAGTCAACCTGTGAAGGGCTAAACTCACCTGCTCAGAGGTATCTGAGAATAAAAAAGAAGATGTTTCAAGTCATCATGTTAGTGGAAGGTATGAAAGACTAAAGATCCAGTATTTTGTTATAAGCTACTGAAATCCTTGCTTCTGATTGGTTATCAACAGATTTGTCACTGATCTTTGTCATTTGTCATTGAAAAAAGGCTTTTGAAACGGGTCTCTGGTAATATCACCAGAAATTTCAGTGAAGCTGAAAATCTAGAGTAGTGGGTTTGCATTCTGTATTCTGATATCTGTAGCAGGTCATAAATAAAGTACTGTTAAAGTGTATACTAATATTCTCATTAAGTTAAAAATGTGGCCTGATGTGTCAATGAAAGGGCTCTCCAATTATAGGCTAAAGGGTAACCAAATAATTAATTGTCCTGCATATCAAGTAATAGCACCAGAATTCAAAGAACTATTTGAATTTAAAGTATTTCATCGCAGACTGGTTTTCAGTCAAAATATGTAAGCGTTCTAATGTCTCCCACAAGTTATAAAATATCAAGGATACAATAATTCTACATAAAGTTACAGGCATTGTCGGATGTTACAATGGAATGTCTCTCCAATTACAGGCTACAAATTTACTGATTCCCATGTAAAAGAAGTTCTTCAATATGAAATGCATGTCTCTGTACATTGATATTACCAGAAATTATATTGTATCATAACTATTCACAGCAATCATCAACTATACTACTACCAGTATTGTCATCATATCATCTCTACTACCACTTACCATCATCATCATCTTCAAATGCACCTCCACCGAGGAGCTGATCAATTGATTCCTTACTATGGGCAAGCTTGGCAAAACTTTTTAGATAGTCATCTGTAGGAGAAGAGAAAGAGATAAATTAGGAGTTTTCTTGTCACGCTTAGAATACCAGCACAAATAACGTACGTATTTCATACGATAACACCAAATTACCAATTTCAAGAACAAAATTGAACTTAAAATAAAATAAATAGGAGCTACCTATGAGAATGAAAAGATATAAACCATTCAATTTTAAGAGGTTTTATTAACCAGGTTTGTTACATGTATGCTAAATTGTATCACCATTTTTAGCACTGGTATGTGGTTATGGTATAAAGTTAGGTGAATTCACGTACTAAATTACAAACCATAACATTCTTATCATCAGCTTAGAGCAAGAAAGTCATTAATTCAGTGCTAAAACAGAGTATGAGTGCTCTTCGACTCTACACAATATCAGAATACACAATGAATGATAATGCATACTGGGTTCTTACCAAGTAAGCTACTAGGGTTCTCTGTCATATGAACTCTAGCTGACCACTGAGGGGCCTGGATAGGGTCAAGATCACTGCAACAACAAAAAAACAAAAAAAATATCAGAATCAAATGCAAGGATGAAAAAAAAAGCACAATGGGGACAAAAAGGGCAATGATAACAAGTTATTGTCATAAAATACCATGCTCCCGAAGACAATAGCACTCCATAAATTTCTTATTTTTTGGTGAATTTTGAACTTAAAAAAAACAAACATAATCTGCTTGTTATAGAGGAGAACATTGTTGAAGCAAGTCACTTTCATAAATCACTTTCATATTGAGTATATAACACTGTTTTCTTGTATAAGAGGAACAGATTATTGCCATTCAACTTACGAGTAGACGTCATTATCAACTATCATGTCCTCAGCTATAGAGGGCCAGGTGGCTGCTAGATGAAGCTCACTGACAGGATCTTCTACAGCACCATAGGGCAGAGTGGTGAAACCAGGGTATCCAACATCACTATCATCTTCCATCATATCTAGGTCTGTAAGGAGAGAGAGAGAGATAGAGAGAGAGAGAGAGAGAGAGACAGATCAGATGTCAAATATTCATTTGATTACATGAGCATATGAATGAGAGAGATAGAGAGAGAGAAGAGAGAGGAAAGGGGGGGGGGAGACAGAGAGAGAGAGAGAGAGGGGGGGATAGATAAGCTTTCAGGTACTCATTTTATAACACATGATCGGAGATATGAGGGAATAAAAAGAGGAAAAAACAACAAATGCTAAAAGAGAGAGACAGAGACAGAGAGAGAGAGAGAGAGGGGGGAAAAAAATGAGAGACAGAGAAAGAAAGAAAGAGAAGCAGTGAAATAAGAAAAATGAACAGGAGCTGGAAAAAAAAAACAGTGTTTCAAATCAAACCATCATGGAGAGATTGAAAAACCTTGCAATGAGAGAGGCATAACTCAATTCTCCTCATTCAATTGTTACATACCTGGAGGGAGGAGAGGCCATGAGAACTGAGTCCAGTCATGAAGTACATAGGTGAACCGCACAGCAACACTGACTTGAGGATAGGTGAAACAGGGCAAGCCTACACAGAACAAAGAACAAAGACAATGTATGAGCATTAGATCTGTGAATATGCAAATATCCTAGCAAAATGCACACTGGATAAATAATAAACAGATGAATGATTACCTACATTACAGAAACTGTTTATAGAAACATGCATTGGCAATTCATCTCATAAACTGCAAAGAAAAAAAAAAATCACACGTCACTGTTAAAAAAAGAGCTCTTTTTCCAGACAAGATCAAGAACATTTATGACATAAAGGATGAAATGACTTCTAACCAGTTTTGATTTGAAAACATTGACGAGCCCTTCAAGATGGCTGTACTGATGAGGTATCCGTTTAAGGTGTACAATGTCAAAGGTCGTGCGGACCCAGGGGCTTCACACACCCCCGTGTACATCCGTCGCCATTTCTGCTGTATCTGGGCAAACATTGGCACAGCACTAAAGAAACAAAATGAACAAACAAATAAACATTCCATGTTGGACAAAGTAAAATAAATTGCTCTTAGTCAAAGTTTATAATTATGACAACATATCACTTAAATGCTCACTTGAATTTGTTTCAGTGTCAGCATAGGGCTAAAACATCTTGTTAAGGAACAGTCCTCACCTGTAGTATACTTTTTTTTCTTTCTTCTAATTCCTGAAAAGAAAATCAGGCTGTCTTTAGTGCAAGCATATATAGCAAACCACTGACATTCTTGAGCTGCATTTGCTGCCCATAGCACGTATGTTATTAATAACTTCTGCCTCTGTGACAATGGACTACACATTACAGAATTTGTCTATTATTTTCAACACTTAAGAATAAATCGATTAAATTCATTTGAGGATGAATACAATGCTTTGGACTCACCAGTTGGTGTTGTTAACTGCTATCGTGAGTGAGCTTAAAAGCAGATTGCACTTGCTCTCGCTAAGAATAGCCTCCGTGTTTGCAGCGGGAGAGAGGACCACAAAGTGCCTCAAACCATACCTGTAGAAACAGACAAATAGAAACAAAAGCAGTGAAATACAGTGACCAGTGCCAAAAATACCATTAAGCATCTCTGAACAAACTCCTTTCAAACTCACATTTCTGCCACTACGTTCAAATAGTCTGTCTCTGCCTGTGTTCTGTCTCGTCAAAATCAGATTCTTTTTATGTACGGTATATAGCATTTGTTGAAAATAGAGCAATTCACATCAAAAACCAAGAACAAACAGTCCAAAGACTGACACCTATCTTGGGTACAATATAAAATTTAAATCAAGTATACATGATAAAATGGCAGTAACGAATACATAAATAAGTATCAGTACATCCTCTTTCCAAAATAACTATGTTTATATGAGAACCATGTCTGTAAAGTCTGCTGATAAATATGTCTCTAGCTTATAAATTGAAACTGTGTAGTAATGGTTGTCATTCCCTGGTGAGCTGTTACATTATGAGGTATGCTGGGAATAATATGGCATTCCAATTTCAGTAACAACTTAAATTATAAAAAGAGAATGATCTTACCATCTACAAAGGCAATGTGCTCGAGGAGGAAAATCATTTCCAGATGCAAGCATATCCTCTATAGGCTGAGGAATCTTATCTGAAAGCAGAAGGATATATTAAAGAGCATTACTAGGAAACTATACTACAGGAAGATAAGGATTAATACCATTGCAACCGTCAAAGTGCTATTTATATTGGAAATGTCATTTCTTCATGTAGCTTGTTCGTTAATTTTCATCATGAAAGTCATATTTGTTTGTGTTTTCCTACATAAAGCTTGTGTATCCAGCAGAGATTGTAAAGAAAAACCTACCATCCTCCTCTACATTCTTGCCTCCATCATCCTCTTGTTCCGATTCCTCCCCTTCTTCCTCTTCTCCTTCCATTTTGAGGCGATGCTCACTCATGAGGAAGTTGAAGTTTGCAAAGGAAACATTCTCTGATTTCTCTTCCCATTTGCCTGCTGTGAACTCACCCTATGTAAAAATGAGAAGATAGTCATCAGCACTTTTCACTCACTATCTTTTCCTTTCTAAATTTTAAATTTCTTGCCATGTTTTCACTTGCTTTGTGTCATTACATTCTCTTAATTATCACACAATGGGTATCTAGGGAGGCAGCGCCCTTAACAATTTGAAAAATTGTTATATATTTATTTATTTACACAATATGCAATCATCATCCCATTAAAGAACAAAGGACGATTGTATGGTTTTAGTAACATAACAAACATTAAAAATATGATTAATAATTGTAGTTTGAAGAGTAAGGATATCAAGCTTGCAATATACAATAGATAACACACATAAACATAATCATAAAGTCATGAATACAAAAAAGATGAACCTGTGAAACAGATTGTAAGATATGCATTGAATTGGTGAATAGTAAAGAATCATAATGCACAATTCATGCAAAGCAAAAATTAGAAGCGTTTCAGGAGTGTCCTTTAAATAAATGTGAAAGAAGTTATAGTTGCAAATTAGACTACAAATGAAGCCATTAGTTCTAGACTCAAACAATCACTGTACTATTTTATAAATAGTAGTGTTTACCTTTTTAAGAGGGGGTCCTAAATGAGCTGATGGGAGCCTCCAATCGTGAATGACCTGCTCCAGCCGAGATATGAATCTGACCAAATCAAATGACGAATGAGATCAACTGTCATGTCTTCAAAGTTCAATATAACCACAGAAATTTGACAGAGGTAATCGTGTCTTAAAACAAAAAACAAATTGGTGATTCCAACTGAAACTAATTGACTCATGACCATACATTCATATTCAAAGTTTTCTAGGATAACGTTTTTAGGAAAAAGATTTGTTTCCTCTTCTTGAAACAAAATACTACTATTGTGCAGTCCTTGATACTTTTTCACTTATATATAGATCATGTAGCTTAGATCTACATGTACAAGCTTCCGACAAGATCAAACACTTTTTGCACAAATTTAAGATAGAATTAAATTCTGCTTAGTTTACATTGATAATTAGTAGGTCGCTCGTTAAATACTAGTATATACAGCAGTGAATGTTTTACAAAGTCCCAAATACTAAGTTTAGCTAGAGTAAAGGAGCCGGTAATCGGACAGCTCCAGTTTTCGGCTGATCCATTGGATGCATGGTAAAATCCCATAAAATACATCGCATAATAGCACAACACATATCCCACACATTCCATACCATGCCAGAGTCACTGAAGAACCACATTTGCAATGGAAAATATATCCTAAAATATCACATTTTAGCGATGTAATCGGCGGTCCCGCTACCCAAATCTGAAAAATCGAGTTTCTTACGCGTGTATGTAAGAAATATGGGTACCATAAAATCAGCTTTATTTCAAGTATTTTTCAGATTTAGAGCCCGATTTTGTGTTAGTCGCAAGCTCAAAAGTATCTCATCACATGTATTAAATCAATGCAGCCGGACCCTGCCACGCACACACGATATGTCTGTCTAATTCAGATTCCAACTTCCGATCACCGCTGTGCCTGTCTTCGGCCAGGCGAGCACCAGGGAGCTCCGGCGTGGGATGAAAGTGAACTAAATGAAGGACACAATGTGACAAATACACAAGGATATTATGAACTTGTTGATGGCATGATTCCGGAACTCTGTTCAACCGGTTTAAAGATATGTCATATAAATATAAACTCTCTCCCACACAAAATGGATGAACTGAAAATTCTTCTAGGTAACGATCCATTTGACATTGTTGCAATTTCAGAAACACATTGTGATTCCACAATTACGGATTTAGATATATCATTAGATAATTTTTGTGTAACTCGAAAAGATCGATCAAGACACGGAGGAGGCATAGCGCTCTATGTAAAAAATAATATAAGTTTCGAAGTTATTAGTCAACTTGATAATGAACTAGAAGTAATTTTTGTCAAAGTTAAACAAAAACAAACACATCCTTTGTATCTGGGAGTTGTCTATAGACCTCCGAATTCACCAAATGAGTTTTTTGATAAGCTATCTGAAATAATTCACTCGATCAGTGAGAATGCAGGAGAAATCATAATTATTGGTGATTTTAATTGTGATTTATTACCAGAAATCTGCACTCCATTTCCCGAGCCCTTTTGTCATTAATGGATACTAATCTATTACATCAACTCATTAGTGTACCCACCCGTGTTACGCCCCACACAAAGTCATTGATCGATCACGTATTTTCATCCATCCCAGAGGAACACCAACACACGGGAGTGGTGAAGACTCATATAAGTGATCATTATCTAATATTCACTGTTTTTGGATATGCAAGGGCCAAGCAAAAGAATGATGATAATATTATTGAGTATCGATGCTTTAGACATTTTTCTAATGATAATTTTGTCACCATGTTACAGAACTTGCCTTTCAACGAGATTTTAAATGATAAGGATCCAAATCATGCTTGGCAATGTTGGGTTGACTTGCTCATAAGTGCCGTCAACAAGCACGCACCAGTAAAGAGTAAACGTATTAGATCCAAGTTGTGCCCGTGGATTACTGGCGATTTAATAGAGGCCATGAATAGGCGTGATTGGCTTTACACAATGGCAACTAAGCCTAGCAATCCCGATAGCTCTGAATTTTGGTCAGAATACAAGTCATTAAGAAACGAAATTACGTGTATGATCAGAAATGCCAAAAATGATTATATAAATGCTCTACTCCATGAGAACGGCGGAACTCCTAACGCCATGTGGAAAACTTTGAAACTCATATCATCATCTAAAAAAGAGAGTAACCTTAAACTGGAAGTAGATGGTGAAGAAAGTAATTGATGCCGAGAAGATAGCCAATCACTTTAACAATTACTTTGTGGACGCAGTTGATACTATGTTTAATCCTCTTAACTTTGAAAATGATGTTAACAACTCCACCATTGATAGAGCTAGTGAACCATCTGTACACAGCGATACTGTTGATACCGTTCCTCCAGTCAATTCGTTTGATCTCCCAGTTATAACAGATGAATTTGTTATGAAGGAAATCGAACGTATCCAATTAAAAAAGCCACCGGCCCAGACGATGTTTCAATAAAATTACTAAAATTTGCATGCAATTCTCAAAATGTAATACAAAGCCTTACTTATATACTTAATTCATCTTTGGATCAGGGAATTTTTTTTTGATGAATGGAAGATCGCACGAGTCCAACCTATTTATAAAGCTGGAAGTAAACTCAGCGTTGAAAATTATAGACCAGTTTCGTTATTGTCCATACCATCCAAAATACTGGAAAAAGCTGTGAACACGGAATTTCAAGAATATTTAAAAGTAAATAAGATATTAACAGAAAGGCAGTTTGGCTTCCGCCCCAACCATTCATGCGAAACTGCCCTGCTTTGTATGGTAGATTTATGGGCCCAAAACGTGGACAAAGGCAACTTAAACGGTGTTTGCGTATATTGATATGAGGAAGGCATTCGATGCAGTGAATCACTCAACTCTATTAATGAAGTTAAAAAACGTTGGTTGCACGGATAGAGCCATAAAATGGTTTCGGTCCTATCTAGGAGGCAGGAGCCAGTTTGTGTCTATTAAAGGTAAAAAGTCATCAACGAGAACAATTAATTACGGTGTACCCCAAGGTTCTGTCTTAGCGCCATTGTTATTCTCGATATTTATTAATGACTTGCCCACTAGTATTCATAGTGCGGACATGTTTTTATTTGCAGATGACGCGACCATGTCGGTACAAGGCAAAACATTATCTGAGATCCAAACGAAACTAAATCTTGCTTTAGATGAAGTGTATTCGTGGACGCAAAAAAATAAACTTCTATTGAATACTACTAAAACAAAGGTAATGGTTATTGGGTCGAAGCAAAAGTTACAGACGCTAAACGAAAATAATTTAAATGTGCGTATAAAGACAACACCGATTGAATGTGTGACACAGTACAAATGCCTCGGTGTTATAGTAGACAGCAATCTCTTATTTTCGAAGCATGTCGAAAAGTAGCTTTACAAATGAAACAGAAATTAGGTATTCTAAGAAGACTCAAAGGCACGTTCAATAAACATTATCTGAGTATGATATACTGGGGCTATATTCTACCTCATGCTATGTACTGCTGCACTGTGTGGACAAATAGATCCCTGCATAATTATGAAACTATAAATAAATTACATAAACGAGCAGCATATATTATATCTGGATGTTCGTGGTCAACTCCTTCACACGAGGTTTTATTACAACTTAATTGGTCAACACTTGAGGCATTGTATTCAAGAGCAATGGGGATTATGGCATTTAAATGTGTTCACCATCTTGCACCTGCCTTATTGGCAAACAAATTTATTTTACATGATGATGTAGCACAACGCATGACACGTAATTCCCATCAACTTAAGCTGGAATCCAATAGGTGCAATACAGAATTTTTTAAGCGCTCCTTTGTAAACTCTGCAATAACACTCTGGAATAATCTACCCATAGAAACCAGGTTCTCCCCCAATCTGAACGTATTCAAAAGCAATTTATCACACTGAGTCTGGAACGCTCTTGTTCATTGCCGTGCAATATGAATGCTGCAATCTCCTTTAACATTTTATTTTAATTAGCACACGCCAATAATGAATTTTGCTTACTTATTTTATCAATATGCTAAACAACATTATCATTGATGTTTTTTTTTTTTTAAACCTCAATCAAGGAATCTTTGAAATTGTATTTCATGTACTTAAGCAATACCATGTTATGAATTGATTATGATACTAACATATGCATGTTATTATTTATGTGCATAATATGTCAACTATTTGTTTTTATAATTAATAGTTTAAATTATTAAATGGGAAAGTATTAATAGTATATATGGTATAACGTAATGGTGACGGCAAACTTTTTTAACATTGAAATATATTGCAATAATTTGTTTTGATATTTATACCATACTTTGTTTTTAACTTTAACCTAATACTATGTGTTATTGCGTACAAATGTCAACTACATGTATATATATATATATTTTAATTGTGGTTTTTGTTGTTGTTTGTTTACAATAGTTTTAATTATAAACTGGGAAGTATTTAATTGTATACATTTTATAATTACTCAATGGTGACGGTAAACTTTTTTTAACATTGAAATATTCGCAACAATTTTATAAATATCTATAGCATACCTTATCTTAATTTGAACTTCGTATACTATGAAATGTACTGTATCGCCTTTTTATTGCATGTCCGAATTATCTCTCATATTATAATGTGCATTTATTGTTGTTTTGATTGACATTATTATTGAACCATGTATGTTGTAAAGGGCCCTGATGAAAACCAGCTCATGCTGATCGGGCTACCCTTTTTAAAGATGTGAAATAAATAAATAAATAAATAAATAAATACCTGCTCCGCCCGCTTGTCCTGTACATCAGCGCGGAAACGCACGGCGCGCGCGAGCGCTTCCTATTGACTTTGTACATGCGGCCGTAAACTGAAACGCTCAGCCGATAACTGGCTCCAAAACAGTGAAAATTGAAATGAATATTGTCAAGGCAATTCGTGATTTTTTTCTGGGATTCTTTTTTTTTGTTTAATAATAATAATATTTGCTTCATGATTTGAACAAGAAATGATAATAAATAGGAAGTAAAGAGTCCAAAAAATAGGATTTTGTCTTAAAGGGGCATGTTCCCCGTATTCCAGAGGGCGTTCAAAATACGTACCACTGGCGGACGGTGCTAGCTGACTATTGACACCAACAGAATACGGCCCTTACGCAGATGGCATGTTCCGAATGCCCGCACAATGCCGATTATCGCATACATGTGCCGAAGTCATATCAATCGCAGTTCGGCTCTAAGATTCGGCTGCTGTTTTCCACCCACTTTCGTGACGTCACTATCGGCAGCGATCAGCTGGCTTGGCGAAGGCAGGCCAGGCCGCGCGGACTTTGATTGACAGCTGTATGCAAATTAGAAGTCGATCTTCGGAACCAAGATGGCGATGACCAGAGCAGCGATACTACACTGGCGGGAACGTGCCCCTTTAAGTGGCCGAAAACCGGCTCCTTTACTCTATGTCTATGATTTTGAAACCTTTTTTCCTCTTTCGCCTTTCCTCAGCCCGAGGCTCATCATAATGAATCCTGGACCCCTGATACACACAAAACCTATTTAAACATATGTTATTCTACAAGTAATATAGAGGAGAACAAGCTTATTTCAGGTAAACGTGTACATGAATACGTGCAAGAGCCATTGGTCTGTATTTTCACAATTACTAGCTCTGACACCGTCTCAGCTGGGGTGACACAAAACTGGGTGCATGGGACTACAATGTAATATTTCTTACCTCTCCCATTCTGAAGCAGTCGTAAAATCTGTAATTTCGAAAACCTCAGATTCCTGTAGGGTAATCAAACATAAAAGCAAGTGTAACATAAAGAATTCGTACTTAAATACTACGGTAAAATAGTGAATATAGTCGAACGATTCCTACGTTCAAAGTGTACTCACCTCTACGTCATCTGCCATGTTGTTTTGTTTTCTTTCTGTCGTCTATATTTTGTGAGAATCGAGATCGTAGGGGCGCGCCGTAGCTCCCTCTTCAGCTGGACCTATACGCGTCATGGCACCCGAATGTCAACTTTCTGAAAGAAATACGGACTTGAACAGTAACATAAATTTAGAAGCCTCTGTAGTAGACCAGCCAAACTCAAAAATGACTTTTAAAATCCAATTACTTAAATCGTAGTTCAGCACAATGTCGTAATCAGGGGCGGCGATCCCGGGGGGGGGGGGGGGGGGGGGGGGGGACGCGTCCCCCTCGATTTTTTTTTTTTTTTTTTTTGGGGGGGGGGGGATCCCCAGCCTGATCGTCCCCCCTCAAAATTTGAAAAAGTGCACAAACATAATGTAAAGCAAATACTGACTAACGACTGCAACACACTTTTAGGCTCTAGAGGGCCCATAGTGCAGCGTTTACAAATAAAAATGCAAAAATATTCTCACTCGGTAGCTACGCTCCCTCGCATAATACAACAAAACTTCAAAAACCTGTGAAGGGGTTCTCACTTCCGTCAGTTTCACCCCTCTCATTCACTATGCTCCCTCGCATTTGTGTACTGATGGGGGCGGGGGGAGGGGGGGCTTAAGGGGCAGATCCCCCCAAAAAGAAATTCAAACATGGTTTATTTCTAATTCGATACCAGTGATTTACAAATGTTATAGAAATGGCATGATTTTCCCCTGACCTTCCGGGTGCCCTGGACCCCACCACGGGCCCTTGATTGCTCATCTGACCGAAATTTAATGCTTAAAACGCCTGAGCTTCTGGGGCTCTGTCCCCTGGACCCCACCCCAATATGATGACCTGCATGCTAGTGACAAATAAGGTATCAAAATATGCTCATCTGACCGTAATTAAATGCCTAAAACCCCTGAGCTTCAGGGCTCCGCCCCAAGGATGCTCATCTGACCTTAATAGATGCCTAAGGACCTCACGCCAATGCACGCTCCACTTTGCTTTGCTTTGCTCTACCTGATCGTAAATACTTTACCCCCCCCCCCCCCCCCACTTTGAAAAACGTTCCCAGGGCCTGCGTAACATGTAAGAGTGGTGGTGGTGCGGATTTGTTTCTGCCCCCAAACGTTGTTGCCCATTATGCCACTGCTCCCTCGTCCCTTGCATTTCGTCCCCCCCCCCCCCCGGTCATGAAAAGGAATCGCCGCCCCTGGTCGTAATATGAATTAAAAGTTATTGTTGTGATGGGGGCACTTTAAAAAGTTCTCTTTTTTAAACAATGGACACATAGGGACCTACAGAGGGTTAATTAAATGTGGGATATACTATTTCGAGACAGCATGCCTATACCACCCTACCATTCCTAAATAGAGGTTCAGCCTATAGTGCAAGACTTGATATGGCTCGCAAAATAATTATATCAAGGAACACAAAATTATGTACCTTGCTATATGTACTTACCGAATGCAAGCAAAACCATGCTTATCTCTTACCATCGAAACGTCAAATGAGAAACATCTCAAAATAATATACTGATAGAAGAATAATGTCAGGGAATGTTAATAAATGGTAATTGATGCATGTGCCCCTAGATAGTCCACTTTTGTATAAGTGCATGTGCATAATTGTCTGAGGCGGGGTGATCTGCACCCCTCCCGAAAATTTGACCATATTCAGATGCCCTGCAGCACCACTTCATTTTCAGGCAGTGGGTGGTCTTTTGATAATTATTTTTGTATCTTGTCCCGGTCAAATACATTTAATGAGTTAGATATCCACATAGAATATAAATAAAGTTTTACTCGATCGTTCGCTCGCACGGTTTACAAATAGTTTGATATTCGGGAAATAATTTATAACTTCCACTATAATTGCGGTTTGAGCCTCAAAATCAATTTGAAACAATAAGAGGATAAGTAAGTAAGAGGACACTTTTTAAAAAAGATTTTGGTCTCGAAATTTGAAAATTTGACATTTTGCTCCGTTGGTGGGGGGGGGGGGGGGGGGGGGGGGGTAAGGTCACCTTTTTTAGGTCAGCCATGGGAATACTTTTTATTTTTTTAAATTTTATTATTAAAAAAAAAAACAACAACAAAAAGGGGGGGGGGTTTGGTTTTTTTTGTAGGGGGGTTTATACACATAAAAATACCAATGGGGGGTGTTTACCCCCCCAACACCCCCCCCCCCCCCCCCTGCGTACGCGCCTGGAGGACATCAGTCCTAAGATTTGTTTTCCTTCAGGGATGGATAGTCCCTACCCCTCTCCTTACAGAAAAAGAAGAGAAAGGGAAAAAAGGAATAAAGTAGGCCTATAATGTATTATGGAGTAAGTAATTAATAAATTAAGACTACAGCATAATATTTAGGTTCTGAAGTGCTCATAATGCAATGTTTCGCTACCAAAATATGAAGAATTTTTTTTTTGGCTAGCTCCCTCGCAGAATAACTTAAAATAAAAAAAGATACTGTAAACCTAAATTATATGAATGCAGAGGTTTGGTCTTCCGAAATTGGAAGACCCCAAAATGGTGATTTAAAGCTGCCCTTTCCCATAAGAGAGGAGAGAAGGAAAATATAATAAGCTCTAACTAAATGCGGCCCTTAAAGGAAAAGTTCAAAATTACAAAACGTACAATTCTCTCTGATTCAACCCTCTCAACATTTTCGCTCATTATGCTACTAAAAAGAATAATCTATTAAAAAAAAAAACTTATAACGATTTTGCAAAAATTTTAAACGTTTTTTAGCTGCTTATAAATTTATTTACCCAGGGTAGCCACTTCAGTTATGAAACTGTTCTTCCAGCGGGCCCTGCATAACATAATATGTTATTACTACCCTTCTCCAATCTAATATGCTGAGCGCCTAGCTAGAAGGCAGAATGTCCCATTGTTATAAGTCTTTGGTATGACTCGGTCGGGGTTCGAACCCACGACCTCCCGTTTATGAGGTGGGCGCTCTAACGACTGAGCCACCATGCCCTTAAAACAGTAAGCGTTGAAAATCTGATGAAATGTGATAACAAACGGTCTAAACTAACGATATTCCTTAGCATACTGCTTACGGATATCAATTAAAAAAAGAAAGAGGGGTAAACCAAAACATAACGAAATTCATCACCCTGTACCGGAAGGTGACGACGAAATTAGCATATATTTGATATGTTGGTAAGATGAAAGTGGGCATTTAACCACAGCCAATTTATGATCACTGAATCGAAATATACATAGAGAAATGTTATCACCTACCCTTAAATAAAGTTCCTGACCATGCAGCTAATTCCTCTTTAAAGATCTTAGTAGTCGAAACAATAACAATTTCTATTAACTCAATAATTTCAATTTTGCTTGTCTAAGGTACAAAGATGGTACCTCTTACCTACAAGTTTGAAATTCCACTATTTCCTTTCTTCATGTTCATGCCTGTTTTTATATTAGTTTGCGTCAACTCACAACTATATTTGTGATTTAACTTTCCTTTTCCTTTTTGATTGGACGGTTTGGAGACACTATAATTCCTGTCGTTCGAACGGATTCCATTCAATAAAAATGGGATTGTTTATCGCTATTTCTGCTATTGGAGGGATTTTTTGCATTGTATTCGTCATGGCTGTATGTCTTGTCTATCAACCTGCCATCTCATTCAATGAATTCCAGGTGTGTATAATCATTCTACTCTGATCTGACTGACCTCTATGAATGTACTTGTTGTAGGTGCAGATCTACCCTGCAGTCCCACATGCTCATTGTTTTGTAACGAGATCTTCTTTTTCTTAGCATCAGCACTAGCACGGAAGGAAAAGGTCATCCTATCCTGTTGAAAACTTCCGGTCGTTCCATCGACTGGTATTTGTTTTCACCGTACTTATTGTGAATGCACGGTGGGCAGACGCACGTTTTATTAGGAAGAATTTAGTGTTTGTTCAATCTAATAAAACAAAAATTGAATAACAGTGATGGTGCAGAGATGAGATGACACATTGACAAATGAAGGAAGACTATTCGTATTTCAGGACTCGACCACTCTCTGACTGAAGCTGTATCTTCAAAGGGCTGTAATTCTATTATATCTTTTTTTAAACAGGTTTTGTTGCTGTCCTCGTGTAGCTTCATGTAGCTTCTCCTCCTCGTCCTCCTCCACTTCCTCTTCCTCCTCCTCCACTTCCTCTTCTTCCTCTTCCTCCTCCCCCCCTCCTCTCCTCCCCCTCCTCCTCCCCCTCCTCCTCCTCCTCCTCCTCCTCCTCTCCTCCTCCCCCAGGTTTTGTTGCTGTCCTCGTGTAGCTTCATGTAGCTTCTCCTCCTCGTCCTCCTCCACTTCCTCTTCCTCCTCCTCCACTTCCTCTTCTTCCTCTTCCTCCTCCCCCTCCTCCTCCTCCCCCTCCTCTTCCTCTCCCCCTCCTCCTCCTCCCCCTCCTCCTCCCCCTCCCTCCTCCTTCCCCTCCTTCCTCCTCCTCCTCCTCCTCCTCCTCTCCCTCCCCCTCCCCCTCCCCCCTCCCCCCTCCCCTCCCCCTCCCCCCCCCCCTTCCCCTTCCTCCCCTCCCCCTCCCCCTCCCCCTCCCCCTCCCCCTTCCCCCCTTCCCCCCCCTTCTTCCCCCTCCCCCTCTTCCTTCCCCTTCCCCTCCCCTTCCCTCCCCCCTCCCCCTCCCCTTCCCCCTTCCCCCTTCCCCCCTCCCCCTTTCCCTCCCCCTCCCCTCCCCCCTTCCCCTTCCACTTCCCCCTTCCCCTTCCCCCTCCCCTTCCCCCTTTCCCCCTTCCCCCTCCCCCTCCCCCTCCTCATCCTCCTCCCCCCTCCTTCCCCCCTTCCCCTTTGGGCGCCCCCAAATCAGTCCCTATCAAAGAAAACAAAATTAAGATTATTCTAGTGCATGTGCGATATGGACCCATTCCCCACCCCCCCCCCCCCCCCCCCCCCCCCCCCCCCCCCCCCCCCCCCCCCCCCCCCGTTGTTGTTGAGAAATTAGTCTAGAATCTTTTTTTTAATCATTGATTATTTTAGGCCTATTAATCTAGGATATTGAATTACAGTAAATAAAGAAAGAAGAATAAATGAGTGTAAATAATTTGAAATAATTTTTTTTTCCCAAAGAGAATTCCAAAGAGAAGCCTTATGATATTTGGTTTTCTTTCTTTACACTGAACAGTGAGCTGAGCTTTCCAAGTAATCTTGAGCAGCTGAGAAGTGTGGTAGATATTCTACAGGAATATAAGAGTGATAACTTTGGCTATATCCTTCTGCTGTTCTGTAGTGCATATCTCTACAAGCAAACTTTTGCTATTCCTGGATCAGTCTTCATGGTGAGTTGATCTGATGATGATGATTTAAAAGAAAATGATGCTGATGGTAGTGGTGGTGGTGGTGATAATGATGATGATGGTGATGATGGTGTTGATGATGGTGATGATGGTGATGATGATGATGATGATGGTGGTGATGATGGTGATGATGGTGATGGTGATGGTGATGATGGTGATGATGGTGATGATGGTGATGATGGTGATGATGAGGAAGAGGAGGAGGATAGTGATGATGCTACTTTTGATGATGTTGATGTTGTTAATGACTATAAATAATGGGGAGGATGAATAATAATGACAACAGTGAGAATTATGGTGATTGTGAGGATGATAATGTTGGCAATGATGGTGGGGATGATGATGAGGAGTTGATGACTATTACGATAGGAATGATGATGTATGTCTTTTGCCATGGACCACTGTCAACATTATGGTGGTGTTACTGTTGGAAAATAAGTACAAATCTCATATCGATGAATCACATATTCCTTGATCATAGCATTGGTAATGTTATTCAATAATTTAACTAGTAACAACATTAGTAAAGACTTGATAGTAGAAATTAGCTGATGTTATGGTCATGTTATTTCATTAACCAATGACTTCTTTTGTCAATTTTCTTTTCAGAATCTTCTAGGAGGTGCTTTATTTGGTCCATGGTTAGCCTTCCCTATGTGTTGTGTGTTATCAGCATTTGGTGCAACCTTGTGCTATCTACTCTCTCACTTCTTTGGTAGAGCTCTTATCATGAAGTATGCTGCAAACAGGGTCAAACCACTTCAGAAAATGGTAAATACTATTATTATTGTTATTATTATTAATTATTGGTGTCACCTTTGTGTGAGAGGGGATAAGCAAACTGAATCCATGTATTAAACTCTCTTGCCGCTCCTATTGATATAACTGATTGGGTTATCTCTATAATTAGTTTGTCTGAAAAATGGGAACTTCTCTTGTCCTTCCTTTCACTTTTATAAGAGCATGCATTTAAGATAAACATGACTCAGTTGTGTGTATTGAGCATACAGCATATAATCACTATGGAAAATCGTAAAAACCCTATTAAGTCAATTTTTATCAAGAAAAATGAACCTATTTTGTTCAGTTCATTTTGTAATAGTATTTACCTAGAGATAATCTGACACTATCTCATATGATATATCTCGGTTGGGCAGAAAAACTTGTTCAACTGCAGAAGCACCATGTATAAAGTGTATAAGATATATTATAAAATGGCTGGACATTTTTTATATTATATAACTTTACTGAGTCAAACCACTGATGAGATGATAGAATGTGTATTGATTAGTGTGTTACTACAAAAATTAAAAATTAAAAAATACACAAAGATTAAATGCATCTTTGTGTATTTTTGAAAAATACTCTTAGAAAATGAAGCAAAAAAATGGAGGAGCATTTCTTCATAAATCTGTAGTATACTAATCATTTTAGTCATTCATGGGCAAGGAAGTAAACATTTCATCTCTGTGTATGCCATACAAAATACTGTTCCGTGAGTTTTGTGGGTAATTCTGTAAAATTTCATCAATGCAACCCTTGAGTAGCAAATATTCATGTGTAATATCACTTGCTGAACCTTGTAGACACGTAATCAGATTAACCTGAATTTGACTTTCAGAAATAATGTGAAGTTTGTGACTCTGGCACTAACATGGTTTTGTTTAATTTCAGGTTCAAGACAATCTCGAGAGCCTGTTCTTCTTTCTTCTCTTCCTGAGGTTGTTTCCAATGTCACCAAACTGGTTTCTAAACATGGCATCCCCCATCCTTGATGTACCTATCATCCAGTTTTTCTTCTCAGTTCTTATAGGTGAGACTAGCATAACGGCCAAGGCTTCATAAAATCAACATGAGGGCAAAATTAATAGTTTTTGTGCACCTCCTATTGAAATGTGTGAGAGCAATGCAATAACATATAATCAGAATAAAATCTGTATCATAGGTAATACAACAGGATATTGCATATCAGTTGAGTTGATTTTGTAGAAGTCTCCGCGATCAAATTGACTTGAAATATTATTACTGTGTCTTTGAATCATTTATTCTATATTCTGTCTTCTTTTCAAAGTTCCCTTAAAACTTGATTTGAAAAAGAATTTTGTTGTTGTTCTTATTAGCTTCTATTTCTCCCAATTCAGATGCTACTAAAAGTCTTTTCTATTTTGTTTTCAATGATTGCAAATACTATGTAATGTAAAATACTATGTAAAATTCATGTGCCTTTATGGCATGTTGATTTATTTTTGTGTGTCATAATCGGTTTAGCATTTATTATGTTTTTTTCCTTCTTGATTCCCTCATTTTATTCTAGGTCTGATGCCGTATAACTTCATATGTGTGCAGACGGGTTCTCTCTTGTCTGAAATCACATCTGTAAGGGATGTTTTAACCACTGGAACGATGCTCAAATTGGCAACTATGGCAGTAGTTGCTCTTGTGCCTGGTATAGTGTTTAGGAAGCAGAAAAAGAAGATGGTGAAAGAAACATGAAATGTGTGACTTAGAGAAGGACTCAGCTCTAGCTAGGTCTGTTTTATTTTGTTTTGTTATGAATTGGTATGCTGAAAGTATGCTGAAACTTAACTCCCGAATATGTTGCATTGTAGCATTTGCAGATTTTGCACAGTTGAACTAGAAACAAATATTATGCTTTTATCAGTTTTATGTATTACTTAAAATCACGTGATATCAGTCAAAATCCTCTATAACTGTTAATTTTGTTGGTGCTATGTAGGCATTTATTTGTAAGAGTATACTCCAATATGTAGGGTATTTTCAGGTGAAGTTGTAGGTACAAAATATTGTAATTATTCTTCTCTTTGCTTGAAGCTTTGATAACATAATTATTAAAATCACTATCTTATGGCACACAGGCAGATTTGTTATACACAAGTACCTAGAGCAAATATGTACCCCTCCTACATCGATATGGCTAAATAATACTTACCAGTAATTGTCATTTTGATAACTTAGATAGTGCCTTCAGATGCACCCACACACAAACAATTATGCCTTTTGCATCATAGAACCATCTTCGAGTGCCACTACCAAAATTACTTTTGATTTAGCTTGAGTTCTTGACTCATGCATTTAAATCTTAAGTAATGAAAGGAATATGCATTTGAATTAGAAACTGAATTGATCGATATCACACACTATTTGAGTTTGGGTAGAGTAGCAGTTATTTTTTCTGCCTTTAAATTAAGGAATTTCTTGCCAGCTATCCTAAGCTCATCCCTGAAGAACAGTTACCCTAAAAGCATTTTACCAAATGAGCTGCTTGCATCTTCATCTAATGTTATATTATAACTGAATATATAAACTAGCTGAAGTCGTGCAATACCGGTAAGCAAAATTATGTACGGGTCAGGTCTGAATTGTATAGAAATCAAAGAACTATATTATTTGATATATATGTAATTCTTTATATGCATTGAATGAAAATTATTATTTCATTTGCATATTTTGAGTACTTGTATTTAATCAATTGTTAAAGTAATAATTGTATGAAACTGTAAGAAGAATGCAAATATTGGCTCTTTTAATATATATGATTGTAGGGTTCATGTAGCTCAAATTATAAGTATATTTGATTGCAAATTGTTCTCAAAGTGATATTGATTCATTCCACATTTTACATCTATGCAATAAGTTTGTTCTATAGTGCGGATATCTTGTTGATAAATCTGTACTATTTTGTATGTTTACTACATTTTTATATCCTATATATCTGTAATCAATGTAATGATCATAACATAAAGTATTTAAATTTCAACTCAGGTTCGTGGCACAATACATACAATTGTGTCATTGGCGTGGTTTACAAGACATCTAACTTGCACACCACCTGCAACACATAAAACTGAGAGAGGAATACTGAAATGTTATCCTTTTTATATAAAGGTGATTGTATTTGAGTCCTTATACAGTTACCCTCTTAAACAGAAAACATGGTATATTTATGACCAGATGATATAGACGAGATATACATGTAAGTGTACATAATCTCTCCATCAGTATTTTCTGCATGGATGTATATGTCAGCCAAGTTCCAAAAGAATACTATATATTTTTTTTTTTCAAGTGAGATGTAAATTTGCCAATGAGGCAGCCATTTTTTAGGCACTAACTGCATTAGATTTCATATAAGAAAATGTAATACATGTACATTTATCTATAATACATGCAATTCTACACATGTATGTTGTAAGGGTTATACATGTATTTCCTATATACATACCGGTACATGTATATATATATATATATGCATCATATATCTAGTATCCCATGTAGAATGGCTAGTTTGAATCTTTTACAAGTACTAAAGTTTTTTTTTATATATCTATATATCAGGCCTTAAATTTCCATATTTTTAGGGCAAGGCCACTTTTCTGTAGGGCACATTCCTATATTACAGAACAAATAGGAAGAATTGGAAAGGGCACAAAAAATTTCCAAGACCATTGAGAGGGGCATTGAGGCCAATCAAAGGGGCATCCACGGCCATGGCCTTGGTGGCCTTGGATTAATTCAAGCCCTGATATATATATATATATATGGAATCACTTCACTTCATACTATTTTTTTTATCTACCCGGTCCCTTTCTTGTGCAAATAAATTACAAGCAATAATTATCAGAAAGGAATAGTGCTTTGAGAGCGACAAGTATTTTGAACAACCCCTCTATAGAGACCACCTGTCTGCAGTGGCAACTTTTTGTGTTTCTCTTGAGTGAAATTAATAGACAGGTTCAACTGTACGTGTCCTTGTCTAGCAGAAGTGCATCCCAAAATTAGTACAGTATGTATTTCTTCTGATGACGTTCGTATGTATTACCGGTATTCAAATTACATTAATTACATCACTAGCGTTGCATAATTTGTTTAGTGTGTGAGAATTGTACATTGTAAGACAATGCGACACTACGTAATATTACAAGGAAGTTTGTCATGTGTAAGTTCACCAAACTGACGTTAAAACAGTAAACCTTCAAATAGAAAATCCAGTGACTCATTTACTGCCACATGTTTCTGCCCTACTGTACTGAGCAGATAATACCATATTTCAAGTTTTGTTTTGTATGATGATGATAAAAGAGAAGACATGCTATATAACATGTACAGGTATGACTTGCATGTAAGTATTTTTTTTATGAACGTTTTTTTTTTAATTGGGCATGCTCATGAGTAAGATTCTCATTCCATTATAACTTACCACATGTCATTAAATTATATCTACATGTATTTGTTACATGACAAGAATTGTTGGTTTTTACTTGGTGCTTAATTGTGTGAATAAGTGACTTATTTCAAGAGTACCCGATGTAACTGTAGTTCGGGAAGAGGTTAGTTTAGAATGCAAGAAAAACAACCCCATGAGAGATAAAAGATCAACCGTTAGTAAGGAAAAATCAATGTTCATGTTAGATTAAGAATGATAGAAAGTCAAACTTTATCCCGGCATGAATAATTCTGAAATAAGAACTAGCAATCACTACTACAGACATAATTTCAAAAGAAATTCATACCATTCTCATAATAATTCTAGGGCAGATTATTTTCAAAAGTTCTATTTCAAAAGTTAAAAAGTACCTTTAAAGCTAAATGAGGGTAGAGTTGAGTAGAGCCAGGTCGATGCTGATAGCTTTCTAAGTTGAAAGAGAGTGAGGGGTGAGAGATAGAGAGAGAGAGAAAGAGAGAGAAAAGAGAGAGGGGGGGGGTAAGGGGAGGGTGAGAGAGAGAGAGAGAGAGAGAGAGAGAGAGAGAGAAAGAGAGAGATCATATGAGTATGACCTTAATGCATTTATGAAATAGGCAGATCATAGAAGTCTCTGGTGAAGGTTCTGTTTGTTGAAGGAATCGTGGTCAAGTCATTGTTTCATATACAATGGCATCAGACATATGTGCTACACATATATGCCAAACAATCACGGGGACAATTATACAGAGTTTGCGAGTACCCTCTTAATGTGAAAACTAAATTTATTTGTCTCTTTTCTTTTCATCTCTCTCTCTCTCTCTCTCTCTCTCTCCCCCATCCCCTCCTCTCCCTTGGTCCCATCTCTCACCCTTCCATTCTCTCATCCCCTCCTTCCTCTCCCTCTTTCTTTCTATCAACTATGAAAGCTATAAACATTGACTTGTCTCTACAAATTGTTTCTTTCTCTATATACTCAACACTCCTTTGGGAATTCCCAATTTTGAGACATAGGATCATGAACAAAAGCATGTGTATTATAAGTAAAATTTCTTCTTCCTTAATTCCTCAAGTCAATCGTCCAAATCACAATTTTTACATGTATCATTATAGAAAAACCATTACAAAAAAAAAGGAAATGCAGTGAAACCTGTTTATAAAGACCACTCAAGGGAGACAAAAAAGTGGTCTTTATAGGCAGCTGTCTTTATTTACAGGTAACCTTAGTGTGGGATTGGGATTCAATGAGAATTTTTTAAGGAGGGAAATGAGAAATAAAGTCTTTATAGAAAGGTATTTGTTAAAGTAGGTTTCTCTGTAATCACTCACAGGTACAGTATATCCAAAAATGGGAAAATTAAGAAAATATCATTTTTGTTTCCTTGATCTTTAACCAACATTCTACTCTCATAACATTGCAACAACAAGGCTTAAGCAAGTCACATGTGATTTCAACAACACACATAAGCAATAAGATTCATATACTTCTTCACCAAGTAGACTTTATTATATAGTTCCGACAAGCAATTTACAAGACATAAACAATAGTCAAATAAACAATCAGACAGGCAGCAGCTTATAACATTTTACCCGTATCGTCTTAGTTCGCTGCCCCCAACCCCTGTTGACATCTATAACACTACATAGAGGTCAGCGAAATAACTGACCACAAGACAATCACACATCTGATACATAACATGCAAAGTGTGTAGAAACACAACAATATACGGCTATATACACAGTTATATACCCAACAGAACAATTCTTTCAAAGACTTTGGTCTACTAATTTCCCTTTTCACACATAATAATTTTCTATATTATGTACAAAAATGAGGTATATCTTTTTTTGTTTTCAAACAACAACATATAACCAACCAACAAACTGTGAGAGACAAAAACAATATTCCTTGACATTATTACAAACAAAAAATGTCAAAAGAATTAAAATACCCCAAACCTCCACATTTACTAGAAAGCTGTTTATACTTCTAAAATAAAGGAAAATTGAAAAAGATAAAAGAGGCAATTTTCTGGCCTTGAATAGCCTACAGACCAGGTATGTCCAAATGTAGGCTACATAGTTAATTCCTCAAACATTCCATGATGAAAACTGATGTCATCATTCACTGGCTTTTAATTGAATTAATAACAGCATGCATAAAATAAAACAAAGTGAAAAAAATTAAATTGACAAAGAAAGATGGAGCCCAGTTGATAGGTAGACAAAATTAGTCATAATCAACACCTTTAAAGCTCCATCATATTTGTCTGCCAAGTTAAGCCTATATTTCATTCAAAATAAATGAATGCTCCCGCCATAACATAGCCCACATACTAGATTACACTTTCTTTGGTGTGTGAACATAAACATTGTCATGTTCTGTCAGGATCATAACATACTCCAATAATAACAACTTTATCTTTGCAGCTGCTTGTGTGTTTTAATACAAGAAAAGAAGTAAATACTCAATATTCCAACATACAAATACAATGATTTCAAGATACAAATACCTTGTAAGATTTAATTAATGTACACATTTGTAAAATATGATTAAAATGTGCTTATATTTTGAAATTCTGAAAAATTGTATTTTTGTTACATTACAAGTCTCTGCTGTAAAGAAATAAATGTGCAATCAATATATTAATTTCTTCAACTATGATGTGATACATTAATAGCACATGAAGCACTACATTTTATACATTGTTCTACAGTATATCTGTGGCGTAAAATACTGATAGCGAATTTAGTGACTGAATTCAAATTTGTTAAATAAATTTATTTTAATTACTGATTCCCCCTTGAAAGAGAAAGAGAAAGAGAAAGAGAAAGAGAAAGAAAGAGAGAAAGAGAGAGAGGAAGGGGAGAGAGAGAGAGAGAGAGAGAGGGGGGGGGGGGAGAGAGAGAGAGAGGGGGGGGGGGAAGAGAGAGAGAGGGGGGGGGGGTAAGGGAATGGGGGTTGTTAGGCAGGGGTAAGGAGAACATAAAGCAAGGTATAACAAGAATTTAAATATACTGTAATAACTTTCATCCTCTAACGATTCACACAGCAAGATACAATTATGTTTAGCACACACTTTTAGAATCCAAAATTTTGTTTATGAAATGTTTTCAGCTGCTCAAGATTCTTTGGGATCACACTTGTCATAAAGTTAAACAAACTCTGAACCGCATCTCTCCATAAATGGTATAAATAACATGGTAATAAACACATAGCCTATCAAAGGCAAGCATTCTTCATTACATCTTTAATCCAAGTATGAGGCCTATAAATACTGTGATAGATAAATGTCTCTTATAAACCAAGCATAATGAAATGAATCTAAAAAGCTCATTCTAAATTTAAGCTGTGGTCTTCATTTACCCTACTGATAAGACAAGTAACGTGATGAAATTAAGAAAATTGCTTTATTGATGTCACAAGCCTACATACTTTGGTGGGTAAAAAGATTTGGCCATTTTATAAAAAACATAAAACTGAATACATGATGATGATGATAATCACACACGTGCATAAACACTGGAATCTGTACCCTGTATTTGACATCATTATCATCAAGATAATCTGATGCAACTGTCTTTAAATTACTGTCACTTTTGAATTGTGTATTAAACTAGTCAATTTCAATGATTTTTACAATATGATTTCCCCTCACACTTACATGAGCACTAATAAGTAAGCCTATATACTTTATATTCCATGGGTTTATTTTAGAATTGTGCAAACACATGATCTCAATGTTCAGAAAACAATTATTGACTAAATTCTCCATGAAACAATTTTCAGTTACGTTTTACACTAATAACGTCAAGAGATGGTGCTATGCCTCGAAATGGACCCAAACCATCACATTTATTTTTCATTCCCTCATAATATATACAATTATCCACTTCAAGGGAGAACAAGAAGATGGGTTGACCCAACATGGCATATTAATGACAATAAAGTTGAGAAAATAATAGAAAGTTGCAAAATCACCACTCCCTCGTCAAACACAAACCTGTATAATACTCTCCTAAATATACCCAATATTAACATAAAACTAATGGGGTAAGTCCAAGCTATTTTGTCCTATAATTAGAATTTAGAATATTCTGACGATGGTATTAATTTGTGAGCCCTACTAGAGCTTTGATCAGCCCATTAACAAAGCAACATTATATCGTCCTTGTTTTCACGAAGTGACGGTAGTGAGGAAAATCGTAACGCAAAGTGAATGCAATTTTTTTTCATTACCGTCACTTCGTGAAAACAGCGACGATATGTATAGTAATGGTGTCAGTTCATGTGCATATTAGCACAATAACTATTTAGTAATGTATGGGACTACACATGACCACTGGACTTGCCCACATTCACCATTGATTCCTGACGATACAGTTCCATGAAAGAGAAGAATAATAACTATTTCTATCCTAGCTTCACATAGAATGAGGTATAATAAAATGAGGTATAGCAAACAAAGAATTCAAAGTAGATTACTTAACTATGAGGTAGATTATGGAGGATTTCAAGAAAAAAACTTTCAGATAACATTTACAACAATGATGATACCTCTCCTTAACAGACATACATTCAGATAAATAGTTTAATCATTGTCCAAATTGATACATGCTCAAATGAACATGAAATCAAACTAATCCACTGATCTAAAATCATACTTTCTCGTATAATTTTATGAAGTCAAGTGATTCATGTAAAAATTCTGTACAACTTGGAACAAATCTTACTACATGTAGGTGTGTTCTGACTTAACATCGTTATCTCCAAAAAATTTAAACAAATTATCTTAAGATGGCAATGGTTACCAACTTTGAATATAGAAAATCACAATTGTAAGTAATTCCATTGAAGCCCAAACTAAAATGTCCTACATGATAAATTGGCTTAAAAGCCATCTATGAAACCTTACTGAATCAATCCGCTTTATATTTGTCAAAAAAAAAATTCAATATCTTTTCCAGAGGTTCATATTTTTTAAGAAGATCTACATCACTGTATACTGCTGTTTTGAATCCATGCTTACAGCTCTCCTGTTAGACTTTGTACAGAAGAGTAAAAATGGTAAATACAAATCAAAGATTCTACATATTATATACATGAAGCTCTTTTAAACCTAGCACACAATGTAAGAAACTTGACATACCCAGTATCAATCCGTTTTATATTTTGTTTTCATAAAATTGCTTTTTTTGTCCATACGAATCTGTTTTTGAGTAAGTATCTAGAGGCATATCTCCATATAATACTAACTACTTATAGAATGTTAAGGCAAAATTAGAAGATATTAATCCCTGAAAATTGTTTTTTTTTATGATTGATTTTCTTATCTCAAATGTCAAAACATAGAGATTAGATTATATATTTATATTTAAACAAACTATTCACACACAACACACTGGAAGTTTATTCTTCATTTGTACGAGTGAGAACACTCATGAAGATACATGTAATAATATATAATAGATAATATAATATTTACACAAATGTTTGACACTTTCCCAATCAAAAACATGTTTCATGTCACTGATGAATATATTGTTCGCCTAAAAATGGCAAGAAAATAACTTAATTATGTTACCCCTGTTCTACACTTTCACCCAAGGTGTTTGGGTGTAACATTTTAACATTAATGATCTATTCTATATCCATCATACCTAGAACCTTGCAACACGATTGATCAAAATGGGATCACACGAAAAAGGATGAATTGTCTATCGTGGCGGCCTGACGCGGTGCTCGGGACCGGCAGCCCGGGTCGGCGAAAGGCATCTGCGCAGGGAGCTCCACCTTGGCCTTCGTGTCTTTGCACTCTTGGTAAGGAGGACTGGCCCTTGCAGTTGATCCTAAACCCTAGGGTAGTTCCACTCCGAGCGAAGGCATCGGCCCGGATCTTTCAGAAATCTGGTCACACCCCTTTGGCGAAGGTAATCGAGTCAATATTCCCAAATCCAAAGGCGGAGCCTGCCGTTCTGTGGGCAGTGGCCCACAAAAAACGACTCCATCAAGCAAAACCTACATGTATAAACATTTCAAATATTGTTTTTGTTTTTGTTTAACCCTGTTTTTTGCCCTTTGAACTTGAAACAATTAACAGTTGGGATTATTTGGCAAGATTACTTATAAATATAGAGTAGTTCAAAATTTACAATAAATGATCCCCTTGCTATAACCATCCAATATTTTGTTACTTTTTGTTTAAATACAAATCACCAAAATATTGTCACCAGAAGATATACAATTTGTGACAACCACCAGTATGTATATACTATTCATATTTCATACAACATGCTTCTTTACATGCTTCTGTTCTCTGCAGAGAGCCAGAAGGGTGTTAGCTGATGTGACTTACATAAAGTTAACATCCTTCTGGTTCTCTGCAGATAGTATGATCAGAAATCGTTTCAAACTGACCACTCCCTGAGAGGTATAGGTTACCATGGAAACTAATAATATCATCTGATCACCTGATAAGAATATAACTTTCCTGAGATACTTCATCGGTTAATCCTAACCACGCCAGTGACAGAGGGTCTGATTCAGCTCTAGTAAATTGTCTCTTGAGAGCAAGAAAGGAGACAAACCTGTGTTCAATGATAGGAATTAACATCCTTCTTGCATTGAGCAGCGCTTATAGTTGCTGTCTGTTTGTACTCCTTTACTCATTCCTTCTTACAGGGTATTACTCCTGAAAAGATTCTTTTGTAATCTACATATCAACATTAAACAAGGATAAAGATATTTAGCAAGGAATACAAGTCCCTCCATTATGATGGTGAAACATAATGGAACCTACTTTATACTTATTTTAAATTAACAAGACTTTTCAAGAATTTTCTCACATGTATGATCAAATTATTCTAAATTATAAGAGGATGTGGGTGATTTCAGCAAATTTTATTATATTACTGCTGCATGAACAAGGGGATTGTTTGGCATGGAAAGGATTACCGATATACATGTAACAATCTTTAGAGTAAACGAAAACACATGAAGATATTTCTTGAGATACCACTTCTCACGTGGCTCATCCATCAAACAAGTTTGTGTATACACCACATGGAGTAATGGAACTACTTCACATCTTGATAACATGGAGTCTTCTCATCCAAATACATTATAATAATAAACATAATATTCCTGAGACTAACGTGTTTACATATCTACAAGCATGAGTCTAGCCAACATATCCTTTCATAAAACCTAAAACATGAATAATTGAAAAGAATATTTAACCAGAATTAAATATAGAAAACTTGAATCAAGTGTGGATGGAGTAGTATGACGACCGTTGAGGTAAGAGGAGAGGGTATCAAGGATAGGCAGCAATGGTAGAACAGACACATCATCTACTCTCAAAGACCACTCCCAACCCTACCTGATCCTGGATAGAGCAGTCATACCTAGGAATACCCTCTGCTCCTTCAACAACAAATGGATGCATGTGAATGGTTCACACTTCCCTGCAATATTGAGTTGATTTGGATCCTGCTTCATCCTTCTTATTCCGGTCACAACATTGAGACCGACATGGATTGCTACGATAGACCAAACTTAAACTCCAATCAACCTGAATACCGGTAGCTAAAGTTTAGATGGTTATCCATAGGTCTGAAGGTGTGACAGGGATATCATGTAGTAGATTCTATGCAGAATGAAGAGGACAGACTGCTTTCTGCTTGATTTGGTTATCTATTTCAAGGGTTGGATTTGAGGTAGGAGGAATAGGGTGACTCAGACCAAAGCATTATCATCAAACATCTCCAGGAATATCTGAGGAATCTCGTTTGGTCGGTCCAACTTGATACACATGATGCGCTCAGCATGTCTGGCACTGATTGTCCTCAGGTCAGTTATCTGAAAGGTACAAAGATCAAGTTTGATTAATATTTTATCCATATCAAGATTGATTTGTACTTGTTAAATCAAGACAATACTCAACTGAAATATATTTTCTGATAGCTGGAGCTAAACCCTAGAACAACATCCCACTTTGTATCAGTGAAATATCTTGTCCTGTTGAAACATATTTATTTCCCCAGTGATATAATGTGATTTAAGTGGTATCATCAAATGACTGGTACTTTGCAACAGACATATTTACAAGTCAATATGTCTGTAGGCCTCCAAATGACAGGCAAATTACTAGGAAAACAGATATTAATAGGTCTTATTGTATTTACAGTATGTATATTGCCAAAAATATACTTGTAAATCTTGTTAAATTACCTTCATGAGAATCTTAGCCCAGTGCACAGGTGTCTTAGGCCTGGATTCATTGATGAAATGTTGAAAGGCAGTCAGCAAGCTGTCCTGTAATGTCTCCACCAACTTAGCCTCCTTCAAACCTGGTCGGTCTGTGTGTGAGGAGATCAAGCATATCAAGAATATTCATTGATTTTGACTGCAAAGTGGAAGATTATAAATCTTTAAAAGTCACTGTTATCTCAGTATTCAAGTTTCAAGTTAATTTACTTCCCTTTATCGAAGATAACATAATTGAACATAATGAACTTGTTAATAACTATAACTAGACATACAATATAGGAACATAATGTACATGATAATAGTTAGAACAGAGGATACAATCATATAAATCAATCAAAAAGCTTGTATTAGGTAGGTCCCAGTTAATATGAATTCTGACTATGGCTTAAGCAATAGCTATATTTCACATTTATAAATATCATTAAAATGTTTGTGTGACGTCTTTTATTTTATTTTAATCATGCATCGGCTACTTCAAAATGTTTGGAAAAATACATTGAAGAGATTCGGTAAAATGACTTTTAAGAAGAATTCAATATTTTGGTTATATATCTTTGGCACCCTTGCTACCCATATCGATTTGATAAGAATTTTCTATTAAAAAATGTTCACAAGTTGGGATTGATTAAATTTTGTATAAAATGCATTTCTCATTGCCAATATCAATAGATGGAAACCTAGGGATACTTCAATGGTAATTGGTTACTGAGCAGTGGAATTTAAAATGTTAAAATGGCATAGTTTCTATCTTCCTCACCTCCTGCAATCAGTAATACAGCAGCTAGTAGGGCCATCTCTGTTTCTGTGAGTTGTAATCTAGACATACTGACTGCAAAATCAAAGATGGGCTCGATGAGCTCGCTGAGGACACCATGATCCATGTCGGACTTGCCGACCCTGAGACCGTTGGATAGGATCAACTTCTGACTGTCTGGATCAAACTTCTGTGCTACCCTGAGGCACATGATCTCCATGCAGCACGTCTTTAGTAATAAGATCTGATCATCATGGTGGAGCTGGAAAAGAGCATTTTAGAAAAAGCATATATTACTCTCTAAATCCTATGATTTCATGGTCATTAACAATATTTGTGACCCACACACCCGGACAAAACGTGTGAAAAAAATTACTTATGATTTAGACGATACTGTCTTTATGTATATAAAGATTGGTGACATTACTGAAAAATTACAATTTGATCTCTCTTTACAAAAAATGTTATTATTATAAAATATTTTTATTGGAATTAGCTGTAAGAAACAATTCATAAAAGGATAAATAACATACTCAAAGCAGTAAATTGTATTTTCCTCATTAAACAGCTATGAAACGATCAATATTTTGCTCACAATTTCTAGTTTCTGTGTGTGATGCATTACCTGACACTTTTTGTACTGCTTTTGTACTTTTGTAACTTTTGTTTGTTTGTTTCATTTCCAAGAATCATGATCAAAAACAATAACACAATATATAAAATCAAAGACTTATATAACATAATAGAGTGATAACATGGTTGGATAGTCCATTTCAGAGCCATTAACCTAATGGCTCTGTTCTTCCATGGAGTCCAATTAATTTTGTAGACAAGCAAACTTTACATGAACAAATATCATCTGTCTTTGACATCACATTGAGATGCTACTTACACCTGTAAATCCTGGTATTCTCTTGGCAAACTCCACCACTTTGACTATAGAGGGCGTCATAATCTCGGACAAGGGTTTCTCATCTTCCAACTTCTGTTTCTTGCTATCAGGTTCACTCTATATGTAGGAGATAAAGATGTTGATGATGATGATGGCAATCATCCTTGAAATCTATTGTGCATGTCGAGCTGGGGGGGGGGGGGGTGAATTTTGCCCCCCCTGCCCTTGCAGGGTTACTGTATGTCCAATTAGAACCCTAGCCCTTCCCAAATATCATTTTACAAATAAAGCCTGGAGTAAATGTAGGATCGCCGATTATAATGGAGAGGGTCTTAATAATCAGGAAAACCTTGTAAATTGTAATCCCTAAAGAATACTTGAAATCCCAGATGAAAAGATTTGACAAGAGTCAAAAGTAAGAATGAAAATAGGGTTACATTGCAGCTACATGAATGTTGTCAAGAAATTCTTCAATTTTAGAATGGTCATCTCACCTATTTTAAGGAAATTAACTCAGGAAGAATCTACTCCTGTGAGAGATGTTTGTTATTCTGCAGACTAATACGTATCAAACAAGAATGAAGAAAAACAAGTATTCTAAATGCTGATTTTAGAATATATTCTAGGAACTTCCTCTGGAGAGGTCAACAAAATCAATTTCAATATGGGAGGTAAAATGTAGCGCTGTTAATAAATGCTATGAAAATCAGCAAACAAAAGAATTCATGAAGTTACACTTGTAGTATTTTTGATGACCCATGGTCACTTTGCTTTTTGACATTAACCCCCACATAGCTCAATATCCAGTTTGAATGGGGGATGTTATGAGCTGTTTAAGATGACATAAATATCTTTAACTTCACATGAGCATGTGTGATGTTGCCTTGGCCTGAACTGACAGGCTTAGCAATGCAAACAATCCCTAGGGTAAACCTGTGGGCTAACATGTGGCCCTAGATGATAGGTATAGCAATGTAAACAGTCTCTAAGGTAACATCAATCTATACATTAATCTGTGAACTGATGAAAACATTCAATTACCATGGCAACAGCTGTGGTGAAGTGAAAGTAGGTATCGAAGTAATGGAATTCAATTGGATTTTTTATTTGGGTTATCAAAATGACTAAGGAATCCTTCTTTACATGAATTCCTCTAGGTTCCGCACCAAGAGTATTTACTTTAAAAAAAAGCTCCCTCATCAGATTACTGTTTCGTATGACAATATTGAATTTAATACCAACTAAAAACAGAAATACAATGGGTACCACAACCAACCTTTTCCATTAATGGAAAAAAATAAAAGAAGAAATAAATTAGAGATAGAAAGGAGGGGAGAATGATACAGACGAAGTCACAACCTCCTCCCCCTCTCATTATTATCCACCTTATCAGACCAGTACCCCATTCCCCGATCCCCCACCCCATTCCCCGATCCCCCCCCCCCCTCCCCTCATCCCCATGACTCCAGTGCCCCCTCCCCCAATGGTTGGACCCTCGTTTCGTGTATGTCACTATTTATGCCTACAGATTATAAACGTAGGTGAAATTCTGACACAGGGGATGGACTACATTTAACTTGAGATATTTCGACAAAAAGGACCAAGGAAAAAGGTCAAACAGACGGGAAGGGGGGGGGGGGTTTGTGGTAGTTATATATAGTATAACAAAGAATTATTATATATTAAAGATACAAACCTCTTCTCCTGAGCTAGATTCTCTCCTGTACATATGACTTGTTTGTTTATGAGCTACTAAGATAGCTCTGATCAAAGCCTCTTCATGATCTGTTAGCTGATTATTAGCAATTAGACCAGTCTGTCTCAACATTTCTTCTCTGCCTCGCTTCTCACGATTCTCTTGTATCAGCGCTCTCTTTGCTTTGCGTTGACTCTCGTTGAGTACCACTATAGAGATAGAGAACAAGACAAAATTAAGATTAAAGCCAAAGCATTTTACACATCAGATCTCCAAGTCTTGTCGTTATTATCATATTCATAGTAGAATTGTGCATCATTTATAACTTCTTACAATAACATAATTATGAATTCACCACTGATTGCCATTACATGTGTTATAGAGGTCTATCATATCCTCATACATGCACGCGATCTGACAATTGCAAACTAATTGAAATAATGCTTATATTTCAATAGTATTACATCCATTCCCAAAACATTCAAGTAAGGCAAACTCTGATCCAAACACTTGTCACTATTTCAAAGATATTGTTAAACACTTTTGAAAGTCTTAGGAATACCAAGTTTGTAAACGAAATGATGATCATTTCATATTAAAAACAAGAATTTCGCTACTTTACTATGCTTCCATTATTAATTTGTCAAAATTGGAAAATTGTATTCATAATGGCTGTAAAGATCAAGAAAAGTATCTTTCTAAATTCAATCTTTATGGGATTTTTTCTGAGTAATTGCACACATATAACATATTCCAGGTTGAATCAGACATACACATAAAAGAATTATTGGGATGGAACTATGTTTTGCAGATCATTTCTAATTTCCCCTTAGGGAAAACATAGACAGAAGAGATGGTGTAAAGAGAAAGAGGAGGCCGACTATTCTCCTCCTTAAAAGGTTTATGTTTGTCGAGCAATAGCATTCAGTGGGTTGACCTTAGTTTTTAATCCCTTCAGGACATCTTATGACCTTACTATCATTGATTCTATTCAACAAGGATTAAATCTTAACATGAATGGAGAGGGGAGAGAGAAAGAGAAAGAGGGACAAAGAGGGGAGGAAGGGAGAGAGAGACACACACAGAGAGACACAGAGAGAGAGAGAGAGAGAGAGCGAGAGAGAGAGAGAGAGAGAGAGAGAGAGAATGTGTGAAAAAAATGAGAAAATTGGATAGAAATGGGTGAGAAAATAGAGTGATGAGTAGGATAATAAAGAAATATGAAGGAAAAAAAGAGAAGAAAATATGATAAAAGCTACATAGGTGAGAAAATAGATCTGAGAATGAGAAGAGAACATTAAAGAAAGAAGATATAATTGGAGATGGAGTGAGTAAAGCAGAATATTAGGTGCAGGTACATAGGTAAGAAAAGGAAGAAAACGTGAGAGTGAGAGAAAAGAAAATATGAAGTGTGAACATGAAGGGGGGGGGGTGGGGAGAGCAGCATAGTGAACAGGCAAACCATAAGAAATGTATTATATAACACAGGAGGGGGGGGGGAGAAAGAAAATTATGAAGAGAAATGGAGACCATGCAAACTGTACAGAAAGAATGAATGACAGCAAGAAGAAAACAGGGATAAAAAGAAACATGGAATAAGTTTAAACATAAATATCAGTATAGGCCATTACAAGTGGGCCTCCTACAATATCTGGAGGAAAATGGAAATGGAAATTATTTGATGAACGATAAATTGAAAGTATGTCAAAACAAGAAGCATTTCAACCTTAGAGTAGATAGAAAAACAAGATGTCCCTGATCTATTTTTTCATTTCCATCTTTCTTTTCTAATTCATTCTCCATTAAGCCGCAGCTCTTGTCCTTACGTGTCCTTGTTTGAGATACTTCATGTCCTCAGTCAACACAAAAGATACCCATGCAAATGCCTTGGTGGTAAAACTTCAAAGGAAAACCGATTACAAACAGGTTGCGTAACCCCACATCACCTTACATATCCTTTCAACATTATTGATTAAAAGATACATTCACATCCTTTGGCTCTTTGGCTCAATGCACACAGCGGTAAAGATGGAGCAAGGTTACTCGGCCAGCCCGAAGACGTGACAATTTATTCATGTTACTTCAAGAATATATTTTCTTCTTCGCTTGCTATTTTTGTTTTCCTGGCCCTGGCTTAGCGTTGCTATGTTTCTGAGCTGCTGGGTAGGGGATGCTCTGAGATAAAGGTTATCCATTCATTCCATTGTCATGAAAATGCAGACCTTAAAATGAACAAACTCTCTATCATCAACGATATTAATACCTTGTAATTAGCGAGGGAACAACATTTGTATTGAGTCTTATAATATTGCCTGTGTTCTTTCTTTGCCATTTTACTTCCATAGTTGCCTCTCCATTTCTCATGTGACATAAAGAGCTTATCACAAGACCTTGAGAGACTTTCATTTATTATTAGGCCTGTCTTCATCAGTTTGAGATTGCCAAATAGCCCGCTATTTCTGATTTGGGAAATAATCCTGAAGTTACAAATCACGTCTTTATCAGCTCGAGACTTGACCTCCAAACTCGAGATATTTTGCTCAGCGTTGGCACATAGTGCAAGTCTTCGAGCTGGTGAGGACGCACCGGACAAATAGTGTGATATTTTGCAATCTAGTCCAAGATATCTTGGGATGATTACCTCGACCAAATATCCCGCTAATTGCACCTTTGGGCTGATGAAGATGCAAATAAACTGGATAATTTGCAGGCAGGATAGTTGAAATAGCGGGATATTTGGCAATCTCGAGCTGATGAAAACAGGCTTATTATTATTATACAATTTCTCCAAGGCAAGGCGACGAGGATAATTCTTTAAAAAAAGGAGCTACTCATCTGTTGATTTGACAAACAATGTAGGACTGCCCTCAGCAGTGTTCTCCTAATCCATCGGCCAAGAAGAGAACCGTTCTACCAGGACTGCCTTTCATTCTTATTATAGGCTTATCACTTTTATTATACAACATTACAAAGTATTTTTCTTTACTATCTAACCTCCTTCCATGGGCTCTATGACATGATTTAACCTCAGCCCAGTTAAAACCAATGCTGTTTTGGTGCAAAACATACTAACATACAACATCAAACTACATACATGTATGCATGTATTTACTAAATAGATGTACAGAAAAAAATTGTGTGTGGATTGCAACCCCTTTTCTTTCTATTCGCATGCCCTTATTATAATGTAATTGAGCATAATTGTAGATAAACACATTTTCTACTTGAAAAGATAACCATTCCGATAGAGATCTCATTTAAAATAAGACTATTGATGTCTTCCTGCATTCATTTGTCAACACTTTAAGATTGCTCTGCAGGACCCCACAAGCTTTCAAAGCCTTGCCTTATATAGCAACAAACTCAGACAATGACTGGTCCCACATCACGTGCTGAAATAATATTTCACTGTATTTATATAGACTTCATTTGTTAAATTAATGAATTTAAGGTTCAATTTATTCTTGTTTATGGATTCAGAAGAATCCTAGAAGTATGAATTATTCAGTATTTCTCGAATTCACAGCTCACCATTTTTTGTTATTTATTCTACATTTAATTCATTTTAAAAAGGGAAATCCTACTATGGGGGTGTATGCTAAATCATGAGTTATCACAAGGAAAGACTTATAAAAAGGAATAATTTGTTACATGAAAACAACATGTATGACAGAAAAGGTGCTTGATCTTCTTTTTCTCATTGACTGACAAGCTCATACAAAGTAAGTGTCTCATTTCTTGAAGTATCGTGACCTTAGGATGAGAGGTCATTCGCTATCTTGTCCTCAGCAACCAATCTTTCTTTCACTCTCTCTCTCTCACATTTGTTTGGTTGAAGATCCATGTCAAGAGAACTGTCAGCAACCTGTCCCTGCTGACAGGGAGAGCTTTTCATCCTTTCACCTGGTGTAACAAAGGCACAAGTAATGTGACCTCATGATCCAATACAGTAGACTGATGGTCCCATAATCCTGCCTTTCAATGCATTACTCCACAACACATCAGCGTAAACACTTCCGAATATCCCAAAATGACCGTCCTCTCCCCCTCCCTTTGTCCTGGGCTCTATTTGCCATTTTCTTGACCTCACTTCTGGGTTTGCCTGCCTCCCTCAATGGAACGAGAAGACCTTACACCACCCCAGACAGACAGATAGACCAAAGCTTTTCTTTCTTAAAGAAATGATGAATTTGGCTCAAAATTAGACAATTGAAGCCAGAGAAAGGATCTCTGTTTGGCCTTAAAGGTACTATGTCCCTTTTGCAGCCAACCTCAAATGCTGTAGAACTTTGCAGGAATTATGAATATGTCATGTATGTCCTATCTGTGAAATTTAAACGTTATCAGTGTCCTCATATTCAAATTATGCAAGGAAACCCTTGTACTTGCTAGACTTCACTGTCAGACACTATTGAGTGACTGACGGGCTTTTTTACTTCTTTGGTAATAACATGCATGAAAAGAGTTGTAAAGGGTACATGAGCATTTGTCTACATCAATAACCCACTTCTTGTGATGGCCAAGATTAAACTGATTGAATCTTTGCGCAGCATAAAACGTATGACCATTCGGTACAATTGTCTGGAAATCAAGACTATTACTTTTGGGCTCTATAGCCCTAAAGTCGATTTGACAACTAATATTCGTTATTTTCCCACTTTAAGACATTTTCAAGCCCCACCTTTTTAGGGAAGTTCTAAATTAGTATTGTCTTTCAAATGCAGTTGGAATTTAACTTTTTCATTTTTTGGGCCTGCAAATGGGACATAATACCTTTAAGGACAGAATTATTGGAACATTCACAGCTCTATAATGAGAAGATTGCAGACAGAGCATGCTGACTGAAGGATAACAAGGTTACATACAAATAATCAAAATCTACCAGTAGACAAAAAAACGAGAAGGGAGAAAATTCTTCCCAATTAATTGAATGGGAGGATTAGACATTCTACTTTCACAAATGCTTTACCTTAATTTCTAACAGAAGCCTCTAAAAATAAATCATGCAGCATTGAGCCAACAAACAGACGAAACATTCCAGGATTTCTCTTTTTATCCAATAAAAACTTTCTCCAAAACTGATTTATTTTTATTTTTTCAACCTTGTGCTCAAGGGAATTGAATTGGAGGATTAGGCATTCATCAAATTCAATCAAATTAATGAATACCCTGCTTATATATCATTAAATGTATTCAATTGGAGTCTTATAAGAGATGTATTTAACAAAATAAACAAAATAAAGAAAACAGCTTATACAGAAATATGCTTGCTGGTTGGAACATGTTGACTGAGCTCGTACATTAGAAATAAAATAAAAGGGGAAACTTATAGAAAAAACATTTTAAAAAAAAACAATTGAAAATATGTTGAAATTATCATGTAAAAACTAAAAATCAACTTCTGTGAAATGTACAGGATAGAGAGAAAAGGGACAAACAACGTTCATGAAAAATCCAGCACTTTTAATAACGAGTTGAGCATATTAAATAAGAAAATAAATGGTAGTTACTTACAATCTGGTGCCATGCCCACGTTAAGACATTTCTTATAACGGCATTGCTGACATTGATTTCTGGTTGTTTTGTCTATGATGCATTCTTCATTCCATTTACAGTAATAGCTTAACTTCTTCTGAATCGTCCTTCGAAAGAAACCCTGTGTAGACAGGACAGGAAGAAGGGTTTCAGAATAATTGAAAGTCTTAAATGCTACATACTTGAAAGATCAGAAGATCTGTGTATCACCATTTCTTCATCCATGCAAGTTTTCCAGTTTAAATCAATTAATTGATATCCTACTTTGTGAAATAGCGAAGTCAAAGATGTGTATGTTCTCATCTAAAGTTTGGTTTATGAAAAATATTCTCACCTGGTGAGTTTTGGGGTCTACTTCAGATTTTCAGTTATAACTGGTCATTTACAATACACTGTCCTCCATGTTGTATATAAGCCATTTGCATTGTTGCAATATACAATCTTTGGCTAGTTTTTAGGTTATTCACTGACTTTTTGTAAAACACTGCATAAATTATTTATAATGATTCAAGATTCAAGATTATCTTTGAATCATGTCCAATTTGTGTACCTGGTCAACCTCTACTAGACTTGGAGCATTTTTCGTCAAAGTTCAGTCTTCTGACAATACCAAAACCCTACAATGACCTACATGGATATCCATGACATTTGAATAACGTTCTATGTTTTCAAGAATCTTACAAATATATGTCTATGTCAAGATCTTCATTAGATCTTCCCTGCCTAATCTTACCCAAGACATAGTCTCAGATTACAGACTCCACAAATGCACACTGCACACTATACAACCCATCTGTAACATACTTTTCAAAGAAATTGCACAGGATATGGAAATGTAAACAGATATATTCTTCCTGATCAGTGTTCTGAATAATGATAACTATAATTATAGAGTATTTACACCTTTTAGTCAGAATAAAAGCTGAATCGATATCAAGTTGTATAATATGCTGATGTTACTATGATTCTAAGCCGTATAGCTTTACCTCCTCCAAGGAAGCATGAAAATCATTGAAATTAAGATTGTATTAATCATATGACCATTTGGATCCTTGATCATTAAGGTCTTAGAATTTTGAATGTGTATTTATCCAATGCTATATTGCAAATATTCAAAAATTTGATTGTATAGTGTGTGGTGGGCTTCACAGAATTGCGGGCCAAATCAGTCAGTACACTGTAGTTAAAAGTATAGCATTTTAATCAAAATAAATCAGTTTTTATGTAGACTCTAAACATATATCTTCAAACCAAATCCACCACATGTATATCTTACGGCTTTAGTATGCTGTATGAGAACCCACAAAAAATTGAAAATATTGACCATTTACAACTACATCCTTTTATTCATCAACTATTATCAAACTTCTTCTCTATTTTCTACTGTTCTTTTTCCTGAGAAACTATTGAACATTTAAATAAAGATCTTTTTACTTATCAGCAAGTATCAAGGCACTATGACAATTTTCTCCTGCTTCTACTCCTCCCCCTCCCTTTCTCTCTCTCTCACTTCTCCTCTCTCTCTCTCTCTCTTCTCTTCTCTTCTCTTCTCTTCTCTTCTCTTCTCTTCTCTTCTCTTCTCTTCTCTTCTCTTCTCTTCTCTTCTCTTCTCTTCTCTTCTCTTCTCTTCTCTTCTCTTTCCTCCTCCGTTTTTTTGCTGTATATTGTTTCCTGAGGGGAGGGCATCAATAGGGACTATTGCACGTCGACATAGTGCACTGCTACGTGTCACGTCCTTTTAAGGCACTGCCTTAAAAGGATGTCACGGTGCCTTAAAAGGAGGTCACACGTAGCAGTGCACTATGTCGACTGATGTGCAAATCTAAAAGTCCCTATTAAATTCCAAGCACCAACTACAGTTAACTCACCTTGCATCCTTCGCATGTCATACACCTGTAGTGATAGCCAGTAGCAGCATCTCCGCATACTACACACGGTTCAGGACCATTACTCAGATCCATGTAGCTTGGTATGTATGGTGATTCTATACAAAATAAAACAAACAATGCCACCACTATCATTGTCATGGCTACATAAACCTAAAGCGGCTAAACCAGTGTTCAAACAAGTGCTTCAGGCTATATTTCGTCATAAGTATAGGGTTAGGGTTAAGTTTGCAATGGGTTTGTAGGTTCGGTTCAGGGTTAGGATTTCGGTTACATGCAGGTAGTGTAGGAAAGTGAATGAAGATCAAACAAGCTCAGATAAATGTTGAATATACAAAATGTAACTTATAGTTATTACTTCACAATCACTGATTTTGAAGAAAGAGCTAAATTCTACCACCAAACAGATGAACCTCTTCAGTGATTTAGGCTCAGGTACAATTAAGAATAATACTGCAATTTCGGAGAAAAACTAGCTCATCTAAGAAATCCGGGCAAAACAAGGGTATAGAAAAGAAAAACACTTTTGGTTCACTGCCAACAAGCCTTTAAGGAAAGGCCATATTGAGCTGATTATAACACTACCCTCAGGAAAGTCTTACATGACTTCACTTCAAGAAGTACCAGGTTATCATGTAAGATTGCATAACAACTGACCCTAGTCCAAATCAAAGGAAAGTATATATCAGGTGAACTCTGTCCATGGTTTACATGTAGGTCACTTCCACATCTTCTCTCATTACATCCTGAAGACTATTAACGTATGACGTGGTAAATGACTGACAAATATTGCAATGGTGAATAAAACTAATCAAAGGGCGATCCAACCCTTGAAATAAATTTATGTGTATGGCAGAAGAAAATAAGATGGTGAAAGTTTGAAATAAATCTGACCAATAATGAGAAAGTTATGAATGTTTGAGATTTCTGTTTCTCTCTTAAATGTCTCCCCCTTGGGGGCACTACTCAAAACAAAATATATTATGGATAACAAATCACCATAGGCCTATGTCCTCTAAAGAGAAATGACCCCCTGAGTCATACACTTTTGAAAAAATTAGTCATTATGTTTGTTTGAACAATTGGGAAAGTTGTCCGCCTCTACATCACAGAGACATTTAGCCAATTTTTTGATGTACATGTATGTTGAGTTGCTGACTTCAGAAATCAATCACTAATTGTATTATGTCTGATTTTGAAGACTATGGATCTCCATTTGGGTGGGATCTCATAACTAGGTACCCACCCGTGTTGTACTACATCTATATTACTAATACGCAAAATCGCCGCGGGGGGTCCAAACGGGTACAAAACGGTTCCTCAAAAACGTCTTTCCCCGACCCCGCCCGCCTCCGCCGTGGCGCGGGGAGGGCGGCACAATTCCACGAGGTCTGTCTCCCGTAACCCGCGTGCCACGTCGACCCCGCGATCGACGTCCATGCCGTTAAACGCGGTTTCGGGGTGCCGGGGAGGACGGGCGGACGAGAGCACGGCGGGCGTCGTGGATTGCGAGGAGGCGACGAACCCGCGAGAGCGAGTCGGCAAGGCGTGCACCCGCCCTCTGTCTAATTATCAAAGAGAGACGAAGAGACACACGATGGACGAGAATCCACTCGCGTCAACGGGTGTAGCAAGTCTCATTGTAAAGGGCTGCGGCGTATACCGAGTAAGGCCTCTTGCTGTAGGATATGCTTTGTAGCATGTAAGAGAAATACATATCAACAGACGACTCACCCGGGTGAGGGGATGTAGCCAATATGCACGCTCTCACGGGTTCGGCTTACCCGTGTTATGCGTCTTTCTATAGGATATGCTTTGAAGGCCAGGCGCCCACAGTGTACGTGTATTACACGCTCTCAGGTCACACACATGCACACACCACAGTCGATTCGAGTCGAGGCGATTGCGACAACTGGCGCAAACCATGGACCTATTTTCACGTAAAATTTTTACTCTGAAAATAATTATACAAATTCTGTGATCTATGCCAACATAATCATAGTCCAAGCTTCTGTTTTATTGGTCTTTTCATGAAAACTACATCGAAATCACAACAAGAATAGCGCAAATAGATCTGTGATAGTACGCCTTCACGTGACAGTTCAGTTACAAACTGCCTTGAGTCCACAGTGTATTGCCACGGCAGCTGAGCGCTGCTGTCGGAGGTGCTGTCGGAGCTGAGTGTGTGAGCAGGGAGTAGCGGTGACCGGAGTAGCCAGGTCTGTCCGTGGTGTGAGGAGAGTCTAAACAACACTTTGAAATTGCTATTATTGCCCCGATTTCAATATAGTTTCGTGAATAGATGTATGAAACCTGGGCTTGGATTGTGATTATTCTGGCCATGTATAGTTGTATACTGAATTTCGATAATCATTTTTCAAATTAAAGTTTTCACAAGAAAATCAGACGGTCGTCATGGTCGTTTAAAAACATGATAATACTTTTAGTATGATACAGTTCTTGCATCAAATCAATTTTTAAAGTATGGGGGGGGGGGGGGTCAGGTAACTCAAAGCGATTTGAGTGCAGGCGTGGTGTCCACGGGTACAAAGGGCTGAACCCCCGAAAGCTCAGGGGTTTTAGGCATTACGGTCAGATGAGCATATTTTTAATGCCTTATTTGTGACACTGGCAGGTCGATCACTAATTGGCGTGGGGTCCATAGTAGAGTTGCGTACCAACTACACTGAGCTGAGAGTACGCTGGCCTACGTTACTATACCCTGAGGGACGCAAAAAAGTACGCAAGATGGACGCAAACAATTTAATATGTTTAACAAAATTCGCATACTTTCGGCGTAGAAACTTGACGCAGAAAGTACGCCTTTTTACGTAACACTACGCTACTAAACTAAACAAACTGCATCTTTAAATGAATTAATGAAAAATTAGCCCAAGAAAAATTAGCCCTCGAAAGATAAAAAAAAGTAGCCCCCAAAATTTTCCCAAAATTTGATATAGATCGAGTCCCCGAAAAAAAAAATCTTTCACTGGATTCTACGCTCACAGTCCCACACACAGTCGAGTCAATTTGTGCACAAACCGTCCGATTTTTCACGTAAAATCTTTCCTTTGAAAATAATTATACACATTTTGTGAACAATGCCAACATAATCATAATCCAAGCCTCTGCATACATGTATGTAGTCTTTTCATGAAACTACATTGAAATCACAACAATAATAATGCAAATAAATCGTAATTATCGAGATCCTATCTGACATACCGTATTTGCCGGCGTATAGGCCGCAGTATTTTTGGAAGAAAAAATATCAAAAAGTCGGGGTGCGGCCTATGCGGCGAAAGAGTAAAAAAAAGATTTTTTTTTTTTTTTTTTTTTTTTTTTTTTTTTTTTAGTTTTGATTTATGGCGCTATGCCTGGCAATGTCTCCCAGCTCAGTAATCAGTGTTGACTCACCACTCGAAAACTACAACAACACTAAAATTTGTCTGTCATCTTGGTTTGAAAGTAATCTTTCTAATAGATCTCAATATGTAGTTTATAATAATAATTCCTCAATTTTTTTTATATAACAAATGGTGTACCACAAGGTACTATCCTAGGACCTAGTACTCTTTTGTTTTTAATTCACATTAATGATCTTACACATTCTTCTAAAAACGACATTGTTACTATTATTTTGTGACAAGTTTACAAGCACAAATCAGCGCCTTTAACTGCACCTCGATGTTAAATGAAGGTCCTTCCCCGCGTGGGTTTTCGGCAACAAAACAACAACAACAACCAAAAAAAAAAAAAAAAAAAACGATTTTTTTTTTTTTTTTTTTTTTTTTTTTTTAATGTCAAAATCGGGGGTGCGGCCTATACGGCGGTGCGGCCTTTACGCCGGCAAATACGGTAGTTTGTTTTACGATGCGCCATTCATGGTCAAACAGCATATATTATAAAAATTCTCTATATATAAAGATAATCTAAATTTTTTTTGGATAGCACATAGGCCTCTATCTATCTATCTATTTGGCCCCCTCCCCTAGAATCCCGTGGATTTTCCACGGGTCCTGCTAGTAGTACAGTATTATTCATGCTGTCATTAATCACAAATACTACAAAGGACAGGTTCTTACTCACAAATATATTTCAGCAAAATCTGCAGGAGAGCATTGAGTAATCCTTACCCTAAAGGTACTTTTTAACATTCATGAGCAAGTATTTAAAACAATCATCCAAAATATTTGGAACATGAAATTTACGAGTGATGAAAACAAATATATATATATATATATATGTTCAAATGCTTCTCTCATCAGATTTTACCCTTTCATCCCACATGCACTTTGAAATGCATGATGAAATAATTCTAGTAATCTTGAAATCCACAATACCCTTGTAAAAACAAGAAGAATAATAAAAATCCTCCTTTTAACTTTTTATTGTTTACAAAACTCAGCCCCACAGCACTGCAGTTTTAAGAATATTATGCACCATACAAGTATCGGTTTAAAAAAATTATTATTATTATTGTCATTATTATTATAAATAATTCAAGGAATTAATCTCAACATCATTTTACACCAGTATGCAAAATGATTTTAATACAATAGTTATTGCAAATGCACACCTGATAACAAGAAGCTTAATTGTAATTATTAGTATTACGAGTCTGCACAATTGAGAGTGAAAGACTAAGACTCAATGACCTTTACCTTACTAACATTGACTCAGGGAGATAGACAGAGAGAAAGAGAGAGAGAGAGAGAGAGAGAGAGAGAGAGAGAGAGAGAGAGCCTGAGGGGGGGGGGGGGGGGAGAGAGGGGGGGAGAGAGAGAGTTACATAACTACCAAAGGAAATGATTAGTCCATGCAAAGAGATCCTCCTTGGTCCATGTACATAATATTCAAGCTTAATCTTTATAGGTCTTCTAACTCCATAGGTACTCGATCTAAGAGTTCAACCTATTAGGTCCACGGTTTAACTAGATTAAATGGTATGTGTAGTGCAGCCTTAATTGTTCACAAATGTCATGGTAAAATGCAGGAATTCACCAAATGTTTCCTTGATTACTTGTGCATTGTGCTTCACTTTTTAATACTAATAGTAGCTCATAACACAAATATAATTGAGTTTATGAAGAACCTTCATTACAGCAGCTACATTTTTCATCCCTATTTGCTATTATTTAGTACATTATACAAAAATACATGGCACAATTAAAAACATGAGAGCCTTTGTGAACGATAGTTTGAGAAAGCTATGATAGATGAAGACAAAAAAAAAATGTAAAGAAGAATGTTCAAGTAGGGAAATCATTCAGAGGAACAGCAAATGAAATATAAGATATGAATGGAAAATTAAAAAAAATTACACAGGTGCTGTGAAGCAAGCTTAAAAACAGCTTCAGAAAGTAAAGCAAGAGAAACTCTGAAAGCTATTCAACTACAGATAAAATGGCAACAACCGAAAGTAGTGTTGAAGATGGAGACAACGAAACTGTAATCACATGGGCGAGTCCAAATACCTGCCAGTAATTTTCACATCTGCTGTGTGTTGATATTATGCAATATTACCTCATCATTTTCCATGACTACCTTGCCATTACCTATGCTGTATTAAACCATCAAACAATCTCTCTTTAAAATTTGGCCTACAGCTAGAGGTGAAATTATTCCAAAGTCAACAGACTAACAGCCTAATTGCATTTATTTTCTAACACTGTTCTTCCACGTTTTGGCCTACAGGTAATATCCACTATTTAAAAGTGCATGGTATCCATATGCTGGCGGCTGAGAAGAAAATATCCTGCATTTAATATACATCTACCTGTAGATGTAGAACTTTCATAATATGCCCCAGAGCCTACATGCATTTCCTACAGTATACATGAAAATATTTTCATCTCATGACATTTTACTGATAGAACTTGGACAATATGCAGTCATATTGAAACTCCATTCTCTCACAATTTTCTTTTTGGCAGTATCCATTTCAAACTTATTCATTGCATAACAATTTGCCTTTCCTTTTGTGTGGTGTGGTATGAAGGACCATAAAAATTCAACTAAATTCCTAAACCAAATTTAACATTACATTCTATTTCATCATATTTCATTCCACTTTTTGTGAAAATATAAGAAAGTAATTTTAACAATTTGTTATCAAATTATCTTTGATTGAAGTTTCTTTGAAAACTAATGTGCACACAGGCCTCCTTCATTCCAGATAAAGAATACATAGGTTGTTAAACATCTTCTATTTAAAAATGGAGAAATATCTTATCAAGAAACATTTCTCGAAATTGAAAAATCCACCTCTGGAGTGTGGTTTTATTAAACGCCTGCTGAAGTTTCACTGATTTTTTGCAGGGTGAAAGCAAACTACGCTATGGGCCCATTTTTGCTCACATGGCTCTCCTCGCTTCCATGCTTACAAATGCAGGGCACCAGCGTCGGGCATGCGCAGTATACTCACCTAAAAATCGTTATGAGCAAACTTTGTTGGTTTTTCTGAGTTTTTCCAGGAGTGTAAATAGTAGACCCCAAAATCAATGCTTTTTCAAACTGGTGTTTGGGATGTGTAAATGGACCTATTCTCCCCACCCCCACATGACGTTTCATGTTAGGTTTCTTCTGGAAACCTGCCAAGAAATGAAACTCCATACAACCAGGAAAACATAACATCCACTGGTCAGCACAACACCTACGCATTGGTCACTCACTCATTGGTGACTCATTGGTCAGACTAGTTTCCTAGTGCAGAAAATGGTGTCTTTGAGCAAGGAAATCCACCCCTTTGGATTACTTTGTACAAAAAAGTCACTTGCCCACGAGAGATGAAGAGAGAGAGAGAGAGGGAGAGAGAGAGAGAGAGAGAGATTGCAAGCAAGGCCTCCTTCATGTTAAAAGATTTTAAAAATATACTAAATAATGGAACAAAGATAATGACCTGGTCAGACTAAACTGAAAGTGACCAAAACAAGTGATTTTTCATATTTCCAAGAATCCATGAGTGTTTATCAATGGTCAACGGAACACAGGGAGCAATGACCCAAGATGACTGGTCAAGATTACAACATTTCTGGGAAAATTGTGATTCAATTCACATTTTCCACCAACTTTATCAATCTTGAGGTTTATGTTCCTAGGAGTATGGCTTCCTTTGTCTCTAATGAGATTGGGAGCCATGATTCTGCTTTCAGTTTCTTCCTCTATCAAAACATCGACCTAACACAAAGGTCCATGTTCAAAGTCATTCAGTAATTCAACATCATTCCACTGGTTGATTAAATCCAAATAAATGACCAAGTCCTTAATAAGATCTTCTTCACAGAATATAAAATAAATTTTCATATTTTCCCCATCAAGTTTCAAACTGATTTAATAAGATTCTATTTGTTGTTACATGTTCGATTTGATTTTGATTTATTGGATTACCTTCAACATGTGATAACTGATAAATGATGTTTTGTCTGTAGGAAAAGAGTCAAACTTATGTCATCTATTCTAGGCAATATTACTTTACCCATTTTAAATAGAGTTGATTAAGATTTCAATCGATTTAGAAAATGATAAAAAGGTTACTGTTAATTTCGAGCACTTATTGTCCAATTACTTACTCTTTTCTTCACCATCTGCCCGCCCTTCACCTACATGTAGACTCTCTTCTGTATTAAAAAAAGAGAAAATAGCAAATGAAATAATAAATGACAAATGTCTTCACTTTCTAATTTCATTTGTAAAAAAACTAGACAACAGGTAATGTTTTACTTTGCATATACATGTATGTTAATAACTCTACATGTTTTACAAGCAATATATTATACATGTACATGGTTTATGTCTAGCTTTAAACAAGCAATGATCATGTTACATAATACAGGATGTTGTTGGTTTAGGTCAAAGCTAGAGAAGATGCAAATGTTAAGGACAATTATTCTTCATGAAGTCATTCCCTTTGCAAATTAAATCACTTCCTGAATGGTAGGGATTGGAACAATAAAACTCTTTTGAAGATTCACACTTGTACTTTCACCTGTTAAATGGTCTCCCCTAGCAATTTGTATATTCTTTACCGGTATTTGACTTAAATTATTTTAGATCATACAGTATTTACAATTGCAAATCATTCAGTAATACAAATATTTATGCCCTTACAAGTAAATTACATGCTAAATGCTTCATTTTGCACCAAAATCAAATGTTACAAGATTGTTTTCTTTCTCACTTGGAAAGCTTCAAGCAACAATATTTTGATTTTGTTGTTGTTGTTTCAACTACAGTCTACTGCCTACACTTTCATAATATAAGGAAAGAATCATATCAGAATTTGCATGAAGTTAATATTTCCTAATAACAAGACGTAACAATGCAGATTTAGTGAACTACGGTATAGTTTGGTGAAGACTTTACGGAGTCGCATAAAAACCCACTACTCCAAGTCCAATCCAACCAACTCCAACCAACTCATATACTGTACCCTACGGCTTACATACATGTATGGGGTCTGATCTGAAAGACTAGGCTGAATGTCACATTGCTGTAATGTGTACATAGAGGAAGGGAATGTCCTTGAATCGGTTCATTCAGGTCACATGCATGTAGTACCCCCACAGGGTGTATAATTTCCTATCTACTACAAAGAGCATTCCAATGTTATATAATCACTTCCAAGAATGTACTACTACTATAAACTGAAGTTGATTTATTGCACTGAAAATGCATACAAGGTTTGTCCTGGGCTAAAGTATGATCAGAATAAACATGGCCCTATGATTACAGTGTGCCATAAAACAATGCCATAGCCCAGTACTACATGCAGGACTACATGATGTATGTCTCCATATATACGTTTAGTTTAATATGTTTTCACTTTTCAGCAACATTTTTTTTTACTTGAAAGGATGTTTAAAGAGAAGGTTGAGTTCTGGTAAGAGGTGAAAAATAATTTGTGAGCGTTATCATTCTTATTATGCAAGTGTGGAAGAACATCGGATAAGACATGTTCCCTGAAAAGCATGGCTCTTCAAATGCCTTCATATAACATCGTAAAACTCGGGGGGGGGGGGGGGGTGAGGGGGGGTAGGATTTTTACGCCGCGTGTTCGTGTAGTCCCATATACATCTTTCTGTGTACAGTGTTTGTAACTTTACCAAGACTTGGCCAAATTTCTTATCATTTTGATGATTCCAGAACCTTGTAATACACACAAATTCTTATATGCTAGATGATCAACCTTTTCTTATCGATTCCACACCGTTTCTTTTACAATGCAATCGCATGACCAGAACTCAACTTCATCTTTAAGGAGAAATTTATGAAACTTTTAATATACAGTTTTGTGTTTAGCAATGCTTTTCCCACTCTATATAAACTGTATCAAGTTTTTGTTATCAACAAAACTTCTGATTTTCTGGGTTTATCGAACATAGTTGCAAGTGCCATAAACAACTGTCAGTCTCCAACATTACGTTTCTATCTTCTGAAAGTGTTCAGTTTCCTAAATGATACTGCAAAATACAAAAATACAATCAAACTGTAGCTACATAATGAAATTGAATGATGCATCATGATTTCCATTCTTTTTAATTTTAAAACCAGCTTCAATAAATATTCAGCAGAAAACATCATTGTTCAAGTATTGTACATGTATTCAATATTCGTATCTTGACATATTGAAATAAATAAATCTTGAATATTGAATCTTGAAAAGACGTTCACTACATGGACTAACTTAATTTATAAATTAAAACACAAGCAGCTCTGTAATTTCAATTGCATAGTAGAGAGAAATCATTTGGAAATTCGCAATGCAGAGTTGAGCACAAAAACTGGGCATTTACAAGCCTATAAATATAAATATCTAACACAGAATACTGTCATGGGCTGCACCAGATCAATAATGCATGTCTGACTAACAAAAGCAGCAAGCTGAACTTCTCCATTATGAGAGACAGGGAGGTCTTGCATGCAAATAAGATTACGTAATCAAGAATAAGATAGTCTCCTCTTACAGACCTCTTCACATACAGTAAACATGGGGGGTGTGGGGGGGGACCTCCCCTAAAAGGCTGAAATAGCTATATTTTTCAAAATGATAACTGCACAGGTTAAACTGCAGGCTGTTCAAATTGCAAAAATCCAAGAGCAAAGAATGACATAATGAATGCTTATCTGTCTTTATGACTGAAGCAAGTGATGCTTTGTATTTCAATTTGATTGTCAATATATGAGTCATTAATGAAGTAGATTAATCATTCTTATGAACTGATATGATTGGATTTTATTATGTTTTGTATCATAACATCTGTTTATGATATAAGCACAGACAACAATTATTCAGACAATTATGATGTATACAGTGATTTACAGTTTTCTCTATTTATCCCATCTTTTCCTCAATTCAGCATTCAACTGATTTCTGTTTTAATTATGTTTCCTTTCCAGGAAATTAAATCAATCAAGATTAAGGTAAAACTTTACATCTCATTCATAGCTGAGATTCACAGTTTCTGTGTTGAATAAATAAGAGAAGTCCAAAGATGTAACACTGAGGTTTGATAATAAAGACTAGAGAGGTATATCTCATATTGGGACAAAGCCCCAATAGAGTCTTCTTCACAGGACCAGTCACCTCACCACCTCGGAGTGTACAAAGGGGATTGTGGTAAGGGATGGATACAAAAAAGATCTTCACTTAATCTTGGACTAATTGTCTATCATGTCCAGTCTGGTCTTTTGTTGTCTTACCCTCATATGGGGTCAAAGGATTATGTTTGGGTCCTGGTCTTGGCCGAGGTCACGGTCAGGTCGATGGTAGGGGGTTCAAAAAGAAGAGAGAAAGATCTATGGTTTTATGTGGTCAGTGCATGTGAAGTTTGAGTGGGAAATAAGTAAAAAGGCCTATATTGTGGGTCCCCTTTAAAGTTTAAACAATATAGTTTGTCTAGTTCTTACAATTCTTTATCTATATAAATCTTATTCACTATACTACGACTACTACTACTATACTACTACTACTACTACTATTACTACTATTTACTACTACTACTACTACTACTACTACTACTACATGTACTACTACTACTACTACTACTACTACTACATATACTACTACTACTACTACTACTACTACTACTACTACTACTACTACTACTACTACTACTACCTCTACTACTACTAATACATGTACTACTACTACTACATGTACTATCTTTTTGTTGCCATAGGCTAACAATGCCACCAATATTAAAGTCATAGAGTGTCACAACAGAACAAAAACATTCCATGATCCTGAAGGCTTTTTGATCAGTAAAAAGCCCCTATCATTAGCACCCTACATTCTTTTAATAAAAAAACTGAATCACATATTGTGACATATAATGACCAGTTATATCACCACAACCATTAAATATTCTTGGAAACAAATTCAATGTTGATTTGTCATCTAATGGACTGGTCAAACCGTGGACCATGGCATCGAATCATGAACAAACAGAACTCTGTTCGATTTCCTACTGGACTACTCAAGTCTCCACCTGCCAATTAGTCTCATTATTCATACCTTGATTACTCTTTTACAAATTTACAGGATTGATATTAGAAAACATGAAGTATGAGACTTTGAGGTGTAAAATTTGGACAGAGATGGAAAGTTGATGCCAAACTTACCACTTTTTAAGCGGTCAACTAAAGAACTGTATGCTTCAACACTCCCCTATTAAATCCAAATAATATAAAAAAATCTTCTACTGTATGAAACTGTTGCATATTAATTGAGACTGAGCGCTAGACTACTGAGCGTACCCACCAACCTTGTAATAATAAGCCCCAGAGTCCATCACCTTCCTCATTGCATAACATTGCATCACAAAGCAGATTACAATCCACTGTTGAGTAACCAGCCACACTTCACATGACCTGGGTTGTCCCTATGGCTCTTGTATGAACAGGGGGCCCTCACCATAAAGGACAAACAAGAGGGCTTCAGAAATGGAGAGCTTAGAAAAAGTAGTCTCAGAAAACAGACCCCAAATCAATGTCACAAAAACAGTTTGTGAGGTATCTCATTTAGTATGTTTAATCTGTATTATCTGGCTGAATTTTGTGACTTTTTCTGACCACATATATGCTCAAAATTTCTAAAAAGTAGGAAAGAATTCAAGCTTGGTTCTAAATTGAACAGTTGCAAGTTTGTCAAAGAGTAATAATTACGTTAAAGTAATTTGATAAAATTACATAGGAAAAAGTGGAATGTTTTTGTGTCAACAACTATAAGGAATTGATAAACATGTATTTTATAAAGTGTTTTAAAACTGTTTTTAATGCATTTTAATTTTACATATTTTTTCTGCATGTGCTACTATGTAAAATGTGAGTTGAAAAAAAAAAATCTTAATTTTTTTTTTTTTAAATTGTCAGAGAGATACACATATAATTTTCAAACTATGTATGTTTCACAGAATAAGACTGCTCTTGGGTGTTGCAAGTAGGTTCGCTTCATCTACCAGCTAGCTATGCAACCATTTTACTTCATAAAAGGAATAATTAAGTCATTTGGAAATTAGAACAGCTTAATAAGATGAATTTTTGTCAGTTAGCTGGCAATTAGGATGATAGCATTCTGTCATATTTCAAATAAAAAAAACGCTCTCTTTATTTTAGGCTTGAAACTTTGAAAGACCAAACAAAAAGGTAAATAAAAAGAAAAAACTCACTTATTGTCGGGCCGGGCTACTCCTATCTTCAACATCAACAAACTGTATTGCATTTTGTAAATTAGAACATAATAGAAGACAGGTCTGTTGCAACATCAAATCATAAATACACTGTACACCAGTTTTATAGAGGGAGGTGGGGGAGGCTATGTATATATACTACAAATTAGTAGTTTTTGTATACAATTATAGAGACATAAAAGTAGACAAAATGGGGGAAATTCCAATTTCTGTGAAATCTCGAGTACAATAAAAATGAGGTTTTGAACTGTTGTATTCATTCACAATTTGAAGAAAGGACAATACATTACTCAAATCTGTGAATATGCAAACACAATATACTAAATTATTATTATAAATCATATTCATCAGCTGCAGCTTAACTTATTGAATACCCTATCACTTACAGAAAATTTACTAGCCTGGCAGAAATTGAAGCTCAGATCATGATGGACATGAAAGAAGAAGTACATAATGCATTACATTTCAATGAAGTTTGTTCTAACAGTAAACAGGTGTTGTGCAATTATGTCCAATTGATTACAAACAAATAATCATAACATGATGAAGTTCATGAAAAGTAAACAACAACCATGCACAAAGTTTAGAGAAAGCTAGGCATTCCACCCAATACAGTTACTTTATGATAATTGTGAAGAAAGAGCCCTAATTCATTTCAAATCTTCACACACAAACAAACGTCAGATAAAAGCTAAGACTAAGGCCAAATCACTTTCATTTTCAATTTGATCAATTATCTTCCTACCTTAATTTTTGTTATTATCATAAAATCTATTATATGATAATCTCTGATTCCACACTTTCTTTCACAACTGGTGTATTTTGTGTAAGCCTGTCAAAAGCTCTGTCAAACCATGGTCAACACAAAGAGAAAATTACCGAGACACGCGCTCGTTAACATTCAACTCATTTCAAGGACACAACATTACAGTCCTTGAATCAGGACAACACCCGATCTCACTCACACTGCACTGCACTCTCTCATTCATGTAATTAATTCATGCACATGAAAACATCCGAACCGTTAACTACGGAAATAGTTTTGTCAAATAACTCACCGAATTTTAACTTTGACATGTCGAACGACTTCTCAAGGATCTGTCAAAAAAGGACGTGTTTCTGACGAAAATATATGTGGACAAGCAGGCGGTGAAATGAATGTGATGATGATGCTGATGATGATAAAAACGCTGGTGTACTTTGAATTCTGTTGCTCCTGTCAAGTTTTGAGTTTCCAAGTTCATTTATTCAGCAAAATAAATGCCAAATCAATTGAAATGGTGCATTGGTGATAACAAACCAAACGGCATCAATTATTTCTGCCTGGTTAAAAGGTCGAAATGATATGCACATCTTGCGAAACTAGAATTGAAAGAGTCAATATATTTTACTTTCACCACTGAGCATGAGCATCCATTTCAGAACCGACAGTTTCCCTTGCTTGGCCTGCCTACTTTCAGGTCAATCGAGATCTAGCCCAGCCAAAGTTATCCTCTTCTTCCAGAGCTCAGCGCCCGCCAGCTCTACCGGTATACCCTTTGTCAATACGGCAACTCACTGGCACTAATTGTAAAGATCGATGGAGACGAGTCCATTATCAAAAGGAAGGAGTTTTTAGATGTGCGATATAAGTTCATATTATTTAATCTTAAAATGACACAAAATAGCTATATAGAACTTTAAAAAATTACACTTGGGCTATTGTATGCTTCGATTAATTTAATTCAATCCATCATTATCATTTTCTGAACAATTTATTTCATTTAGTCCCTCATTTCGTTGTCTTCACCCCATGAGCTGAGCTGAAATGAATTGAAACTGTTCGGTTTCGAGTTAGTAATCATGCATGGCCCGAAAGGTTGTGTTGAGGTAAATTCCCTATTGCGTAATCTTACGTAACTGCCTCACGCTCTGCTAACGCATAGTTTACGTTTGTAGTCTATATACAGACAACTTTCCTTTTAGGCTCTCGACTGATCTGAGGATAGCAGTAACTAGATAGTTATGAATTATTTTAACCCCCTTTCATATTCATCAAACTACTTTGAGAAATCAGTTAGTTTTTAATACAACTAGTCAACTACCACTTAACGTTGTGAAATAATGTTTAGGTCTTATCTATTTCTCATTTGGAAATGTCTAAATGGCGAAGAAAATGGGAGGCAAGCTAGGACAGTTTGATCAAAAGCTGTCAACACATTAATTACAATATCAACACGAAAGATATATTATTTCTCTGCAAACCAGATAAAACCGATTTTAATGTACTTGTAATATGAATTCTTTCATCACTTACTTTTATTTTAGGCACACGACATTGGCTGCATGATCACTCCTATTCTCTGAGGACTATTTGGGCAACATCAAGAATTCGTTCAAATATTTCAAATTGTATTAATTAATGACTATTGAAGATAGCAACAATTCTCATGTAGGCATATTGTGATAAAGTATAGATAAGAGAGAAAGAGAGGAAGAGAGAGAGAGAGAGAGAGAGAGAGATACGCACACCCACACTCACACACTCATAAGGCCAAAAAAAAAAATCCTGGTGTTGATCCTGGGACCTCACAGTTACGAGGCATTGCGTTGTCACTGAACCATGACTGTACGCAGCGGGGGCTAGGGTAGGGGGCAGTTTCCATAAATTAAAAAAAACACAGAAAATGCAATAAATATTCCAATAATTTATTGCATTTTACCCCGGTCCCCACATAAAAAAATACTCTGGACGGCCATGCATTATGGCTCAAGGCATGGGCACACAGAAGATTTTTTTATGTGGGGACCGGGGTAGAATGCAATAAATTATTGAAAATTTATTGCATTTTCTTTCTTTTTTTAAATTTATGGAAACTGCCCCCTACCCTAGCCCCCGCTGCGTACAGTCATGGTTCAGTGACAAAGCAATGCCTCGTAACTGTGAGGCCCCAGGATCAACACCGTGTCGATGTGCTATATTAGTGCCCTTTTGTGAGGCATTAATCCTCATTACTGTCATTTATGACTTAAGGGCATAGGTCCCCTGGTTGATAAACATAGTAGCATAATATACATGCTTTAGCAGTCACGCAAAACACATATTGGCAAATTATTATTCAATAAAATCTGAGACTGTATACTATTATCTAGATCTAGTATTTTTAAATTATTTTTAAAATAATCCATAAATTGGGATAAAAAAAAATATTCACCGTTATGAGCAACAGTGTAAGATATTTTAAAACACAGTACATAATGTTTTCAATTAATTATACTGAACGAATATTAAAAATCAAAGAGTACGCACAGACAGACAGACACACCACACACGCTCACATACTCAGACACACATACAAACTTACTTATCCCCTCCCCCTTCATTCCAAAGCTCAACAAATCCCCCTCCCTTCCCGAGCATTCACATCTACACATTTGTTGGAAATCCTGTCTCTTCCTTTTCCTTAAGACCAATTATATTTTTAAAAATGTCTGAGTCTGAGAAAGAAGTATTTGCCTCGCCATCCTTAACTGTGAAAGTTGTCCCATTTCTGAAGTAAGTGTTAAGTGCCCCTCTCCCCCGCTAATTCTAATGGTTCCAAGAAATCGATTTCCCGGACATTTGGTCAGAGGCGGATCTTGGGGGGGGGGGGGGGGGGGCTGGAATGGCAATTTTTTTCAAGTACCCCCAAAGTGGCACTCTATACTTGTAAGCGTCTATTTTTCTTTTTAATAAGTGCCCTCTTCCCTTCTGAAAGTGCCCATTTCCCCCTTTGTGATAAGTGCCCCTTTCCCTTCTTATAAATTGCCCCTTTTCGCTCTTGCCTCTATTCTAAATCTGATATGCGCCCCGTTTACTTTGACAAGACAGTCCTTTTCCTTTGTAAACGTGTATTTTTTCTCTTCCTAAGGAGCATCCTCTTCTCTTCTGATAAATGCCTCTTTGTTTTCTTTGTAATAATAATATTCGTTTAGCCCCATCCAAATATGACAGGGCCCCTTTTACCTTGACAAGTGCACTTTCCTTTGTAATAAGTGCATTTTCCTGTCTAACAAGTGCCCCTTTCTAGGTACGAGGAATGCCTCTCTTTAAAAGGCAGTGGAGCGGGGGGGGGGGGGGGTTTAAAGTCTGTAAGAACGAACTAAGCTACTTTTAGAATAGTGTTCGTTTACCACTCTACTAAGAATAAACATAGAATGTGTATATAAGTGTGCCTTATTTGTACTATAACGTTTGCCCCTTTCAACTTTCAATTGCTCAAAAAGGCATGCCAAGGTAAATTGCAATTTGTTCAAGAATATATAACGGTTTAGACAATGTAGGAGTTTTTAATCCCAAGGCAGCTGCATTTACATTACAAAAAGACTGAGACACAATTATTATTCGTGCTATCACCCCAGAAACCAAAGATCAAGTTCTTCACCACTCCCTAACTAGTGCATCCCCTCAAGTTTCCCCAAAACTCACTCGCTACGTTCGCTCGCATTTATAGTTTCATCTCATTAACTAACATATTGAAGGTCTTATTTATTCTTCATCATAAGAATGTTCTTATAAGATTGCTTATTTCATTTAAAAAATTGAGAAACTAATCGGTTGCAATGTAAGTTTTAAAAATCTTCAACTTTTGCTCGCCCGCTCGCGAATGAAAAGACCATCACACACAGCTGCAAATCATATTCCTGACGTAGTATTTTGGACTTAGTAAATAGAACATCTTGAAGATGGTCCCTGATAATGATTAGTAGCGGTATATTCAATGTCTTTAAATTCATTATTTAGCGCTTTGAAGCTTCCCTCTTTAAATTGGTGCCCAGTTTCCCCCGGAAAATGCCCTTTTTAATGTGTGCCATCCCCACACTTTGAAAGACACCGCCCCTGCATTTATTAGAATATTCTCTTATAGTCATTATTTTCTTTAGTAAATATAAAACCTGGACATATAATTACGGTTCATTTCCCATCTCTGTCTTATTCACCCTCTCCACCTCTCGTTACCCCAGAGGAGCTGTCGCCACCCCTTCTCCTCTCTCTCTCTCTCTCTCTCTTCTCCCAGAGAGTCCCTCTCTATCTCCTCCTCCGCTCTCTCTCTCCTCTCTCTCTCTCTCTCAGAGGGTCTCTCTATATCTCTCTCTCTCTCTCTCTCAGATTGTATTTCTCTATCTCTCTCTCTCTCTCTATCTCTCTCTCTCTCTCTCTCTCTCTCTCTCTTTCTCTCCGTTCCCACCCTCATCCACCTATCGCATTCTTTTTGTGTGTGTATAATTATAAGTTTATTGCTTCAAAATCAGAATACATAAAAAAAAGCAGCGTGAAGGACATTTACAACAATAACAAAAACACAGTAAGAGTAGTACATTATCAGATATACACTGTCTTGAGAGGTTCTGGTTAAAACTATGCGCAAGAGGGACTCCAATAGTACTATTTGCTGAGGGGCATCGCCCCGAAGCCAATGGTACTTTTGGAGTCACCGAGGCCCATAGTTAATAACCAGTACCTCGAATAGAAGGCATTGTTTTATATCCTGCTTCAAATTTCTTTTTTTTTTAAATTTTTTTTAATTACCATTTGGGAGAAAGAAATATATTTTAGAACAAAAAAAATGTCAATTTTTATCTACCAAGATTAAAATATTTTATTTTCATTAAATTAAGATTTGAAGAAAGAAAAAAAAATCAATTAAAAAAAAAGATTCCCTTTTTTTTTTTTACATCTCCCAAATAGTACTCCCAAATAGTCACTCAAATAGTACTCCCATATAGTACTTTTTCAGAGCAGGTTGAAATATTTCTGGTCCACGTGACGAGCTCTCAACCAATCAAAAACCAATACACATTTGATGCATGAATAATATGAGATATAACGCGTATAGAATACAGTGAAGATAACATTGATAACACTATTACAATGGTTATGTTTGCCATTTCAAGTTATGTTTCAGCATTGTTCCTGTCTTTGTAGCTTTCCACTTTTTTCTAAATAAATAATTCCCAAACTTGAACTGTATAAATCGTAAGTTATTTTCTTTGCATTTATTTAAAAATTTAAGTGTTTACCATACATAACAAAAGTGCAATTATTTTGTTACTAGTCTCGACTCCAAAACATATATCTGTGAGTGAGAATGGAAAACTCAATATTTTGATTTCACAGAGCCAATTACTAATATCTTTCCAGAATGTTTTACTCCAGGACAAATATAGAACAAATGATACAACATTTGCATTTCTGTTTGACAAAAAGTGCATATTAGTGTATTTTTATACCAATTGGTGCAAATATTCATTTGTAGAATCCTTCAATGGAGAAATTTGAACTGAAATTCTCGTAATCTGGAATCTAAGGTTGTCAGAAGTGGTTTGTAAAACGATTTTTCCACTGTAATATAATTTCAAGCGGTGAAGGAATTTGTGCTTGTGAAGTCAGATCCAATATCCATTTCTAACTGTTTCTAACCTATCGCATTTCTCTACAAGGGCAATCCAACTCTCGTCATAATTTAATTAAAGCGGAAAAAATAAGAGAAACAGAATAGTGAAACTTAAAACAAATCGGACCAACACTATAATCACTGAATGCATGCAAATAGCAAATTTGTTATTTGGTGACTATGAGTTGTTACGTGTGTAACGGACAACTCTCCTTTTTAGTAATTTTGTTTTTTAACCAACGTAAACAGTTTTCCGGCACTTTGACACTGCCTATTGAGCCGATTCGATGTTACAAGGTTACAATTTTCAAAAATTCATACTTTCTCATTTACTGTCTGATTTCATTCAAATATTTCCCCGTCTGCTTCTTTGATTTATCTGCTTTATTTAAAATAGTTATTTATAAGGTCGAATTTCCCTTAAAATAGTTCAATTGCAATTCCATTATATTCACAGGGCAACAAATTTCAATAAGAACTCGTGTTTATACTTTCGTGGTTTATTCCCAAGCAGTCACTCACAACGAGGCGACACGGTGTACATATACATGAGCTCTTATTAAAATTTGTTGCCCTGTGAAAAATAATGGAATTGCAATTGATTTTGTTTTTAATGTCATGCATGACTCTCGTGTGAATTCATGTAAATTATGTGACGTATACACCTAAGTGTTATTTATTCATTTTGTAACTACATCGTATTTTGTTTATGTGCTGCCAGTTGAGGCCAATTTTCTATGTTTTGAATATGGATCAATAAAAGAATCTATCTATCTATCTACTTCACCCATTCCCCACTCCTATAGACAATCCTGGACCCACCCCATCGAGATAGCTGACCCCACTCCTTCGATAAAGATAGTTACTCACAGGTGAAGTGAGATTGAGGGGGTGGTCCAACCAATAGAAAATGCTAGAAAAATTTGGAAGTTTGTACGTTTGACACTGTTGCTGTAGTTAAAGAAAAATATTATAGATGCGCTCTTCAATTTTTTGGAGATACAAGATCCATTTTCAAAACTTAGAGGGTGTCATTATGACTGCTGTGAGTGTGTTCAATGTCAAGATAAAGATAACTTGAAAAATTGAGAAATACAAAAACAAAAATAATATTAGATACTTATTGCAATTTGTCGTTTTTAGAGGTCAATATCTTAGAAAAATTTAGCGATTTATGATGGAATCGATATCGGATTTAAACTTAGATGACATTTTGAAGGCAGGGTTATTCGTCGCAGATGGAGAAAGAGCATCGTTTGGGACATCTAGAGCAATTGGTAGAAAGTCTGTAGCATCTAGGACTGTGGGGCTAATAGGCCGAAAAAATACCTGAAAAAAGGGCCCGAATTGGACAAAATGGCGTCTGGACAGTGATTTCGGGAAACGCAGAGTTAGTGACTTCGATGGGATTCTAGAGACCATGCCTACGAAGTTTGAGAGCTAGGAATCGGGATAGAGGAAGGGACCTAGATAGGGCACACAACACTACGTGTAAGCCGAATGGGATTTAGGGAAGAAGATCGAGAAGATCACAGCGGAGTTACTGCATAAAACGAGGGTTTAAACGATTTAAAAAAAAAGATGAAACACACCCTACAAAAGTTGCAGGTATGTTGTAAAATGTATACATGAACCATGACATGATTTGATTACATAACAGATAGAATTAACGCTACCTTCTCACCCCCACCTCACCCCTTTCCTCTTCTTAACGCTACCTCTCTCACCCCACCTCACCCCTTTCCTCTTCTTAACGCTACCTTCTCAACACCCCCCCCCCCCCACCTTACCCCTTTCCTATTCTTAACGCTACTTCTCACCACCCCCCCCCCCCACTTCACCCCTTTCCTCTTTTAAAGTGACTCGTTAACATTGTTGAAGATTGATGAACAAAATGTGTAATTCTTGTATGAAATGTTACTTATTATAGTCCTTCTACTGTACTTACCCTCTAACAGGCAAAAAATCCTGAGAAAAAATCTCAAACCACAAAGATATAATGGTTTTTCTTTGAAGGCGAGTGCATTTTCCCAACCGTTTTACTTTGAAAATAAGACATAAGACAGGTTTTAAAAATCTGTCAAACTTAAATGTCGGGAATGGTATATAGAGCCAATTCATTGCTTTATTACAATTTACATTCACCTAAAATGTAATTAAATTGTAATATATAGTTGGGAGAATTAAGGATTAGATGAGATCATTTTGTTCAATTTTTTAATCACTCAAACTTTCAGATTATTTGTAATTGCACACTTTAGCATTGAAATCATTACCATATCACCATTTTTCTCTCATCTGAACAATGTTACCAAGACAGTCCCTTTAACGCGCTTTTGAATTTTCATAAGAAGATTAATCAGCTACGCCATGATCGACTTGGGCTAAAGCAAAGAAATTTTGCCACACAGTGTCCTCTGCTCGCGATTGAAATGTGGTCAGAGAGAGTTCATGAATGGAACATGATTACTACTCCGAGTTCACGCCTTGCGAGCGATCATCAGGCAACTGGTTATTACACTGTTGCTCATAAAGTTGGAATATTTGTTTTTTCACCCCAATTTATGGAATTATTTTGACAATGATTTATTCCTAATAGATCTAGATAATAGTATACATTCTCAGATTTATTGAATTATTATTTGCCAGTGTTTGTTTTGCCTGAATGCTAAACCATGTGTATGCTACTATGCTTAAAATCTTGACAAATCGCAATTATTATATTTTCAGGCAAGGATTATTGTCACTATCCATATACACATAATATATTTTACCGGAATGTCTTTCGAAAGCTCACATGCGAGATAAGAAAAAGAAATGCGCAAACATGAATAAATTAAGAGGGTTCTCTCAACTTCATCTCTGTAGATGTCATGTATATATCCTCAGACCTAGACCAGTTCCATATAATCCCACGACCGGGCCCACGAGCCTCGTTTTTAATTCCATAAACACCATTTAAATTGGACATGTAACAATCGCGATACCACCAAGCCCCGTGGCAGTCAATTGCACAGTTACCATCTCCATTATCATTGTCCATGTCATAGGTCGAGAAGCCGCGACATCTGGCCCATGAGTCCGTCTCCTGCAGTACCAGAGTATGATGCGAACTCGAGTTCGTAGCTACATTGGACAGAAGGACAAGTATTAAACAGATTAGCCTAAATGTAGTCTTGAAAGGGTCCATACAAACGAAAATAAAAGTAAATTTCCTTTTTAATAATGCGTGGGAGTGGTTGGAGTAGCACCCTTTTGCGATTGTTTTCATCAGCGCTCCTTCAAACACATGAAGGTGAAGAAAGTATTAACATTGTTCTATTATGATCAAATACATTAGGATGAAACAAAGCAAAACAAAATCAAACAAACAAACAAAACAGTATTTTGATTATGAGTGAGCATGCTCATAATGTATGGACAGATTGGACACACAAACCAAAATGTAAAACGTTTTGACCCCTTTTAAAGACCAGTGCTGAGGAGTGGGACAGGATTAAATCAAAGACATGAGCAATATTGGTTATCTCTGCACGGATAACAGTTCATACAGCTTTGGAAAATATGGCGACCATACACAATTTGGACATTTATTGAAATTAACATTTATTCCAATAGGCTTATGTTTATGTACAGGGGTGTACTCACTTTTGTTGTAACTCTTTTTCACAATTATCCTTCATACGCTATACTTTTTGAATGGAATTAATATTGTAAAATAATAATAATAATAATAATATATATATATATATATATATTATATATATATATAGGTAATAATTAAAACAGTAAAAATAAAAACCCTTGAGGGTCAATTCGTGAAGGAGGATTTCTTTTTTTATATATCGAATGATTGTATAAGAAATGAGAATGATGGAACCATACCTTGTGCTAGGGCTTCCAATGCCGAATTGTCCATAATAGGCATAGACGTGATTGTTTGCTGGAATTCACCATATCGATTCGGAGCTCGACCCCCTCTTAAATTTGGACAGCAAATAGATACTATCTAACCCCAACCAATACTCGCCGCTGACGTCACCAAATCCTTGAACATACTCAGAATAGTTGCGGTAGAAAATTGACAGACCATCATAACGTTTCTGCATTGTATGAAAATAAATATAGAATTTACTGATGAAATTGGTGTAATTAATTATGCACTTTGAAGAAAACATAAAGGGCAAGTCCACTCCAAAAATAACTTGTGGAAATCACTACTAAAATTGTCAATTTAGTTATCAGTTTTGTGACGTCATGTCCTCACTAATTTTATCAATTGCTTTATATATTTTAATCCCATTAATTTCCCTCTATCCCCCAAAACTTGATTTCTCCATGCCTTTGACCAGGTTATATGATTCGTATCATTTTGCGTGCATGACATTGCACAACATATTTTATGAACTTTGAAGAATTGATACTATATTTTCTGAATATTGCCATATTCATCATTATTGATTTCTATATAAATAGTTTATCAAAATTCACATTTTTCATGATTTAACTGACAAAAAATACTCTATATATAAGTGCATCAATACACAAATATATTACTATCAATCTAACTTGGATGCTGGGTGGAAGAAATAAGATCTTTGGAAATTTGGAAATTTATATTATCAATGATAAAATTATACATTATCAATGAAGCAATGACGTCTCAGACTCATGATGTAAGGTTGGCAAATTGTCTTGTGATTTTCAAAGTTTTTCATGTCATGCAAAAATTCATAACTTCCTTAACTTTTTTGATTGGTTTGTCTGATTGTTCTGCTTCTATTGAAAGTAATTATTTTTGGAGTGGACTTGCCATTAATCAAATAAAGGGTAGCTTGATAATATACCCGAACCAGAGAATGCTGTTGGGGCAAATGAGAAGACTAACAGCTGGAGGATAATTCCTGTGATAATTCTACATAACCCGCCTACTACAGCTCTAGCTCCCCTCCCATCATCCTACTCGCTTCAGAGATATCCCGTCCAATCATCCTGCTCGCGCTTAGAAAATCACATCCCAAGAATCCTTGTCGCATCAGCGGGGATCCCCTTCTATCATCCATCTCGCATCTTGGAGACCCCTCTCACCATCCTACTCGCATCAGGGTGATCCCCCCACCATCCTACTCGCATCAGGGTGATCCCCTCCCACCATCCTACTCGCATCGGGGAGAACCACTCCCACCATCCTATTCGCATCAGGGTGATCCCCTCCCACCATCCTACTCGCATCAGGGAGATCCCCTCCCACCATCCTACTCGCATCGGGAGAACCACTCCCACCATCCTACTCGCATCAGGTGATCCCCTCCCACCATCCTACTCGCATCAGGGTGATCCCCTCCCACCATCCTACTCGCATCGGGGAGAACTACTCCCACCATCCTACTCGCATCAGGGTGATCCCCTCCCACCATCCTACTCGCATCAGGGAGATCCCCTCCCACCGTCCGACTCGCATCAGGGAGATCCCCTCCCACCGTCCGACTCGCATCAGGGTGACACCTCCCACCATCCTACTCGCATCAGGGAGATCCCCTCCCACCATCCTACTCGCATCAGGGGCGACCCTCTTACACCATCCTACTCGCATCAGGGTGATCCCCTCCCACCATCCCACTCGCATCAGGGTGATCCTTCCCACCATCCTATACTCGCATCAGGGAGATCCCCTCCCACTATCCTACTCGCATCGGGGAGAACCACTCCCACCATCCTACTCGCATCAGGGTGATCCCTCCCCACCATCCTACTCGCATCAGGGTGATCCCCTCCCACCATCCTACTCGCATCAGGGAGATCCCCTCCCACCATCCTACTCGCATCGGGGAGAACCACTCCCACCATCCTACTCGCATCAGGGTGATCCCCTCCCACCATCCTACTCGCATCGGGGAGAACCACTCCCACTATCCTACTCGCATCAGGGTGATCCCCTCCCACTATCCTACTCGCATCAGGGTGATCCCCTCCCACCATCCAACTCGCATCAGGGAGATCCCCTCCCACCGTCCGACACGCATCAGGGAGATCCCCTCCCACCGTCCGACTCGCACCAGGGAGATCCCCTCCCACTATCCTACTCGCATCGGGGAGAACCACTCCCACCATCCTACTCGCATCAGGGTGATCCCCTCCCATCATCCTACTCGCATCAGGATGATCCCTCCCCACCTTTCACTCGCATCAGGGTGATCCCCTCCCACCATCCTACTCGCATCGGGGAGAACCACTCCCACCATCCTACTCGCATCAGGGTGATCCCCTCCCACCATACTACTCGCATCAGGGTGATCCACTCCCACCATCCTACTCGCATCAGGGTGACCCCATCAGCCTACTTGCTTGATGCTAGAGGACGAAAAAAATATCGTTTTTACCGCATTCACAAAACACGACGTGGCATCATTCGATATAATTATAAATGTCCATTACTGTAAAATAAAAGATAGTGGAATGCACCTGAAAACTGTCCATCCTCCGCCGTCGGTTATCATATCACAGTAAACATCGATCGCATCCGCGCCACTAGGAATGATGGAGTAGACACCACTTGTATGATAGCCCATTGAATAGAGCATCTTGCACGAAGTAGCATTTGGAGTCTTTGTCGTACGCTCTGTTGTATTTCTGGTGAATAAGCAAACGAAAAAATATTCTTGCAGTAAATGATTGGATAAAACAAACCTCACTTTGGATTACAAAAGTACAACCTTGTGTACACCCCTTGATTGGACGATTCGTTACTAACGCATGGTGGCTTCCATTCTGAACACCCGATCTACATTTTGTAAATCTGTTGCATGTGGAGTGGACAATCGACACTCTTCTTTTATTTGCTTCAACTTTCATGATTTCAACTCGAACAAAGAGAGAGAGAGAGAGAGAGAGAGAGAGAAATATAGAGACAAGGGGTGAGGGAACTAAGACGGATAGAGGGAGGGAGAGGGTGGTGTGGGGCCTCTAGATTATTCACGAACCGCCGGTCGCATGCCAGGCGCCAGACAAAGTATGTATATTGAATGATCAAATTTGATCATGTTAATTGGTTATATTATAACCCAGCTCATCCATTCAAAATTCTAAATCCACTTTCTCAATCGAAATAAACTTGCTCTGCAGCTCTAACAATAGTTATGCAAAGATCGAAACTTATAATGCAAAAAAAAAAAGATGAAGACCACCGTACTGGCCTGGTCAGCTTAGCAGGGCCGTAGCTAGAGTGTGATGTTTTTGTTTTGTTTTGTTGTTTTTTTTTGTTTTTTTTGGGGGGGGGGGTGGGGGAGCACATACATGTACATGTAATTGATCGACGTCCTGGGGAGGGTCTAAAAAAGTTGAACAATCTTGGAAATTTTGTTTTTGGGGCACGTCCCCCCCCCCCTGTGCCCCCCTCCCCCCAGCGGGCTACGGGCCTGCAGCTTAGATCAGCTAGTGGTCAAATTAAGGCCCTTGTTGGACTCTGATTGGGATAAATATTTCCAATACTGTTCTACCATTACCAACCTTGTGAAAAGAACGTTTTTATGTTACTACTTACCATGCATATCCGGCAGAGTGCACACATAATGGCGCAAGGATGCAAGTTTCCCCATACTAGGACCGAGCTTGTTTGGCGTTGATACCAGCCTTAGGACGAGTTTTATAGATCTCCCGTCAGGTAGAGTTATAGTGCCACATGATGCGGGTCTAGATTAATGCAGAACTTACTGCATTCACCAACTACACATGAAAATCAAGAACTTCACAAATTAAGTTAATTCGTAATAATTTTGTTGTGTCGTAACACAGATGGAAACTCATGAATATCTTCAATATTCTCCCGTTGATGGATTTGTGCATGTATAGAATACTGTCAACATACACATGAATCTCTTTAAAGGCCATCTGTACTAGTTTACAGGAGGGATTAGACCACCCTGCAAGGTCACATCAAATCAGCTCTCAATTGACATATGTAACAGAGGATCATGGGGACCATTGGTCACCGACAAGGTATTGTTTGGTATGTAGACGGCGCAAGTAGCTATAAGTAGTTCAATGGGACTTAATATTCTCCCGTTGATGGATTGTGTGCATGACTGTGTATAAATACTGTCAAACATACACAAGCAAGAAAAGCGGCTTACTTCGAATGATCGATTTCTTCGCGTCGGGTCGGGTCGGGTGGTCGAGTTGCCCGACTTTTTGTGAAAACATGCCCTTTTTTATTAACGATTTTTTTTTTCTTCTTCTGGGTAATGTTTGTGAAATAAACCCTCCTCTCATCTACAAATGGTCTGGTTTAATTTACCCGACGCTTGTGTGAAAACATGTATACACGGCAAATCTACGAAAGGTCGCTGCATCTTCTATTTCGGTTTACGAAAGGTAGGACGTGTTACCCGACCGTCTATAAATCAGTCCATAATATGTTATCTCCCAGTATGAATGAAATGTTTCAACACCCTCTCATATTTATTCCCTACGCAATTCCGGTAACTTTGTTCTCCCTAAACCTAGAACCAGTGGCGGATCCAGGGGGGGGGGGGGGGGGGGCCCGGGGGGCCCGGCCCCCCCCCCCTTTAGAAAAAAATCATGTAAAATCACGTGAATTTTTTTTGAGGATCAAAAAAAAATGTGTCAACCCCACCCCCCCCCCCCCCCCCCCCCCCCTACCCCCCCCACCCCCCCCCCCCCCCCCTACTGAGCGAATTTTTGCCGACGCGTTTCAATTTTCGGGAGCAAAAAAAAAAAAAAAAAAAAAAAAATTGTGCTCTGTACCCCCCCCCCCCCCCCCCCCCCCCCCCCCCCCCCCCCCCCCCCCCCCCCTGAGCGACTTTTCGGCCGGCGCGATTTTCAAATTTTCGGGAGCAAAAAAAAAAGAAAGTTGGGCCCCCTCCCCTAAGAAATCCTGGATCCGCGCCTGCCTAGAGCTGAATATTGTCGCAGAATTACCCAATATAGAAGCTCAATTCAATATAATACTCTTCCTCCTCCAACTAAATTACTTCAAACTGTTCACAAAAAGTATTTAAACAATACTATTCCAGACTTCCTGTAGCTGTATCTTACTATCTTTTTAAAAACAAATTTTTTAATAATTATTCTTAAATAAATATTTTACTTTTCTAGCTTTCTCTCTTGTATATATATATATATATATATCGTAAATATTTCTCTCCTGTTTCTTGTTTTACTCGAATTTGCTCTTATCATTATTGTAAGTTCTTATTTTGCTGTAAGTTTTCCTTACTTTTGTAATATCTATTTTCATGTTTTCTATGTCTCTAGGGACCCCTCTGTAAGCCAGCATTGTTATGCTAACAACGCTGAGGAGGGCCATCCCTCCGTCTTCCTTTTTATAAGTGTGTCTTTATGATTGTAAATATATATATATATATATATATATGTTGATGTATTTTTTTAAATGACGGAAAATAAATACAATACAATACAATACTACCCGAGCGGACGCGATGACCCGATGATTTGAGGTAAGCCAATTAAGAAAGATAACATTAATTTGGTGACTGCAAGACATAGTGGGAAACATCCTTTTCAAGTTTGCACCCATGCAGTTTCAAACATGTGAACCTGCATGCCTTATGAAAACAACCCGAGGGGCCTTAACGCTTTAGCGCTGATCTTTGATTTGTTATTAAAACCCTATGCCCTATATACGTGCTTAAACAATCTCTTCTCTTACTTTTAATACATGCTTATGTAAGAATTCCAGACAACTCGCCACAAAGACAACCCGCCCCAAGACAACCCGCCCCAATATCCTGGACATCTCGCCACAATACCCTGGACAACTCGCCACAGGCGAGTTGTCCAGGGTGGGGTGCCTTTTCGGACAACTCGCCACACTTTTTTCCCCTCATGATTTCTAGATCTAAAATCCCTCATCTTAGATGAAATTGTCATTTTTCATGATTTTCGTGCTTTTATAAACACAGTCATTACAAAGAATAAAGAATAAAGCTGATTTCCCTTGCAACAATAATATATTTTTGACAAACCGAAGGCGTACGATCGCCAGATCACTGGGATAACTTGGTATTTAGATCTAGAGGTCTATAGCAGCTGCATTTTTCTGTCTCAGAAATTGTTTAATGGTAGGATACTGGAAGCACTGGTGTACTGATGGGGGGGGGGGGTTATTTGACACATATTATTTGAAATAAAATTGAAATGTGATTTATTTCTAGATTTTCTGGGTTAGTTTCGTCAGAGGCGGCATTCTTCATTGGGAGGGGGGGGGACACTGTGCCCCCCACTTTTTCAGGTTCCCCTAAAGTGTCCCCTTTATCCTTTGTACATGTCTTTTTCCCTTCTGATAATTTTTAATGGTAGGAATTCATGGAAGGGCCGTACTGGAAGCACTGGCGTCCTGATGGGGGAGGGGGCAGTTGACCCGCGAAATAAAATTAAAATATGGTTTATTTCTAGATTTTCTAGGTTAGTTTCGCACAGTCCAAAATAGATTCTTGTTGCGGGTCTTGTTGCAAGCGCAAGGAAAATCATCTTTATTCTTCAGAACAGCTCTCAAAATACTCACAATTTCCATGTTTCCTGTCATGACTGTGTTTATAAAAGAATAATGAATACATAAAATGACAATTTCATCTAAGATCATGAAGACCAGGGTATTGTGGCGAGATGTCCAGGGTATTGTGGGGGTTGTCTTGGGGCGGGTTGTCTTTGTGGCGAGTTGTCTGGACCCCTTATGTAATTGTACAAATATTAATAATAAGTCACAATTAAAACAACAAAGAGAATCATAATTCACACTTACCAAGAAGGAAACTCGCCCAGATAACGAACAGAAACATATCCAGACCTTGGTAATAACGATGTTCGCTTTTTCAAATACGCAGATGATACTGAAATCTTGGGGATGATCAGAGGCGATGAAAATAATTATCGTTCAAATATAGAGCAGTTTATCAAATGGCGTGATCATAATTACCTTCAACTAAATCAGTCCAAAACGAAAGAAATATTGTTGACTTTAGAGTTGCTACGCAACATCATGAACCAGTGTAGATCACATATTAAAACATTGCGTTGCTACACAACAACACCATGTACCTATTAATATATTCATGCACCTGACTCTGTAAAAAGTATCAAGATGAACAACGGTGTCGATTTGTATCTGTGGTTGGGGGGGGGGGGGGCGGTGATAGGTGCCAACATATTTTCGGCAATGGATCAAAGCAACCAACAGGTAGAAGCGTGTGGCAGCTAGTTGCACCCCTCCCTTCCAAGTTATTAACTTTTTCAAGTCACCCTCAATAAAGATAACATTTCAGCGAATATGGGACCCATGTGGGTCCCACATGGGCTAGCTACCTGGGTTATTATCCTCTCAAGGATTTTATTTTAGGGGGTGGGGGTACATTAAATTATTAGAGAAAGAAGACGATTCGTATACCGTTCTCGACTCTTTATCCTTGTCTAAATTCAGTTCCTTTTGACGTTTCATTAAATTATTAAAGAAGGAAGACGATTCGTTGTACCGTTCTCGACTCGTAATCCTTGTCTAAATTCAGTTTCTTTTGACGTTTCATTAAATTATTAGAGAAAGAAAACGATTTTTTGTACCGTTCTCGACTCTTAATCCTTGTTTGATTTCAGTTCCCCACCCCCTTCCCGCGCAAAGCGCGGAAGCTTTGACGTTTCATTACATTATTAGAGAAAGAAGACGATTCGTTGTACCGTTCTCGACTCTTTATCCTTGTCTAAATTCAGTTTCTTTTGACGTTTCATTAAATTATTAGAGAAAGAAGACGAATCGTTGTACCGTTCTCGACTCTTAATCCTTTTTCTTCCTACGTCCTCTTCCTTTGTTCTTTCTCTCTCTCTCTCTCTCTCTCTCTCTTTTTTTTTTGGGGGGGGGGGGGGGCGACGACCCCCACCGCCCCCCTGGCTATGCGCCTGTGTGATCCTCTCTGTCTATCTCTCTCTCCCACTCTCTACTTCTTTTTTGCACTTATTGCGCCTCGCGCTTAACATTTAGCTCGTTGCTTTTTAACGCTGCGGCTTTGCATTTGGCGCACTGCATTTCTATGATGCTGTTGATTACAGAAATTGAATAAATTCATCAATTCCTGATAAAGCCGTATGAACGAGAACACAATCTATTCTTGTTACATATACGGTTGTCTCATTTACTTCGTTTTCTATTTATAGTTGTATGTATTATGAAAATGAGAAAGCAAAATGTGTATATTGATGGTCATCTTGCGAGTGGTAACCTTTAACTACTCTCATCGGGCTCTCATCATTAATTTTTCTTCATTTTTGTTTGCTGATGGTGAATTATCGGGGGGGGGGGATGATTGTACAGGCCACCCCCCCCCCCCCCCCCACCACCACCATGAAGATGACATTCTAAACTCATCACGACCGCACTAGTCAGCCATAACAAAAATAAAAACTGTGCCTTGAAGAACCTACAAAATGCCTGCGCAAAAGAAACTGGATCTCTTAAAATCACGGAAAGGCACGTACAGTTGCAGTGGCGGATTCAGGAGGCACAGGGGGCACGTGCCCCCTCCCCCGGTACAAAAAAAGGGGAGAAAAGGGGAGAGGAAAAAAAGGAGAAAGAAAGGAAGAAAGGGGAAGAGAGAGGAGAGAAAGGCGGAAAAGGAAGAAAGGGGGGAAGACGGAGAAGAGAAAAGGGGTAAAAAGATGATAATGAGAAGGGAAAATAAAGAGAGGGGGATGATATTATAAGAAGGCGGTTTTTTTTACCGGGACTTGAAGGGGCGCGGCCGAGGGGGGGGGGGGACGCAATTTTGCAGTGTGCATAATATGAGGTCCCTCTTGCCAGGCGTGTAGCCCCCCCCCAAAAAAAAAAAAAAAATAAATAAATAAATAAATAAATAAATAAATAAAAAAAATGAGAAGAACAAAAAAAGATATAGAAAAAAAGGGGGAAAGAGAGAATTTTTGTGAGTTCTTTAAAAAGAATAATGGATAACAACCGGGGCGTAGCTAAAGGGACACCGCTGCTGTCGGGAAAATGAGAAAAGAGGGGGGGGGGGGTGAGAGGGAGAGGGAAAGAAAAGAAAAGTTAAAAGAAAGGGAAGAAATGAAAGAGAAGAGAAGAAAGATAGAGAAAATAGAAAAAGAGGATGGAGAGGAGCAAAGGAAAAAAGAAAAAGGAAAGGGAAACAAAAGAATGAAAGAGAGAGAGAGAGAGAGAGAGAGAGAGAGAGAGAGGGTGGGAGTAAGAGAGAGAGAGAGGGATGTTGGGTGGAGTCAAGCGCGTAGTAGCAGGATTTGATTTTAGGGGGGCGGTAGTGAGCACGCGAAGCGTGCGAATTACTTAAAGAGCGCGCAAAGCGCGCTCCATAGGGGGGTGGGTGCAGGGAGGGGGGAAGTTTTGACAGAAGACGATTCGTTGTACCTATTTCGACTCATAATCCTTGTCTCATTTCAGTCCGCCCCTCCTGCGCGAAGCGCGGAAGCTTTGACGTATTATTAGACAAAGAAAACGATTCGCTGTACCTTTCCCGACTCTTAATCCTTATCTGTATTCAGTCGCCCTCCCGCGCAAAGCGCGGAAGCTTTGACGTTTCATGAATTTATTAGAGAAAGAAGACGATTCGATGTACCATTCTCGACTATTAATCCTTATCTGAATTCAGTTTCCTCCTCTCCCGCGCAAAGCGCGGAGACTTTGAAGTTTCATTACATTATTAGAGAAAGCTAAACGATTCAAAGTACCGTTCTCGACTCTTAATCCTTGTCTGAATTCCGCCCCCCCCCCCCCCCTCTCGCGCTAAAATCTGACGTTTCATTAAATTATTAGAGAAGAAGACGATTGGTTGTACATTTTTCGACTCTTAATCCTTGTCTGAATTCAGTCCCCTCCCCCTCCTCCTGCGCGAAGCTTTGACGTATTATTAGACAACAAAGAAGATGATTCGTTGTACCTTTCCCGATTCTTAATCTGTATTCAGTTTCCCCTTTCCGCGCGAAGCGCGGAAGCTTTGACGTTTCATTAAATTATTAGAGAAAGAAGACGATTCGTTGTATCGTTCTCGACTCCTTTTCCCTTTTTCTTCCTACGTCCTCTTACTTTTTTCTTCTCTTTCTCTCTCTTTTTTTTTTGGGGGGGGGGGGGGCCGGCGTTTTTTTTTTTGGGGGGGGGCGACCGCCCCCACCGTCCCCCCCCCCTGGCTACGCGCCTGGGTGGAGTCACTACGTCGATGGCCTGGGGCACGAAAGATACGCATAGATAATTATGTTGCATGCTGAGGCGGGTCCGCTGTGTCGGTATTCTTGCTCGATGATGCAGAAGTTTGAAGTCGGTGAGATCAAGAAGTTACCAGCAACTTCTTGGTGAGATGTATTATGTCGGTCGGCTGGAATTTTGTTTCTCCCTACAAACTTTAACTTTTTATCGGACCAAGAAACATTTTTTGAAAATTCAGACAATGGTTATGAATTGGTACAACGAATCGTCTTCTTTCTCTAATAATTAATGAAAAGTCAAAGACTCCGCGCTTCGCGCGGGAGGGGGAAACCGAATTCAGACAAGGATTAAGAGTCGAAAACAGCACAACGAACCGTCTTCTTTCTCTAATAATTTAATAAGACGTCATGAGACTGAATTCAGACAAGGATTAAGAGTCGAAAACAGTACAACGAATCGTCTTCTTTCTCTAATGATTAAGCGAAACGTAAAAGCTTCCCTTCTTCGCGCGGAGGAGGGCAACTGAATTCAGACTAGGATTAAAGATAAAGGTGAGTTCTCGTAAAAAAATATTTAAAAAATGAATTCTAACAGAATCAAACGAAACTTACACGGAATGTTCAAGATTACAAATAAATGTCATTTGCAAAACAATTTTGGTAGAAAATGTATACTGGCTGAGTAATGAGCATAGAAAGATTAGGAAATCAAGGTCAGTAACCCGACACCATGCGTGTAGTCCCATATACATCTTTCTGTATACAGTGCTTGTTACTTTACCAACTGTTTCTGATCCATTTCACACCTTTTCTTTCACAATGCAATCGGATGACCAGAACTCACTATTTAAGAGTCGAGAACAGTACAACGAATCGTCTTCTTTCTCTAATAATTAAATAAATTGTGAAAGCTTCCGCGCTTTGCGCGGGATGGGCGTAAACGAATTCAGACAGGGATTAAGAGTAATAATTAAATGAAACGTCAAAGAGGGGAACTGAATTCAGACAAGGACACGATACAACGTATCGTCTTCTTTCTCTAATAATTTAATGAAACGTCAAAGCTTCCGCGCTTTTGCGCGGGATTGGCGAAAACGAATTCAGACAAGGTTTAAGAGTAATAATTAAATGAAACGTCAAAGAGGGGAACTGAATTCAGACAAGGACACGATACAACGTTTTGTCTTCTTTCTCTAATAATTTAATGAAACGTCAAGGCTTATGCGCTTCGCGCGGAAGGGGGGGGGGGGACTGGATTCAGACAAGGATATGATACAACGAATCTTTCTCTAATAATTTAATGAAACGTGAAACCTTCCGCGATGGGCGAAAATAAATTTAGACAAGGATTAAGAGTAATAATTTAATGTCACGTCAAAGCTTCTGCGCTTAGCGCAGGAGGGTGAAACTGATTTCAGACAAGGATTAAGAGTCGAGAACGGTACAACGAATCGTCTTTTTCCTCTAATAACTAACGGAAAGGTCATAACTCCTGCGCTTTGCGCGGGACGGGGAAAACTGAAAAATAACTTAGTTCCTGCATGGCCGGGTTTATAGGGATAAAACTGTAGACATTGGGACATTAGCATTAATATATTTGTCGGTAATTGGTGGCTACTTTTGCAAGTACTACTGTTGAAGTACCAGACTACCGTCTTTGTGCTTTGTGCAGCAATGAAGCATATACAATGTCTCGCGACGTGACAGATCACTTTTCTCTAACTTCTAACCAATCAGATGGCCTCGTTTTTTTCCAGGAAGTGCCTGTGGATATTAATGCGCCTAATGTGGTTCTAAAATTGCAAATGCTTCCTACTCTGGAAGGGGACTCTGACCCCCTTCCAGACCCATCCCCCGCTTGGTCGCTCCGCCCCTCGCCGCTCACGCCTCGCTCCATCGTTTTTTCATATTATTTCACCCCATGCGATGTTGTGCCCTCCTGGTAAGAAATTCCTGGATCCGCCACTGAGAAACATCTGTATAGATTCTTAAACAGTGATTCCATTTTCCTGATGACTTCTACAGCATAATTATTGTTTAATTCTATTGATGGAGTAAAATTCTTAGAAACAAAATCCTTTATTTATATAGATACACATGTAATCTTATATAGTGCCAATAAGATTTGAGCATCATGCATTCAGTGAGTTGTTCAATATTCCCTATTTCAAGTTCCTCAATCTTTTGACGAAAGGACCTTGGCCCATTTGCCAAGAGTATTATTGCCAACACGGTAATAAGACTTTTTTGTAGGATGGTTACTTTTAACTGCATGTAAATAATAATGATGTATCAATAAACATATTCCTCCTGAGTTGCAATGGCATTTCCCCGCATTCAACTTGTAAAGCATGTAAAGCTTGTAAAGAAGTTAAACGAACTCCACCAGTAATGATTTTAAAGGTAATACAAAGTTTTGGGAAACTTAGGTGGATAGGGATTCTTTACAATTTTGATATATTTGGATGCCCCTGTAGATGTATTTTAAGCACTAGAAAATTTAGCCCCTAAAACACGGCTTCTGCTTTCGAGAAAAATTTAATATAAAAATTTACCGGTGCTCCAGGTAAATTTTGATAAATTTCAAAATAGCGCCTACGGCCGTACTATGGGATTTGCGACCATGAAAATCTCAGAATATGCAGTTGCAGGCGCGTACGCAGGATTTTTTCAAGGGGGGGTTTTAACATTTATAAATCGGTCCGAAAATTTCGCAACGACTCAGCCAGCCGCTGAATAAGGGGGGGGGGGGGGGGGGGGGGGGGGGGGGGGGGGGGTAAGAGGACACATTTTTTTTTTTTTTTGGTCCCAAAAAAATCGCAACGACTCAGCCGACCGCTGAATAAGCGGGGGGGGGGGGGGGGGGGGGGGGGGGGGGGTAAGAGGACACTTTTTTTTTTTTTTTTTGGTCTCGAAATTTGGAAATTTGACATTTTGCTCCCGTTGGGGGGGGGGTAAGGTCACCTTTTTTAGGTCGGCCATGGGAATAATTTTTTTTTTTTTTTTTTTTTTATAATTAAAAAAAAAAAAAAAAAAAAAAAAAAAAAAAATCCAAAAGGGGGGGGTTTTAGTTTTTTTTTAGGGGGGTTTACACACAAAAAATTTCAAAAGGGGGGGGGGTTTAACCCCCCAAACCCCCCCCCCCCCCTGCGTACGCGCCTGTGCAGTTGTGATATATAATTTCCAAATGGGAATCGGTCGATTTTAGTCAAGAAACATTGTTTTATATCTCAAATTAATATATTTACCTTGAGACGGGGAGCTATACAGCATAAAGAGTTTATTATTTACAATTTCATAACTTTCAACCGGGACAACGATCACTGAACATTGTAGGATCGCATATGCTTCCAATATGTTCATTTGAACCAAATTCATGACCCCACACCAAAACTTTGTATTACCTTTAATATTAATAATGGTGTCTTATTTCTTTTTAAGAGAATTACTCGCGCCATCATTACTTTCACTTCCATAATCTAACACAGATCGGATTAAGCCTTTATAAACACAGTGAAGTATTTCCGAGTTATTGCCCCATTTGGTACCAGCAAAGGCAGCAATACACCTCTTTTTTTGCATCTTATTGAAATTTTATTTCGATGTTTACGCCAGATCACTCGAGTCGAATCATACTCCAAAGAATTTGTATTTCTTTTTCCAATTGAATGCTTTTGCTATATATGTGTAAATCAATATTTTTTCTTTTTTTCTGCGCTGCGGAATACTTCGGCTCTCGATTTTGAGTATGAGAGAAAGAGATGCAGACCCCATCTATCACACCATTTTAAAAATATGAACAGTGCAGTGCAGTATAGTGATAAGTGACGAAGCAAGTAAAATCATAGATTATCTGTCTCCATCTACGACAGCATCAAATTAGGTCTTATAGGAAAATTATTTATGGAAAATGGCGACTTTGTCGCTGCCTTCCGCTCTACCAGAGCAGAATGGAGCAATGAAGGCACACCACGGTGAGTTGAAGGCTTTCATTTAATCAGTTGTAGATTGGAGTATATGTGTAAGATGAATTGTATGATTATTAACCAATATTTTCTTTAGGAGCAGCCTTTTTCCAATACGTAAATTGCGTTCATTACTTTTCAACGGAGCTCGATGCGAAGGAAGCTTCGCGGCGGAGCTCCGTTGATTTGAGTATGCGGTAGGTAGGCTACACAGCACAAGACTTGTCGGAGCTAGTTCAGTAGTCTATCCAGACTTTGACCCGAAACTCCTGGCGGCAGATACTCTACTAAAACATACAGATAATCGACTAAATCTTCGTCAATTGTTCAAGTAATGGTCATGATTTAACAGTCGATATGTTTCTTACCTGTTATGTGTCAATTTTCTTATCTTTTTTGGAGTATTTTCCTAAAAACGAAGATACACTTTCTCACGCGATTTACGGCAAACTGCTGCACAATACAATTGCATACCGTACCGACGGCTGTATCCCACCGTCGGTACGGTATGCAATTTTATTGTGCAGCAGTGTGCTGTGAATCCCGTGAGAAAGTGTATTTTTCCTAAAAACGAAGACATTAGACTGTCTAGAGTAGTGGCTCCGGTCTGCGGCCGATCGGCGGGAACTGCCGATTCTATTTTTATTGGAATACTCACAGAATACTTCAATACCCTCAATAAAGAGTCCATATACTTACTTATTAAATAGAAGTCACAAATAACCAAACTGACCCACAGCGTGGTCAGCATTGACCATGTTTCGAAATGCTTCGAGTTCCCCGGTTTGCGGGCACGCAGTACCGGTTTGCGGCACGCGTACGTCACAAAGCTTTATGCGCTACGTCACGATGAAAGCATGTACCAAATTACTACGGGTAACCCAAATTCTCATGTTTATCTGTTGCTACGGTAATTTGTGAAGTTTTAAACAATTTCACCTTTTCCTCGAATGGATCATCCCATACGGGGGTACGTACTACTAGAAACTATCGGGTCATAGGGGGTACACACATCAGCACACATACCATCATACACGATCCCGCATGTTATGTGTGTATTAAACCCCCCGCCGCAAACCAGAAAAACACGTAATTACGTGCCGGTTTGCGGTCACCCCATGCAACTAGCCATGCGGTGGCACAATCAAAATATCTGCGATAGGAGACAGACCACAGCCATCATACTCCACAAAAACATCAAATTTCACCTCCAATCGGACAAATATCGGACAAATAGAGCTACAATATTGATCTAGTCATGCCTCGATCTCTTAACTTAAAAGTTAGCACCTGCTGGAATTTTCATCGGCGAATGGTGCCGTAGATTTCCGACATCGCTGACGGATACTCCGTACCGATAGGAGCACCTGCTACGGACATTTTCGGCAAAGCAGAACTTACCGTGGAATCCACGGTAGGTTTCAATGATTATTATCGAGTCATATTCATTTTATTTTTGAAACAAATACCCCTGGCCGCAAACCGGGCGATGCCGCAAACCGGAGACTCTACTCTATATAATATTCACTTTCTCAAAGGTTTCACGGCAAGCCGTTGCACAATTGCATACCGTACCGACCCACAAAGGTGCGCGAGTGTGCGTGTGCAAGTTATACAGTGGTGTTTGAAATGTTGAGAATCAATAGATCTAGAACAGTTTTTAATACACAGCTATGATAGTAATTCAGTTATGTGTGGCTGAGAGGCACACATAGGAGCATCACTATCCTGGCTGTGTAGTAAAAGCTGTGCTTTTGATTCTCAACATTTCAAACACCACTGTACAAAATTCAACTGATTTTACTCAAAATCGGTACTTTAGTGACAATTGATGACACCTAAATAGCAGTAAAATACATTTTTTTTAAATTACTGATGTTAAAAACAATAATTTAAAAAATCAAATTGTAAGTTTAGTGTCAAACTTTGCTTACAGCTGCATCGACATGATTGTGTACAGTCTATGCGATATTGTGTGGTGTGTATATTTGTGTATAGACTTCTAGGTCCCTGCCTCGCAGCATGTATGCAGTGCTAGAGGTCAATACGCTTTATCATTGACTCTCTATGCTTTGCTGGAGTGCTGAGAGGCAGCAATTGCACACAATGCACACACTGCACAAAATTGCACACTACTCGACTAATGCACACAATGAATACGAAGTGGCTGATCGGCAAACTTGACAGTAGACTCACGATTTGAATTTTCAAAATATTTTTTCTAAAATCTGTAAGTTGAAAAGATCGTATGTTACTGCTATTTAGGTCGTCAAAACAGTTTTTAATACACAGCCAGGATAGTAATGCCGTCATCACTTGTCACATAAGTACCAAATTTGAGTGAACTCAGTTGAGTTTTGTACAGTGGTGTTTGAAATGTTGAGAATCAAATTAGAGGTTGTCTAAACAGTTTTTAATACACAGCCAGGATAGTAATGCAGCTATGTGTACATATAGCCTGGCTTAGCCTTAAAGAGAAGGTTGAGTTCTGGGAAGAGGTGAAAAATAATTTGTGAGCATTACTCATTCCTATTATGCAGGTGTGGAAGAACATCAGATAAGACATGTTCCCTGAAAAGCATGGCTCTTCAAATGCCTTCATATTCTAAATATGTATGTAACATCGTAAAAATCGGGGGGCCGGCTTTTTACGCCACGTGTTTGTGTAGTCCCATATACATCTTTCTGTGCAAGTGTTTGTAACTTTACCAAGACTTGGCCAAATTTCTTATCATTTTGATGATTCCAGAACCTTGCAATACACACAAATTCTTATATGCTAGATGATCAACCTTTTCTGGTCGGTTCCACACCGTTTCTTTCACAATGCAATCGCATGACCAGAACTCAACTTCATCTTTAAGCCTTCAACTTCAAGCCTCAAGGGCTTCATCATTTTTTGTTTGAGGAATCTGCTCATATAAATTTTTTATTTTGAGCTGTTTGGCTTTGCATCAAGTGTGACTAAATGAAATAGGAAATAATCTCCAATATTGGTGGTGTGGGGATTCTTTAATCTGGATGATGCTGGTTTTACATTGATAGAACTTAGTCTACTTGGTCTACATAACAACATCCTTCTTCTTTATCTGTTTTACATGCAGAGAATGGCAGTGACCATGATACGGTGCTGCCAAATCTTATGCAGAAGCTGCAGATGACCACAAAGCAGATCAAAGCATGGTCTCAAACAAGTCAGAAACTCAGACTGGCTATGGTAAGTAGTACAGGTTCCCATTAACTTTGTCACATCTTCTTTTTGAAACCATACATTGTAAAGAGTTTGTAGCTTTGCTTGACTGTCTGATTTAAGACATTAACCAATAAGAATAGATTCTATACTTTAAAAAAGATTGTACAGGTAGGCTACTTTTATATCTTTCTTCAAAATATACATTTTTTAAATTAAATTTTTTTATCTTACACAGCTTTACACAACAAATTTACAGTTTATGACTTGGAGAGCAAAATAAATATTCTTTTGTATTTACTAATGTAAAGTGCTTTGAGCATGTTTATGTAAAGGTGCTATATAAATATCAATATGTATGTACCGGTATGTATGTATACAATGTACATTCATATGTATTAAGGGAATAAGGTGTGTGCACTAGACCACTAGTATATGATTACCTACTAAATTATGTCATATCTTATATGTTTTGTTTTCTTTCTCTGTTATAGTCCAAGTACACAGACCCAGATCCGGTGGACCCAAATCGGCTCAAAAAATGCTTAGACAAGCTGAAGATGGCCATCAAAGGTATGATTCTTATTAAACAGCAAATACTACAGTGGATAGCAGTGAAGAATTAGCATCAATTGCTTTGGTTGTTTAATTTCTAACCAGAAATTTCATCACGTGCTTACCGATAGTATGTTGCTGCAGTAATTATAGAGGTAAAACATACAAGGGTCCAGTAAAACTGTGTACAATATAAATACGTAAAATATAGAGCCCTTAGAATGGTCATGTATGAAATGATATGTCTGTGGGAAAAAAACAGACATGAAATGATAGTATTAATGATAGAAGGCGTTATGAACTTTGATTCTACTTCTTTAATCCATTTCCTTCACCACCTTTTGTTCCTTCACACTAAATCTTTTCATTAATAACAGCATATGTTATAAACAAATCAACTGGACTTGCTTTGCTTTAGCTTGAGATGTTTCACATCACGTCCGGGACGCTTCATCAGACCGCCTAGTCTTTGGCCGCAATTCAGCCGTTACGAAAATCCCTCAACATTTCCAAAAGTTCCTCTTCATGGGTCAACAACCAATGTTTTTATATTTGATGTTATTAATCTTCTAGCTGGGTGATTGAGAATATTTTTAAACAAATCTTTTTTTTCTCTCTTTGATTTAGTTACCTCAGTGCCAGCAATGAATGAGAGGCTTGATGCCATTGCTAGACAAGTTGGGTAAGTCAAGTGTATAACAATGCTCATTGGCATAGCATACAATCCTGTTCAAAATATGGTTGATTCATCCGATTCATACAATATTTCCTTTAAGATTTGGAAATATGATTTGACATATTTGTAAATTCTCTCCCCCCAAATCTTGGCATTTAGAGGCATTATGAAAGAAAACAGAATGAAATTGGGATATCAAATGTAAGTAGTAGGAGTAGTGGTGGTTATTTTACCTGAGTGCTGAGAAAGCATAAATGCTTGTTAATAAGCAACCAGAGGACCGATGGCTTTAGGTCCCCTCTGAGGGACCTGGTAATGAGGGTTAATGCCTTACCAAAGGGCACTAGCGCATCGACTTGGTTTTGAACTCGGGTCACCGGATTATGAGACCACTGCTCTGCCAACTGAGCTATCGCGCCTCATTATAATGTTGAGCAGGGTCATTTGCAAACAAGAATTAAAATATGATTATATATTTCTTGCAGGTTTTAACGATGTGAATGTTTTTATTTACAGGTTAAAAGCCAACTGGAGCATAGATAATGTGTATCTCAGTTCAGACTGCTTCTATGTGGAAGTGCTTTTAGCACCTAATGGCGGCGTTAAAGATGTGATTCTGGTGCATGGCATGAATGGTAATCTACAGGTAAGAATTACACTTACACCAATGTGTTCAGTGTTCACTTCCTCAGTTGAGTGATATTTAAATCATGTAATCACTTATCTTCCTCCTCACTTATCTACACCCTCATGTTCATTGTTGTACCCATTTAAACTAAGTGTGCCAACGTTCAGATCTTTTGGAAGTAGTTTTACATTTCGATATGCTTCCAGTTCCAGTATGGGAATTTATATCCTATGTTGAATCTTGTGAAAGATGGTCAAAGACAAAGAAGTGTGCGATATACATGTACTATTTTTCTTTTTTCTCTCATCTGAACAATGTTATAGAGTCCCTTTAAGCAAGACGGGGTAAAAAATATTTCTCAAATTTAGAATTTAAATGCAAGGAAAACGTGTCCTTTTACATATATTTTTAAGTTTCTGTGGAAAGAGGGTGCTGCCTGTTTAACCCGGGACCACCCATTTAATCTTCCTCCTTTTGGGGGGAATTTCTTTGTCTCATCCCTGGTATAAAGGTACATGCACACAATCCAAACTCATGTCCTAGTTAAAAAGAAAACCCTTGAGTCCTTTTTTTAAACTGGTAATAATCACACTAGAGTCAGCTGTGTAATGTCAAAGAGGAACATCATGACTTCTGATGATCCATTGTTATTAAACTGGTGTGTTCGCTCAGTCAGTAGAGCGTCCGCCTCACAACCGGGAGGTCATGGGTTCAAACCCTGGCTGCGTCATACCAAAAGACGTTAAAAGATGGGAGTTGCTGCTACCTTGTTTGGCGTTTAACAACAAAGGGATAGAGCAACGTCGATCGCTCACGATCAATTGGGCAAAAAAAAAAATCCCTTTTCGGTTTAACTTAATAAAATTTGGAGTGGACTTTACAAGATTATTATTATTATTATTATTATTCCATGAACAGAGTTGTGAGGAGATGTGTGACGTGTTGAAGAAGAATGACTTCAAGGAGTTCACGGAGCATCTCAAAGGATTATGTCAGATGTACCAGCTGGGTGGAGACAGGTCAGCTTCACATATCACAAGTTTTACATTCATTAAATGGTTGTTGTGTTCACTCAAGGATATTCATTGAGGGGGAACCACTACTACTTAAAGTAAAGGTTGTGTTCTGGGGAGAGGTGAAAAAATAATTTTTTATTATGCAAGTGTGGAAGAACATCAGAGAGAAAATGTTCCCTGAAAAGCATGGCTCTTTAATTGCCCTCTCATCCTAAAAAGAAGGCCCAAATTTTATGCCACATTTTTGTGTAGTCCCATATACATCTTTCTGTGTACAGTGCTTCTTACTTTACATTGCAGTACACACCAATACTCTTTCACAATGCAATCGCATGACCAGAACTCAACTTTATCTTTAAATTACCTATCTACATCTGAATCCACATGTAGTTTTCATTCTCTACTTAAATGTATAGTCTGAAGTATTGCTTGTCTGTCGTTTTGGATTCTAAAGATGAGACATGTACACTATTCTTGTCTATGATTATTTCGATATGAAATCTAAGAGAGTAATGAAAACAAATTATAAGTGACATTTTGATGTGCATATAGCTTATATATTAAATACATTTAGCCAGAGAGTAACATTATAAAATATGGTAATTTCCTTTTTTAGAATAGAAATTATAGTTGAATGTTTGTCTGTCAAACATCACAGCCTTGATAGTGAATGTTTCACTATTCTTTCATTGTAAATGTGTATAGTTTCAAATTGCATTTGTGTTGCTTTCAATGTGCATGCATATAATAATAATAATAATAATGGGTTCTTGTATAGCGCACATGTCAGTCAGATTTGACCCTCCTGGCACTCTCGATTATTACCCTGGCTTTAGCGCGGCTGCCATACGGCGCTCTAGCATTTCAAGGAATAAATTCCTACCAGGTACCCATTTACTTCACCTGGGTGCAGTGTGGCAAATATAGTTTGTTGTACTTATGCCTACCTACATGTCTTTCTTGTTGGACAGTAAAATGAAAACGACAGCTTTCAACTGTCTGCAGGCTCTGGAGGTAGATATCAAGACTCTCTTTCACATCAGTGGTATCAAGTTTGGTGCATCACAGCAGCAAGGGTAGGTATCTATTCAAAGTTTCACATTTTCTTCTTCAATAGAAACATTAGGAGACCTTGAACTTTTAAAGGCATAGTTTAACAATGTTAAATCTGAGATGCACGGCCCTACGTGTTATCAGTGTCTGTGATATGTTGTTATATTGAAACCCTAAAAAAACTGCTTCAAAATGATCAAGAAGTGCCTCAAAAAAATAAAAACCTTGAGTGACCAGATTTACCCTACTTGTTTTCCCCAATAGACTGTAGTGTTATGAAAACCGTTTGACAAACGCAAAATTTGATTTCGATTTTCAATCATAAATATCTTGATAATCAGAAAGGTGATCGGCTTGTAAAAGTCATGGGGTTCCTGACTGACCTAAAAGTTTATAATTATTGCAGCATGAGCTAAATCAAGGATTTTTTTAAGGGATCTAAGGCAAAGTTACTGGATTCCTTTAAAACATCTATGCATTAAAAAATTACATTTAGCACAATTGGCTTCGAAAAATTCTTTATTTCCTAAGAAATCAGATCATTTTGGCTGAATATTTGATTATCAAATTTTAGATCATTTTAATAGGAAGAAGGTAGGATTTTTAAAGAGCTTGATTTGGATTGTATTTGGGAGAATCAAGGTTATGTTGAAGAAAATATGAAGCATTTATCTCATTTTTTAAACAAAATTTATTTTGATGTTGGATGATTTGTGTGTGAAACGCTGAGTATAGGCCTGTTATTTTGACGTTGTTTTCTATCCATGTTAAAAGTGGAAGCCCTCTTCTTCACATCACCAAGGGCTTTGTGGGATACCTAACACCACGAGTAGGAGGTAAGCTGTCCATCTTATTACTTTCAAATGTTAACAATATTTATTTATTGATGATAAACCATAATTGCAGGAAAGAAAGCAACTCATAGACATAAGTCTCCTCCTTTATTGACAAAGTAATTGAGGAGAAGTTGATTTTCTACCAAATTGCACGAGAGCAATGAATTTGTTTGTGGTCAGGGTCGATCAAGAGCCACTACTTTAGTATCATGGTATCCTGCCTCTTTGTTGTGCTTGTGAAATTGAAGTGATTGTTAGTGATGATTAAAAAAGGCACAGTGTGTAGCCCTGCTCATGTTAGCATAGGCAGTGATTCACACACTTATGACTTTCAAGCTCCCTCTTCTTCTCCTTTATGATAACCAGGATTTAGATCACAAAGAAACACCACATAATGTATAGAGTGTGCAGTGGGGGTAGTTTGTATTTGGCAGCCATACCTTGTGAATTAGATACATGCATGTGAAGAATAGTTTGAAAGTCTTATCCACCAGTATTGTCTCACTACTTGTTGTATGGCCCCATGGCCCACTTTCTAACTCCATTGAGCTGTGTCCTTTTGATGAACAATGGTTCCAAACGCTTTGTAATAACTGTCTTTTCTTTCTATCTCTTACCATCTCTAAGTAATTATCATATTGATCAGCTCATATTGATTACTGTTGATTTCCTAGGTCATCTGATGCGTCTCACCTACTTTGTGTCTCCATATGATCTGCTGGATGTGGAAAAGAAGCAAACAAAAGAACTCTCCCTGAAAGGTCAGTTGAATTATAGCAAAGATGGTGTCTAAGCCACTCAATCTGGAGTTGTTTGTTGCTTGTGACACCATCCATCTTATAAAGAGACATGTGACATATTTTCTTTCTTAAAAACAGCTACTGTAGGTGATGTGGGAGGCACTATTTCCTCTTTTCTTTTTTCTTTTTTAGAGAGAGAGAGAGGGGGGGGGGGGGGGGGAGGGGGGCGTCATCTGTCCATGCATCATATGTCTTCAGAATTTTGTATGACAATGTAAAGAGTAAAATGTCATGGAGGTATGTTATGATGAAAATTATTGTCTCAACATCTTAAGAACCACTTGAGGTTTTAAGTATAACATTGATATTAATGCGCATGATAATTTGGATATGGTAGTGTCATTTGCAGGTTACTTTTAATTGTACATTGAATATATTGTAAATTCAGGGAAATGTGTGAAGCAGGAATTGTTAATAAAGAATAATTTGAAGGTCGGCAAATGTTTTGGAGATGCAGTTGCTTTAATCTGTTTACTGAATATTTCATAACCCTTTCCTACTTGTACTTTCTTTCAAATGTTTAAAAAAAAAATGTATACAATATTTGTTTGAATGTTATGAATTCAGAACCGTTGCCAAAGGATTTGGGCTTATCAGTGACTGTGAGTATAGAGACAGCAGCTCAGAGGAAGATTCAGACAGGTCCTACTGTGATGGTTACAGACAACAAGATCACCAAGTAAGTATACATCTAATAATTGACTTAAGCCCCACAGTACTACTTGTAGCTACTTGCTCCCTCTATATAGAAAACAATGCCTAAGCGATGACCATTGATCGCCCATGATCCTCTTTTTTAAATGTTAATTGAGAGCTGAGTTGATGAGATAACCACCACATGTCCAGTGACCTTGCAGGATGGTCTAATCCCTCCTATAAACTAGTACAGATAGGCTTGAAATCTTGCTCACATATGACACAGGTTACTGCCTCAAGAAAACTATGGCTACAAAAATGATAACTATTTTTCATCATGTAAATGAATTTCTAGTATTGGTGAGAAAAGGTAGCTGCGTCAACGTAGGCCCCTTTGCGTACTCACTTGACTATGCGTCATAAAGTCCGGGAATGTGGAGTGAAATATTCAGTTTTATGCTAAAGTCTATTTCACAATTTTATTCCCCCATTATGGATATGCCCTCCTGATATTCAGCTATGCCCTCTTTTGAAGTATCTCATTGTAGTGTAAGCATCAGATATGAGGATAATGATTTTTCCTGATATCAAACTTTTGAAAGAGAAAGCCTGCATAGTGATAACACTTGTTAAATTACTACCATTAAGCAGCCTAAATTATTTTGGACACTATAGATGGCTAGGAACAACAAGATCAAGTGAGGTGTACATGTATCTTTTAATGAATACAAGATGTCAGTCTTTGCCAGTTGCACTAAACGATGCATGTCAGGGAAGCTAGGGTTATAATTGTGGACATTGTTTCATTACAACTGGCTGTAAACTTGATATTTTTAATAGATTTTACGTGAAGATTATTATCACCAAGATTGTTTTAGCGAGTCCTTGCACAAAGTGTTGCATCTAACCATTGAATTATACTTTTTTTTTTTTTTACAGTGTAATGCCATTAGGCAATCAAAACAGTATTACCATCCCTGCATCGTTTGTGTTAAAGCTAAGTGAGCCTATGCCTATGTCACTCATCCTTCTCAAACAACTGCAAAATATCTCAGGTAAGTGAGGACATCAGTGTTGAAGAAAAAAAAATGTCCTTTATATTTACACAAGCTCTTTCTGGTGTTTCTAAAAACCAACAGTGTAACATTTCCTTTCAACAGATTGTGAATTATCCCTCCCCCTTGATTAGCTTCCCAGAGCTCAATAGGTATTTACTGCCATGCCCTTTTTTCACTGAAAGGCACCTCAATCCCCCTCAAGGTATAAGCAGAGATGCCAACCAGTACGATTAAATCGTATTTAGTACGATAATAAGAGTGAAATACGATCTTAAAATCTTAAAATACGATTTTTCATTAAATAAAACACAAAAACAACATAAAAACGGCGGAATCGCATAAAAACATGTGCAATTAAACTTTGCTTTACTATTTTCTCATTAAATTTTAATGAAAGAGCAAACTCTTTTTCTGAAATTTTACTGGCCTGGGCCGACGGGTCAGTGATAGTGTCGGGTTTTCGTGAAAATCTGATTCTTTTCTCAAAAATCTGATTTTTTAGGAAACTCGGTCTGTTTTTTGTGTTTCAAGAGGTTGGCATCTCTGTATTAGGAGTAATTCTATTTGCAGATGTATTGGTACTGTGAGAAAACGCTTAATTTTGTGGACTGCTAAGTATTGTGTTTAATAGTATAAAATTCACTTGTCTATTGCTAGTGTTAGGAAACAAGGTAATTTATCTACATGTATCTCATAAAAGTACAAAGTCTTATACTCAAAGAATCAGTTCTGATTTTTTAAACTCTTATATCACTTACAAGTATATGTACTTATGTACATATATGTACATGCATTTGTTGTAAAATATTATCTATCAAAGGGAAAAACTTGTATTCAAAGTAATACCCTAAGAGGCCTGCAATTGTTAACAGTAACTATGAAAAATATCAGATTCTCATGAATAAGATGTACTTTCTATGCAAAATAAACAAGTCTGAAATATAAAAATTGTCCCTACATGTATTTAATGTAGCCCCCCCCCTCCTCTGTTACTAAGTTATAGTTATTATTGTATCAATTTTGAATAATAAGACCTGCTGATTCTTCTACTTCCTGTGATTACAATGACATTAAAAACTTCTTTATTCTCTTCTCTTGACCTCTTATGTAACAGGTGTTTCTACACAGTATGCTGATCCTACTGCTGCTACTCCTCTCAATACACTCATCTGTAAATTCACTCTAGACCCAGTCACTTTCCTACAGAATCAGGCCAAAGAAGGTCGCAGTAATAAAACTAAAAACTACATTGTGGTAAGTCACTCGCATTTTGTTTGCAAATAAAGCATGGTAGAATACTTGTAACTGATCGCAGAAATTGCATTCAATTTTTAGCCTAGAACTTAGCTAGACTTGGATTACAAGTTTTGATATTACTATTATTATCAATTTTTTTTAAAACAGAAAAGTTTAGTTTACATCTATTCATTAAAAATTAAGTCGTGAAGGTTGAACTTGAACAGCACCTTTCAATGTCTGTGTAGATTGACTTCTTGAACTGATGGCTTCTCTGAGCAAGGTCCAAGCAAGAGCAAGTCAGAATGAAATGGCCTGTACAAGTAGATAGTTCTGATCTGACATTTGCTACAGGTGTAGGGTTAGGGTTTTAGTTTTAGTTAGGGTTAAGTTTTAGTTAGTGTTGAGTCAAAGGTTGAAGTTGGGAATTTGATGAATGTAAACAATATGACTGCTGAGCAATTGGCTGCCGGAGAACGTTGTACAATTGATAATGTCTTTGATATTGTCATTAAATAACCTGAGGTTTTACCCTGTCCATGTCCCTTCTTCTGTATAGGAACTACCTGATCAGCATCATTCATACATCATCAACGATGGGACCAATCCCAACGACCTACGAGACATGCAAGGTGCTCTGCTCTCTAAGATCACCTTCACCTTACCTAATACTGTAGTTAAGATCATCGCACTTCTCAGACAGCAGGCTGTCTATAACACTCTCATCGCTAGCTGTGTCAGGAGCAAAGATGGTCAAGGTTAGTATGTGTGTGTCTCTGTCTGCATGTGATCAGGGGGGTGTTTCACAAAGATTCTAATTCGAACTTAACTCTAAGTTGGACTTAAAAATTATGTCGAGCCATTTGTAGCCTTATCATGAAATATATTCTAAAGCAAAAATTCAAGTATTTTAGACTGTTCATAAATTCCACATCAAGAACATGATATCTCCCATGATAATCGAAAATATGAATGATTTGAATCAATATTTTGTGCCTTTTAAAATAACTTTTATAAAATATTTTCAAAGACGCTAACGGCTTTCCATAATGGTTAAGTCCAACTTAGAGATAAGTTCAACTTAGGATCTTTGTGAAACACCCCCCCCCCAGCATATTTAAATCTCATTTGTGTTATAGGTTTCCAGAGTGGTGGCTTTGGCCGTGAAGAATGGAGTTTTAATTTTTTTTAACAGAGGTCAAGATTCTGTTCATTATGTGTAAAATCTAAACAAAAAATAAAATTAAAAAATATATGTTTTCTTATGTAAATATTGGCCTAAAGCTTGTGGTTGAGAAGTTTTTAGAGTTAGAGTTCTACTTGATGTTAGAAAGCAGTATTGATGAGCAAGTGATCAACAGTTTGATTTGAAGGTTGGTGATTGACCTGTGACCTTTACCTACACTTATTTCCCTTTTTTGGTGAACAAATTGGACTGTGTTGCATTTGCAGCTCAAGTTGTTGATTGTAATCATAGCTGTAGAGTAAACCTGGTGTATGACCCCCTGTTTCTTCTGTAGAACCTCATGAGGCTGTGCTATTTGAAGTGACCCCTTACACCAATCAGAAGTTAACAGTCACCTTTGAACATCCAGCCAGGGAAGGAGTTGCATGTGGTAAGTCAATCTCTCTCATTTTCAATTTGTTTTGAAGCAAAAGAATTCATAAAGAAATCTATCCTAAGAGTTTACCCACTCCATCAACGTAATACCTCCCTTCTCACTCTTATCCAAGATGTTGTTCTGCTTTCATTTGATTGGCGTACATTCATTGAGAAAAATTACATTTTGAAGAAGATTTTTGTTAAACATTTCTTTCATAGCTGAAGGTAGAGATGTGTACATGCCTTCAGTGAATTAATTTTGTGTATTTGTTGATAATCTATGGAAAGACTATGGAAGTCATTCATTTTTCTACTGCTCTGTAGTGAATTGTTATACTCACTTTTAGTAGAATGTTAATACCACAACAGTGAAAGAGCGGTCTCTGACTCTTCAATGTTCTGTAGGCCTTTCCAATGAATGGAACTTAATGTGTTTCATTTGTATGTTGAGTGAGGCATCATAATACCTTTTAGAAATCCTCTTATGATTTCTATTTGATTTTCTGTTTTATGTTGACAGTCGAGTTGGACTTGACTGACCAATCTGCAGTCAAAGCCAAACTCCATAGTGGTCCAAGTGAGGAACCTTTCTGTTCTGATGACTATGCAACCAGAGTGCTTCAGAAATGTCTCTCTATTCCTATCACTATGAGAGCCATCATGAAGAAAGCTGAGCAATGGCTGGAGATGCAAGAATCCAAGAAATCGGTAAGAAATTTATACTGTTAAATTGATAGGAATTTAGAAAGTGAAACAAGCATGGATGTTTTGAAGTTTGATTTTCCTGCTTTTATATAATTAACTAGACTGGGTCTAGTCAACACCCTTGTCTGTCACCTTATAAAATGGTGATTACAGTTTTAATATAAGACTAATTAGGGTTTATGTCATCCATTTTCTTTCTCATGTAATTTGAGATAATAGGAATCTTAGATGAGAAGGATTGCTCTGGAATATTCCTCCTCTTTTAAATATTTCTCAGACCAAAAGATTGTGGTCACACATTTGAATAGTCCTGCATGCCTGCCTGTACATCAATAATGTGGTGTACCCACTCAACACTTTATTTGCACATGCACTATCATCTGTTCAACCTTGAATGGTTATATGCTATTAACAATATTTCCCCTTTGCTATTGTGTACAGGTGAGCCTGCCACCAGCCCCGTCCTCTGGTCCATCAGGAGGTTCCGTCTTTGATCCTATGAGTGGTTTACATCGTCATACTGGTCTAGGTGGTGGTGGCCATGGAGGTACTTTCTTTCCCAGTCATCGCCCGCACCAATCCTCCTACTCCCACCAACTCCAGTCTCATAGTATCCTGAGTGATCTTACTACCACCATGTCAGCCATCTTGCCTCATGGAGAGGGCTTTGATATGCACAGTGATAGACCAACCAAAGTGGCACAGAATCCTATGTTGGCAAGTCTCCTGCAGCATGCTGCTCTTGCAGTGAGCACATCATCTCTATCCATTCCACCTCCATCCTCGTCACCTATGTCGTCACCACCGCTAGCATCTGGACCAAAGCCTCACAAGAACCCAATGCTGATGAATCTCCTGCAGGAACACAATACTCTGACTCCTGTAGCAGCCATTGCTCAACCTGTTGGCTCGATGGGAAGGATGATTCGCAGGGGGAAGCGTGGGAGGTCAGTCAGTGTGGACAAGTCACCGAAGCGACAGCAGAGTGAAGAGGAACATGATTTTGATGACATACATGGCCATCGCCCTCCTGGGCTTCATCATAGACTCTCAGATACTCATGGCAAGATGGCAAGCCATGCCATGGACCCACCAAAGGCAATGCACACAGGGGAGCTCTCAGCTCTCCTATCAGAGATTGAGGCCCCAATCATACCAGTTGCTAAACCCAAGAGAGGCCGACCATGTCGATTAGACAGTACCAGCTCTCAATCGAGTGTCGGTCCTCGTCAGAGCCCCAAGACTCCAAACACTCCTACAGTTCCAACAACACCTACTTTTGCCCCTCCCAAGACAATGTCTCACAGTACTTTGAGTACACCAGAGCACCCATCTATGGATGATGTACCTGTTGGGATGAAGGTTGATCCATTGCACTCTAGAACAAGCATGGACTCTGACATATTTTCACAAAATTCGAAGAACATATTTTCTGAAGATTTGTTGCCAGACCCTCCAAGATCAAATATTTCCCCAGAGATGCACAGACAAGCCAGCTTCAGATCTCAGTATGGTTCTCTTGACATCAATGACGATGCAGCAGGCTTTGACAATGACGATGACTTTGGAGGATTACCAAGCGTTAGTTCAGCTATAGCTCGTATGGGCATTCCAACAGGCTCTGAGTTTGATGTCCAGCATCGAACCACTACAGACTTGCCTCATCCAGTTTCTCTTTCAACTTTGATGTCAGGACCACTTTCTACAGCCATGCAAGCTGGGCTTGAAACTAGGACAGACATGAAAATGGGTGTAGGAGCTCTAGATCTTACTGTTGCTAACCTTGCAAAGAGCATGAGTATCCCGGCTATCCCTACAACACAAAGAGGGCGACCTGGGCCTAATATGCAAGGTGTTACCAACCTATCCCAGTCATTGCCAGCAGCTCGCCCTAGAATCCCAGTCTCTAAAGGCAAACCTAAGAATTTCATTGAGTCTAGTCTTGCCTTTCAAACTGAAAAACCAAAACCATCCAAGAAACGTGGACGCAAACCAGTGAAGGACTCTGGAGGATTCTCTGATTCGGAGGCTCCCAAGACCAAAAAGCTGAGGAAACCAGGTAGACTCAAGAAAGAAAGAAGGCTGCCAGAGTACAGCAGCGAGTCATCTCCAGAACCATGCCAGGATGTTGCACGGTATTCCAGCATAACAATGGCTGTCAACGAAGAGGAACCACTGAAAATGACATTTAAAACCATTCGCCACAAGCCAGACAGAGACCAAAAATTGAAGGGAAAAGATCCAGGTCCTGCTCCCAAGATTAAGATCAGATCTATGACCAGTGGAGATTCTGCTACCCCATCTCCCAATCCTGTTGTGAGGGAAATCAAAGAAGAGAAACCTCATATGAAGCCAGAACATAAGGTTGAACAACCTGAGAAAGTCGAGACCACTGTTCAGTCTGTCAGGACAGAATCACCCGTTATGAAATCTGTTAAGACAGAATCACCTGTTATGAAATTTGATAACCCCAAGGAAACCAAGGTTATGAGAAACGAGAGTTTGCCAAAACTTCAGAAAGAACTTTCAACGGGCCACAGATCTGAAGAGCAGACTAACAGAGGAACATCTCAAGAGCTACCTAAAGGAAGCCATGACATTACTGGTTTCAAATCAGAACACTTGGGTGTCAAATCTACTGGAATCACTAAAATAACTGCTATAACACATATGCCAAAGGTAAAGAATGAGCAGATGAAGAAAAGTAGACCGATTGAAAGTAGTCAGAGACCAAGCCCTGTTTCAAAGTCACCCATAGCTGATTTCTTTCCAAAGAAGAGCTTGGCAAACTTGCCTCGCATTCCAAAGATCAGTAAGCAAACATCAGAGGGTAAGCAGTTGCTAACCCCCAAGACTCCCACTATTTCGAAGCCTGCTGGCAGTCCTTCACCATCAACTAAAAGTTTAATGGGTTCTTCTCCAAAGAAATCCAGCTGGGGTAAAGGAGACCCCTCAAAAGTGGGATCTACCAAGAAGTTGGTAACTGCACAGCGTTTCAGCTCAGTTAGTCCAACAGGAAGAAAGCCAGATGGTATGAGACCAGGGAAACCATTTTCCAGTGGTAACAAATCTCCATTGACAGTAGGCCAGGGCAACCGAAAACCGGGATTGAATATTATATCAAAGTCATTGTCCACTCCAACACAAAGCCCCAATTCTTCCAAGGCAAGTGCAGGACTCATTCATGCTCCCAATAAGAATGTATCAAGTCCAACGACTGGAGTTTCAAAGGCAATAAGCTCACAAGTAAGGCCATCTGGTACAGTGAGTCCTGTACCCAAAACTCTAGCTGGGATTACATCAAAAGCTCAGACAACTCCAATATCATTATCAGCACCAAGCAAATTAGCAAGCAGTCAAGCTGTCCCTGTCAGCTCCTCTATAAAGACTTCCTCAGTTGTACCGAGTACTACAACTTCTTCAAGTGGCACAAGCTCAGGTTCAAGTACAAAAGCCATTTCAAGTTCTCCTGTCTCTATGGCTCGATTAGTACCTGTAGCTAGCACAAGTTCAACATCATCCTCAAGCTCAGTTCGATCAGTATCTGTAGCTAACGCAAGTTCAACATCATCCTCAAGCTCAACTACAGCTACTACTTCAGTTCCAACTACACCCTCCATTACCACAACCACCTCAATTACATCATGTGCTACTGGAAGTGCTTTACCTGTTTCCAAGTCAGTGACACCCCCACCAGTGAACCTGGTTCCTTCATCAAAGTCATACCCTGCTATAACAGGGATTAAGACAGTTTCTAATAGACCACCACCTCTTGTGATTCCTACAAATATCAAGGTGCCGGCTCCATCTGTAACATCGCCACCAACACCATCATCTGTTGGCACACCCACCAGTGCTGGACCAAACTCAGCAAAGCTGACAACACCTAAGCCTGGTATGCGTGCTAACCGGAAATGCTCCCTCATGGGCATCATCGATAAGATAAAGGAGAAAAACGAAAAGGTTGATAAGACTGATAAAGTCGAGAAGGTTGAAAAGAGTGAAAAGACTGAAAGAAAAGGCCTCTTTAGTGCACTTGGATCCGGAACGCCAGGAGTAACAGAATCAGGAAATGATGATGAGAAGGCGATAGATGCCACAGAGAAGGAGGCTAAAGAGACTGTTCCCACAGACGAGAGTGGAGCAGAGAAACCTCAAATGTCTAAAGAAAATAAACCTGTTGCCAGTTCTAAGGCAGATGATTACCCAACCAAGGAGAGCAAGTCCATGACAATGCCTCCTACAAAATCGGACACTACCAAGACACCAGTCCCTAAGGTATCTTCTGCTAGCAGTCAATTACCTGCTCGCCAACCATCACCATCACTAAGCACTAAACCAAGTGGATTGACCTCCTCTCCATCTAGCCAAGGACCCAGTTCAGTCAAGGGCAAATCATCTCCTAAGCATCCTTCTCAGTCTCGTCCCCCTAAAGTCAGCACCCCACCCTTGACAGGCTCTCAAAAGAGATCAAGCAGTCCAACAGGAAAGAGTATATCCATCAAACAAAGCAAGCCTTCACCATTAACCAGCAGTAGCTCATCAACTCCAACATCCATGAGTAGCCCTGTGAAGGCAAGGCCTGGGTCATCCCCAATGCAACGGACAAGACCAATCATTCTCAGCCACTCCTTGTCAACTTATCAATCCCCAGAGAAGGGTCAGCAAAAAGTTACCAAAGTACAACTTGCCATGCAGCCAGACCTCATGCCACATTCTACTCTTCCTGGGCAAGGAACCTCTGCATCAAATGTTAGTAAAGGGCAGACTGGTTCATCTCAAGTATGTGTGCCTTCTCCATCTATCAAACCTCAGGCGGTATCGATTAACAAACCAACACAAGACCCTACCAAGAAATCAACAACTGTAACACCAAAACCAACAGATACAACAAAGTCTGATATCAAACTGGTCACTACTACTCCTAAGCCAGTTAAAGTAGATCAAAGTGCAATCATGAAGCCTAAACCAAACAATGGGAAAGAACCTAGCTCACAATCACAACAGAACAGTCAACGATCTGATGCCAAAGGATCTTCTGACAATGGAAGTTCTAAGATGCCATCCATGAGTTCAAAGAAACCTGACTCCAAACCAACAGATCCAAGGGCAAGAAAGGACTCCCTGGGGTCAAGTAAAGACAAAGATGGTGAAACTTCAAAGTCACCCAAACCTGCTGTTGTGAGATCAGTATCCAAAGAATCAAAAATTTCATTCGGTAGTGGAAGCCAAGATGGGAAGACATCAACGAAACCTGAACTGAAGCAGACTACCGAGTCAGCTCAAAAGGTGAAGGTGATTCCTCCACTAGTTAAATCTGTTTCCCAGGGTGATAAAGAGAAATTGAAGGGTGATGAATTCAGAAAGTCTGAATCTAAGAACATTGTACCAGAGATAAAGGGAATAGACAAACAAGAAGTTTCTGAAGAAATCAATAAGATATCTACATCTGCAAAACCTCAAGGAATTGACTTCAAGGTGCCAAGCCCAGCCATGGTACCAAGTCCTAAGACCTCGGCAGTGAGCCCCAGGCCTTTGATAAAACCAGTCGGCTCTCCCAAACCAGTTGTTGCTTACTCACCAAAAGCACCAAGTCCACATTCATCTGCCAGTGGTGTTCCTAGCCCAGGAAGTGCTTTAAGTCCTAAGGCCCCAACCAAGAGATCAGCAACACCAGTAGGTAACCAGCCCCCACCGCCAAAGAAACAGTGTACCATTTCAACCCCCTACAGCCCAGTGGAAAGTGATGATGATTTTGGCATGATCATCGACATGCCTCAGTCTCCCAGAAGCATTTCGCAGCAGAAGTCTCAGAGGTCACCTCGGCCAGATAGCAGGAACAGTAATACCCAGACCGAGGGTGGATCCACATCACCAAGGAGTGCTGTGGCCCACTCCCCTCTAGGACAGCTTGCACAGTCACCTCTGGGAATAGGCAAGTCTCCTGCTTCAGTCAAGAGTATTGCTAGCTCAGATAGTATCAGCAGGAGTCCTTGTAAGATAGATGATGATCTGATGGATGAAGCTCTTACCAGTTGCATCCAGACAGAAGATGTTTAGAATCCTATCACTCTAACAAACATGTCCAGCTTTACCACAAGTTTGAGGAGATCATGCTCTATCAATATTTTGATAGTTGCTTTTGTAATCATTGCCCATTTTTATTTTGGAAGAAGTAAGATTAAAACCAGAATTATTAAGAGTAAAATGATTTGAAATTTCAATTCAAAAGTGCTTAATAAAAAATATCCTTTTGAAAACCTGTCTTAGATATTGGAGAAAGATAAAGTAATTTGAAATACTGGAAAAACAACAATTGATGGAATTTATGATTTACCGGTAAACTGAAATAATGAGCACTGTACAGGGGGTTACAGAGAGATTTTTCTTTTTCTGATGTTGTACAGTTTTTTAATTTCTGATTGACATTACCCATAGTTTCAATGTCAATAAGAAATTTGAAATATGTCAGATTTTGACAAATCTATCAAGGTAACTTTGAGCAACTCTTTGATTTTTATTAGGAGAAAAATTATTTCCTTAATGGTTTATTTGTATTATTTTGTAATTATTCATCAATTCAAATTTTGATTTTGCATCAGTACCATAGTGCAGATATAGGGTATTTTTTCTAGCACCCCTTTTAACAGTGTCTTTTTTAAAACATTCTGCCTCATCATGTGATCTAAACTATATTCATGTAAAGGTTATTGCACATCTTATTTACTCTGCAGTCTGCATTAATCTTTATGACTAGTCTTTTGAAACATTTTGCTCCACTGGTAAGCATTTTGATGTTCTTGAAAATTGAAAAATAGATCTCTCAACAGTTGGGCTCGATAAGCACAGGTATGCACCAAATTCAAGGCTTTTGACTTTGTTTTGCTTGACAAGCAGCAGTGGCTATTGATAAATGTTCATACACCTGTACATGTATATTGTAAGTCATATATAAAACTCAGGATTTATGTTGTGAAATGCATTCAGTGGACACTATTGTGATTGTTAGACTATCTTACAATTACTGCAAGTCAACAGACGAGGCGGTGAGACGTGATCTAGATTCAACCATTTAATACCACACAGCCCAGTCTCGTATCTGGTGAAGTGTAGTCTTATTTCAAGCAGTTACAATAATGCACATTATACTACAGACGCAGGTGCTCGTCCTCATTAAAAGTCGCATTCAGTCATGACATGATTAACCACCTAAACAAATACAGCAGCAGCTGAAATTTACATGTAATGGCCAGAGTGAAAATGGCTCCAGTACATACTCCCGATCAACATGTATGTGTTTTTAGATACAGTAGTATGAGCGGTGTATGTGTGCCACATTTGACTGTGCCCAAGCAGTTCTTTTCTGGGGTTTACAGACAGCCTTGTTTTAGTAGACATTTCAAAGTACATGTACGTTGAGATTGAGACTGGTACATTTTTTTTCTATACAAGTTTTTGTTTTATTTGTAAGGCTGGTAGTTTTTAGGATTGATAATTAGACTTGAGTTGTTCTTCACACCTCTTGTATGATCTTGTCTTGGGTATGGGACATTTTTTGTCACTTTTTATATAAATTTTATTTTATGGTGCAAGTTCAACTGACTGGCTAAGGACAGCCATGTATTAAAATAGCTGTTAGAAGCAGAGTAGATGATTATAGCAGCTTACTATTTCTAGGTCTTATCTTTTTGATAGACAAAGATAATACAGCCCTTATTGTTCATTGGAAGATAACAGAATCTAAAAATCAACTCTTTCTTTGCGGTATATGCAAATCATCAGGACTTAGCATATGTGCTGCTATTCGACAAGCTTTTTTTCCAATTAATGGTACACTGTATAAACGTGGACCCAGCATTACTCTAGCCTGCAGCTTGTGTGTACTGTAGATGCTAAAATAAAAACACTGTACTTTTAGGAGAATTTTGAGTTCCTTGTATATGTTTGAAAATAATATTCATATCACCTGGCGTAAGATTGGGTTGTTAACATATGATACATCTTTTTGACAATTGTAATCAAATGAACCATACTTCTTTGTTTCAATGTTAATGAGTACATGTATTTATATAGATGTGTTAATATGATAGATAGCTTCAACATTTTGTATATCTGTAAAGTGTGCATGCATGTCACGAGACGAAGAGGTCAAACTTTAATTGGATAAATGAAAGGTTGACATGCGTAATATTATTAATAATGATCTAGTTAAATCTTTTGTTAACATCACATTGAAAACAATAGTTGTTGTTCTCTCTAGGTCTCAGTAGTGAGCCTTGGAGCAAAGAATTTATTCTTTGGTTTAGGGAACCAGCTTATGGAGAAAGGCAATAGAAAAAGAACTGAAGAATGGTATAAGATACATGTACATTTATAGGAGTATAGGTTATACATTTAGCAAGGAGTCATTAATCATGAGATATAAGCAACATTGTAACACATACCGTTAATTATTGTGTTGTTGTCAATGTACAAATTATCATGATTTGCATGCTAATATTATACGAATATACAGCAAGAATAAAGTGTGGACAAAAGAGAGATTTGATAATCGTATTGCATCTTTTATTCTATTTACATTTCATAAATTTACATAGAATGTATAGAGATAAACCTAAGTCTTGTCTTTATTATTGGTGGATTTAGGCTTGTTCAGATATGGCATGGTAAACTGCCGCAAAAAAGCAGCTACTTCTTTTAAAAACATGCACATATTCATTGAATTTCAGAAATTTGAAGCTCATTACACTTGACATTGTAGAAACTGCTATGGTTTTGTTTGTGTCATATCCGAACAAGTCTATACACAAATTAACTTTAATGAAGTCACACTTGCACACAATCCAAGCCACAATGCATGTATATACTGTACATGCACTCTGTTGTTGGCTAGGCAATCCTGGAGCATAGCTCAATGTTATACCTCTGTCACACCAAGGAAACTGACACCAGACGGAATGAACAAATACAATTTGAGAGTTTATATCATTTACAGATAAGGAGAGTTTAAGGAGAGTTTGAGGAGATCTTAAAGCCTGTCTGGACTAGTTTGGCTGGGGGGATTAGACCACCCTGCAAGGTCACTGACAGGTGGTTATCTCATCAAATTGTGGGATCATGGGGGACCAACAGGCACTGATTAGGCATTGTTTGCTATATAGAGGGCGCAAGTAGCTATAAGTAGTACAGTGGGGCTTTAATTGCGGTCAAATTAATTTCATGTGCAGGCACATCCCAAAATAAATTCATATGTCCTTTTCACATTCAAGCAGTAGTATCACTGACACTGGGCCCCGTCTTACAAAGAGATGCGATTGATCCAAATCAATCGCAAGTTTGCAATCTCTTATCTCTTATGTACATAGTTATGTTGCGATTAATATCAACTCTTTGTAAGACAGGCCCTGATTTTAGATTCAATTAGGAAAAGAAACTAATGAACACCAACATACTGTATGACCTTCAGTTTTGTGAGCAATAAAACTTCGCATATATGTAAATAATTAAGTGCTTATCCTTTTGGCAAGGCAATCTTGTTACTCGTGCATATATATCTTGCATTTTGCTATGTTATAATATGAAGCTCACAACTTGAAACAAACATTAGATTTATAATGTGTGATGCGATGGCTGGAGGCTGGCACACAGCGGTGACACCTTCATTACAACATTCAATCGAGTATTAATATTTCTGCCTCTGTAATATGAACATGGAGATCGCACACCATTGCACATCCTAAGACAATATTTGAAAACAAAGATAACAATTTCTTTGTATTCTCTAGTTTTCTTCAATTTGAAATGAATAGTTTACTGTGTTATAATGGAAGAATTGAGACGCAAAAGTGAAATTTCCAACATTTCATTATACAAAACGTGTGCAATACTACTATGAAGCTTTGAAATCATAAATTGCGTACTGGAATTTATTGAGAAGATACATAGATATATAGCTTTACATACATTGAACATGAATGGCAAGGTTTTACATAAAGGGGGGGGGGGGGTAGAGAGAAAGAGAGAGAGAGAAAGAGAGAAGAGGAGAGAGAGAGAGAGAGGGAGAGAGAGAGAGAGATATGAAGAATGAACAATACCAGTGTAATATGGTATAAAGACTAACAAATGTAACAAAGAGACCAAGGACTAAACCTTGGGGTGCAAAATATATGTCCATCATTTGGTAAATTGTGACGACACCCAAGCGAGGGCCCACTTCAGGTTTGTCAGCATGAACTTCAAAGCTTTGGTCCACTGCTCTTCTGAGTTGAATTGGATCCTGGGTACCGTAATATAAATGAAAACAAAAATGAGAGGAATGTTGGAATTGTGTGCTACATGTAACATGCATTTGTGAATACGGTACTTCTTATGCCTTTCATTTACATATGCTTCCATTCACTTTGCATGCCAACGACTCATTTATGAGCCTGCAATGCATTACTTCAAAAACACATCCATTATTTTCTGTCAATTCTGAAATTACAATTACTAGATATTGGTGCTATATAAATTCCTGGATTGGACTTGATTGAATTACTCTCTGTCTAAAATAAAAATTGTGTAATCAGCAGAAAATCTGATCAAAGAAGAATCTTCAGGTTTTTATTAAATGTTACATATATCCTAGTGAGAAAATGATTTCTAAATTAAAATGTAATATTGTATTCCTATTAGATAAATTTCACATAATTCGGGTACATGGCTAATTTTTTTTTAGCAGATGTTTCTGCACTTATTGATAAATCAAAAATAAAACATTCAAATAATAATAATAGTATATAATATAATTGATTTACATAAAGAGTGCAAACTTAAATACACACACATAATAATGCATATATATATATATATATATATATATATATATATATATATATATATATATATATATATAATTGAAAGCTTGAGAGTATAGAGGTAAGTAAAATAATCAAGATAAATGCAGAGGCCAACTATTATAAGCATGAATGCTTGAGTGGATAGCAGTTGATTGCATTTTGATTTTTGATAATAAAGTACTCTTTTAGAGAAACGATGTATAATACTAGATAAGAATGTTTCTTACTTTATAGAGTACGTCTGACCGGCGGCTGTATCCTCTAGTTTACCATTGGTCATTTTGTATGGGAGACAGAAGCTAGAATCTCCTCTCTCTACTTCCTCTTCAAGCTGCTGTAAACAATCCAAGAATGCCACCATGGATTGGTCAAACCTGCATAACACAAGATAAACATAAACACTACTATAAACATCCACAGATCCGATCGTCAACAGGGAAAATCTGAATATTACACATTACAAAGATCAATAAAATAATAGACTTCAAGAATTGCAATCTTTTGATTTTCAAACTTCAATATTTAAGGACAAAGGGTTTACAGTAATACACTCAATCATGGATATTGCACATTTATAATCAAAGGAACTTGGTATTCTAGACTGGGCACAAGATAACATTTCTCTTGTAAGTTGAAAATGTAATGGACTCTTCTTTGTTTATTTATGAGGGTGGCAACGCTATTCTATGTCCTGCAAACTACAATACTTAAGTGAATGACGGTATCAAAGAGATAAGACAGCTAGAGGGTGGGATCGAAAGAAACAATCAATTACACATAATTATTCAAGTATGGATAACGAGATAGAAAAAGGAGAAACAAAGTTACCATGCTATAAAGAAAAAATCATACAAAACAGAGAGAAAACGAGGGAAAGAGAGTGTGTGAGAGAGAGAGAGGGAGAGAAAGAGAAAGAGAGAAAGAGAGAGAGGGGGAGAGAGAGAGATACATTGTAGAGTGAGAGGGTGAGCGAGACAGAGAGCAAGAGTGAGAGAAAGAGTGAGAGAGAGAGGGAGAGAAAGAGAGAGAGAGAAAGAGAGAGAGAGGGAGGGGGGGGGGGGGGGGGGAAGGGGGTAACTTACTTTGTATCCCAGAAGAATCTGAATCCTCCTGAACCATGTAGAGGGAGCTGTTTGGATTTATCTGTAAGAGATTCCAGGTGTGAATGGTTGCCATATGGAACCAGACGATATCTGAAATAATGAAACAGATAGGGAGTAGAAGCAATTATTCATCAGGGTAATAAGAGAGTTTTTTTTTTCTTTAGAAGCTCAAAGATATCAAGAGAGAAAGCATTAGTCTATTCATGTGCTTCACCTTTGCACTGATACAAAAATGCTCATTGAAAATACAACAGAGTTTTTGATTCCTTCAAAGCTAGTAGTTTGTCGATACAAGACAATACTATTCATATGTACGTGTATATGAATGGAATATTGATGTATCATTACATCAATAGTGTTTAATAAATACAATACAATGGACAAATGAGCGAAGGTCATGAAATAAAATATATCTTTGGTTCGATTAACAGGCGTACACAATTATTGTTCTTCAATTTCCCTCATGATCCACAAGTGTTCTTGCTTCACCTGACTTGTTTCCATTCACTTGATTGTGGATAAATGATGTTTACCTTTTGAACGTGAAGTTCATCTTTCTAGCGAGTGAATGAAGTAGAAGGACCGTCTGACCCCAAGCTGCGTTGATCTCACTCCATTCAACAGCTACACTAGGAAGACGACCTAACCGGAATCCATTGATTGTTCCAAAGTGACCATTATGCCTGAAATGTGATCACCAGTATAATATTTTTAATAAGATTTAGACATAATGTGAAAAGAGATATCACTCTAGATAATAGAAGAGGCTCGGAAAGACAGATAAGTATTCTAAGATGGAAGGAATAGTTGACTAAAAATTAAAATTAAATCATAATAATAATAATAATAATAATGTCAATTTATATAGCGCACATATCCATTCTAAAAGACTGCTCAAGGCGCTCTTGTACAACATCAAAAATAATTATACAATATTAAAACTACGACATAATTATACACTATACAAACTACGACATAATTTTACAATATTAAAACTATGACATAAACAAATAGTGCTTAAGTTTCTTCTTAAATGTTTCGACTGATGATGATTGTCTTATTTCTAGTGGTAAAGTGTTCCATAGTTTGGGTGCAACGTTAGCAAAAGCCCTGTCCCCCCATTTGTTATTGGTTTTGGGTGTACATAACTGGAGCTGTGAACCTGAACGTAAATTCCGTTGTGGGGCGTACGGTTTCAAAATCTGATACAAGTAATGGGGTGAAGAATGAAGAAGTGTTTTGTAAGTAATGAGTAACAGCTTATACATAATTCTTTTTGAGACTGATAGCCAATGAAGAGATTTTAATATATCTGAAATACTGTCTGATCTACTGCGGAGAGTGACGAGCCGAGCTGCCATGTTCTGAACTCGTTGCAGACGGGCTATTTGATTTTGAGGAAGGCCAATATACAGTGAATTACACATATCCAAACGACATGTAATAAAAGAATGAACAATCTGCTCAGTGGCTTTCTGATTCAGATATTTTCTGATCCTCCAAATATTGTGAATATGGAATGATGCTGAACTAACAACATTTGAAATCTGAGATTTCATGGTCATTCCAGCATCAAACAAAACTCCAAGATTACGAACCTGATTAACACATTTTATTTCTGAGTTGCCAATCATGATCTTTTGTGCAGAAAATTTACTCAACTGCCTGGCAGATCCAATCAACATGTACTCAGTTTTGTCTTCATTTAACCTCAGAAAGTTATCATTCATCCACTGACTAACCGACCTAAGGCATGACTCAAGAGTTTTTATACCAATATCAACATTACATTGGGATGGTTTTAACCGTAAGTACAATTGAGTGTCATCTGCGTAAAAATGGTACTGTACATTGTGCTCCATTATCACATTACGCAGAGGACTCGTATACACTGTAAATAAGACTGGCCCCAAAACAGATCCTTGGGGAACAGAATAATCTTGGTACACAGGGTTAGAGATTGAGCTACCAATACGGACATACTGAGGGCGATATAATAAATATGATTTAAACCATTTCAAAGCTTGTCCATCAATTCCCAGATGACTCTTGAGACGTGAAAGGAGGAGTTTATGATCTACTGTGTCGAAAGCCGCGCTGAGATCTAGGAGCACTAGAGCTGATACTTCACCATTATCGAATGCACACATAATATCGTTGTGAACACGCAAAAGTGCTGTCTCTACGCCATGGTTTGGCTTGTATGCAGACTGGAATGCATCGCTGAGATCATGTTCACTGGCATGTTTATGAATCCTTGCACAGACAACCCGTTCAAGTGTTTTACCAAGAAATTTCAGATTAGATATTGGTCTGTAATTTCGGAGAACTTCCTCATCCAGTCCTGCTTTTTTCAGCAGAGGTCGAATGTAGGCGATTTTGAGGCAAACTGGAAATATGGCTTCAGCAAAAGATTTGTTCACCAGAGAAGTAATAAAAGGAGAAAACACATTGACACATCGTTTGATCAGAGACATCGGGACTGGGTCTAGTTCACAGGACTTGCTGGGAGCCTTCATAATGACCGCTTCAATTTCTTTCTTTGTTACTGGGCAGAATGTATCCAAAGTCGGAATCTTTGTAGCTGCTGTTGAGGATAGCTGTATATCCTCCATCTTGGATTCAGCAACATGCAGTGTAAACACAGAGCGAATATCAGCAATTTTGTTTGAGAAGTATTCAGACAGAATGGGTTACAGATTTAGCTAAATCATTCCAAAGACCTGACATCTTCCATTAATTTCTTTTCAAAAGAACCTAAGTACTTCTGAATAAGGCTTTATTATAGATTGTAGTATATTATAATTCACTGTAATACCAGCAAATTTTCTAAAAGAATTTTTGTTGGAATTATTATTATTCACAATCATTGAACATATTAATTGTTTATTCCATTAACACGACTGGCTGGCTCCTGCTTTTCAGCGAAAAGTGCTGAAAATGTAGGAACCTTCACACGTTACATCTGGGTATATATTGGTAAACACACCTTACGGTACTTATCCCCCTCCAGAGTTACAATATATTTACCATATATGGAATGTTGAGTTGAAGACATTAGTCTTGTTGAGTCTCTCTAGTTGTGTCTGTGTGTATTTCAACTGATTATCTACACTTCTCTGCTCTTCCTGAAACTCAAGCAGTTGACGCTTGTACTCGTTATACTCCTGCCAGTACCTACAAGGTATTCAAACACAACTTATTGTCACCTAGCAAAACCAATTCACACAAGACAGATCATACAAGAGGACAGTATCTATAATAAAAAAATGTTCTCTGTACGGAAAAATGCTTTCTGTAAATTGACGTTTAAAAAGTTTATAAGATAGAACTAATTCTTAATGGGAGAAAATTCAATAAGTAAATGAAACACAAATTACATCATCTAATAACTGCTATCCAAGTATGTAATACTTGAATTAAAAGAAGAGACAATTGTGCATTTTAAAACATTTCTTTGCGAATTCTTTGCCTCCTTTGTCATTTTCAATTTTACATGTGCAATTCCCTGTTTAATGAAATCTGCTCTATGGTGTATTTAACACCTATACAACTTCTGAAGGTACATACCTTTCTTCTTCTAATTTCAATTCTTCTAGTTCATTGTGTTGTTTTTTCATCTCCTCCTGAATATCTTTTCTCTCTTGTTCAATGCCTTCTAGCTCATTGATCATTTCCCCTTCTTCTCCTTCAAGCTGAAAACATTCAAAGATTGATAAAAACAGGAGGTTTATTGATTACAACAGGTTTATAAAATGCCGCTAAATCAAGGCTTGAGCATTTTTTTCTGAACTTCCAAACTTTTAAACTTGCTGTCTTCCTGATGAGGTATCAATCAACAACATGATTCCTATTCAATTTTTTTAAATTTTATTAAAGTTAAAGAACTAATGATTCTCCATACTCCATATATTGTTATATTTCAACCAATACTAAATGGTCATTTATGGTCTAATTGCACATTACCGGTAGTTGTGACACAGTTCAACATAAGTCACACTAAAGTCACAACTATAAAATAAATAATTTATCCATTAATCAGTTATTATGTTAAAGAATAATTTACATTACAGTTACTGAAAGTCTGCAACAAAAACTTCTGTCATTAACTATGACAAAATACAATTGTATGCAGCACATTTGATGTTTGATTTTTGATGTTCACTGAAGATATGACTGTGAGAAGTCTGAGAATATGAAGAGGCCAAGATATAATCCTGGCTTGACTCACCTTACATAGCTCCTTTTCTAGATCTTCATTGCTCTCTCCACGACCTTCTGCTTCAGTCAGTTTCTCTAATGATTCTCTGTAGTGTTTGCATTCATCCTCTGTGATCTTCAACTGTTGATCAAGCTGATCTAACAACGAATCTGTGCACTCCTTGAATTCAAAGCACAGGTAGAGTATCTTATAAGTAACCAGTCACTTTTAAAGTTAATGGTTAATCCTAAGTTAAGGTGAAGGAGCTGCACTTCAAGAAAAAATAGCATACTGTAATTGTCCATTCTTGAGCATGGTGCATATGAGCTGCATGGACCAGAAATGTATTAGGATCAATATAAATAGTATACTGATTAATCAGTAGTCAAATGTTTAAAGGCACACAGCACCTCATTGGCATCAATGTAGGTGAACCTTTTCCAAGGTCATTGTACATGTAATATATATATTAAATTTTAATCTCATATTTCGATGTAAATTTTGCATATTCAGCTTTCAGGCTACAAGACATATGGTTTAAAGATTTTGAGATACCATACCTCACACAATGGATGATCAATATCTGACTGGCCTGACATGACATCAAATAATTGGCTGGCAACCTGAAGAAAAAAGAAAATATATAATTATCTCACATGACTACAAAGAAAATAAAAATCAAGGAAGTAAAGAGATGCGCAATGTTAAATATACATTTATATATCTACATTGCTCATATGATCATTGAACAAGTAGAACTATTTCCAACTAACTCTTTAATCTACATCGTGAAATGGATGAGAGTAAAATGAGAATAGTGATGAAGGAAAGGAAGTGAAATACATTTTTTCTGGTCCCACTATTTGGAATAGTCTCCCGTTAAGCATTCGTTCCTGCACCTCAGTCGCAACATTTAAGAGAAATCTAAAAACTCATTTGTTTTCTTTGTAATTGCTATTTTTAGAGTGTAATGCACTTGAAGAGCATATAATTATTCTGTTTCTATTTACTAATGTAAAGCGCTTTGAGCATGGTTATGTAAAGGCGCTATATAAATATCAATATGTATGTTTGTATGTATATATCGTCGCTGTTTTCACGAAGTGACGGTAGTGAAAAAAAATTGCATTCACTTTGCGTTACGATTTTCCTCACTACCGTCACTTCGTGAAAACAAGGACGATATGTAGTAGCCAGATGGAGAGAGAGAGAGAGAGAGAGAGAGAGATGGATGGTTAGAGAGACAGACAGAGACAGAGATAGATCAAATCTAGTTTTGACATACCTTGACTCTATGGCTAAGACTTTCCATTCTACTGCTGGCTGTTTCCCCAAGGAGAGTGAAATCTTGACCACTATCATGTGATGACAACCTAATAATATAAAAATTAGATGATGTTAAAGAGGTTGATTGGTTTGTTGAGTTATTGACACATACATTATGTTAAATGTGTAAGAAATGTTCTGTTACTTTTGTTTTTGAATAGATTAGAGAAAAATAACATCTGAGCAGCAGCGAACCAGTGTAATTTGCCTATTAGGGACTCTCCTCACAGAGACTGCTGATGTGACCAGCTGTCAGTGAATTATTGATCCAGGCAGTGAAAAAAATACACGGGGGCTCGGGGCGAATTAGCCCCCGAAATGCCCAAAATAGCCCCCGAAAATTAGAAAAGAGCCCCTGCAAATTTGCGTAGAGTTCAATGCAAAACAAATTTTAGAATGTTATTTTCATGCAGGAAAGCTTGAAAAGTAGCCCCCGAAAAATTAATATTAATTTTTTCTCTGGATCCAGGAAGTGGCTATCATATATACAATATTTTCAAGATTACCAACAGTCCTTTTCAGGACTACACACACACACTCAAGAAAGAAAGGTTACCGACAGTCCTTTCCAGGACTCCCCAATCCTCCCTCCTCTCTCTCACATGGTGCAACAGTAAACCTACTGTATATCTACATTACCATGCAAGCCGATACTTACAAGCAGCATCTAGGCCTAATATGTAGTTTCTAATGCGGAAGGCAAGCTACATATAGACCTACCTTGGTGCTACCACTTTGCGAGCTACCCCATCATCTCTGTTGACATCAAACGGTTCACTGCTGTCTGTGCTCTGGAGAAGGGGTGTGGCCTTTCCTGAACTCCCTCCTCCAGCAATGAGAGGAGCTGTCAGTCATACACACAAACAAGACATCAATGTAATAATGGGTCATGTGAAATGATCATGATAATTACAGGTGTAATTAAGCCATTCACTGCCATTGGTAACCAGGCACCATAAAACCACTGATACCTATATAGGATTTTGCTTGAATAGTATGGTCTGATTCTTATATTTTGACAAAATATCAATGCAAGAGCTTGTTCTACTTTAAGGTTAAAGGAAATGCAAGAAGAAGAAACAGATGAAGAAAAGGAGGGGGAGGGGGAGGGGGAGGGGGAGGGGGAGGGGGAGGGGGAGGGGGAGGGGGAGGGGGAGGAGGAGGAGGAGGAGGGGGAGGAGGAGGAGGAGGAGGAGGAGGAGGAGGGGGAGGAGGGGGAGGGGGAGGGGGAGGAGGAGGAGGAGGAGGAGGAGGAGGAGGAGGAGGAGGAGGAGGAGGAGTTATGCTTACCGGTAAGATCAGTGAGGGTTTGGCTATCCACTGAGCTGAATGACTGGTCAAGCTTAAGAGGTTGGCAACATTTCTGACAGACAAAACTGACCTGAGTGGATGCTACACCAGATCGCTGGGAATCACTGCTATGGCTACTACTAGTCATCTTGGCCTGTAAGTAACAACCTTCAGGAACTGTAAACATAAATAGCACAGACTCAATACCTGATATAGAAATGGCAGTCAGAGGTCAACACCATTGTGTAGAGATCGTAAAGTCACATGCTAAGTTGTATCGCTCTGGTAAGATATTTGCTATTATTTCGTTATTTTTACCTCCGATTTTGAATTTCCGGAGGTAAGTAGGAGTAGAAGTGGCATAAAATTCATCAAGGTCATTGTCCAATATTGGTCGGGTGCGGGAAGGTGTGATTTCGGACACATTTTAGGGTTTGTTGACGTGGTCCTCCGCGCGGTGGTATGGGAGCCGTTTCAGGCTCGCTGGAATCAATATCATAAAGACATCTCCAGGCTAAGTTTCCCGAAATTGCATATTATTGGAGATTTATTATAACGATTTAGCTTACAAAGGAACAAAAGAAACAACACCAACAAACAAGGCAGTCTTCCCCCAGCCAAACTTTTGCCTCTCTGATGAAGTCAGAATCATGACACAAAAATCAAAATGTTATTAGACTAATTGAAATTAATAGTTATGATTATCATAATGAATATGAAATTGAAAACAGAAGTGTCAGATGGTGTATTTATAAAGTAGATGGTCAGTGTCACAGTGACAAAACAAGGAAAAGTCTCACAAGCACTCATAGAAGCATCAGTATTCCTCACTTCATTTGTAGCAACAAATTAAGACACCCTCAATTGATTCCCACTTTATTTTGCTAATTCTAATTGTTTTTATATTCATCATCATAATTCTAGTTTTAGACAACACGAAATCGGGTGTACGGGAACGTACGAAATTATTGAAAATAACAACACTGCGTTTTACTCCAGATTAGCATAATCAGAGTAGATGTTAACTTTCAACATTAGACTATAGCATGAAGAATACATATCGCGACAAATAATCAAATAGAATATCATTGCTGCAGTGTTTAAAAAATACTCACAATTAATTACGGGCGGAAATCCAGTGGCCTAAACAAACGGATTAAAGTAAGTGCTATGAAAAGATAGCCTACTCTCTTTCCGGAATGTTGACTCACACATTTACTGACTACAGTATTTGAAGGAGTTACCTATCGTGTAAATGATTTTTCTCGAGCCACAAGGTCGTTTCATTTTAGCTGAGGGTCAATTGCCACTTATCACTCATAGGAGGGATGAAATCTCTTGTCCCTTTTCTTATTTAAGGAACGTATTTCAATTTTAAAAATCTGTATCAACTACTAATATGCACCAATATAAATATTTCATTTATACATAGCTTTATTCAATGCATAAAAGACAGGAACCGAACAATCAATAAAAATGGTGGGTGCAGCGAGGGACACAACCCCTATTATAAGTCAATCCATCCTCCGTTCAATTTGTAAACATCAATGCAACGCTCGCTCATATACAGCGCCTCCGCGACTACGCCAGGCGGCTGGAGCAGGGTGGCTAGCTGGTCACGATATGCTGTGCATGCAGCCGCTGCAGTGCTAATGTTTATTGATTCCATGGAGATGGCGGTGGTGTGTTCAATTTAGGTGAGCAAAGTCAGCTTCCTCTATTAAAGCAGATTAAATATTTTTCTGATTTGTTGACAGTTGCGCTCTTGAGGTAAAGACTTAAGTAAACATTTACCATTTCGTGATCTTATTTACAAACATTTTCTGGAATATTAATTACAAGAAGAATCGGCTCGGACGTGGACCTCTCACTTCTCAATCTCAATCTAGTACTCTCGGTCTCACTGTCACAGCTGGGTGGCTGACACTGACTCAGTGTCAGCTCAGCTAGAGTCAGAGAGGGTGAGCTCGATCAAGTTGAACTTGATGATTAATGTGCAGTTAAACAATAATATTTGATATCATGATTTTTTAATAAATATCTGGTGAATATATTGATAAATCAGTCAGGTCTTTGAATTTAAATAGTTTAATTTTGCTTTCTTCTGTGACTTGTTGAGTTTACCCACTGCCACTGGCACTTGTAAGAATGATTAGCTGCCATAAATATAATCTCATGCTCATGAAATATTCTCTCAATCCAGGTAGATTAAACTAAGGAAAAGTCCACTGAATCTGGAATCTTTTTTTAAAGTGTGGGAAGGGGGGGGGGGGAATGCTCAAAAGTTATGTCACAAATTAGCCAGTTTGCATTGCAGCAACTGCGACTCACTTAGTTTCTCTCAATGTTTGCTTTTAATAAACCAGAATAAATCAGAATGGACCGTGAGCCTGGTCATCTACCATTTGATGTGAAGGATAAGGTCTCTTCTCTTATATGGATCAAGGCAGTGGCTGCTGGTAATGCAGGGGTTGGAAAAACATGCATCATCAAGCATTTCTGTGAAGACAAAGTAAGTTATTTTTTATTTTGTTGAGTTTTGGTGTGCCGGACAATGTCTTCCAGGCTTTTTTTTTTTAAAGAGGGCTTCAAATAAGGGCTGATGAAGTGCTTTAGATATCAAGTTTGCATTTTGTATGGACATTATTGGCTAAAGGAGGCATACATTAATGTTTAGATGAAATCTAATCAGGGATTTTGAACAAAAAATTAGCAAACAGTTTTCATTTATTTAGGCATTTGTTCATAAATTATTAAACTTCATACCTATTTAAATTTATTTCCTTTGTATTTTAGTCTTAATCTCCTGTTTCTCAACTTCACAATGTGATTATTAATGATAGTTGTCATACAAATGGTACCATTTTCTAGCCTCAGTTTTTGTTTTGCTTTGTTTTCATTTGGTGATCATTAAGGCATGTTAAGTATGCATCATTTAGAAAAAGTAGTACTCCAAGACATATGACCAATTTATTTGACCATATTTGACATTCTATTTGTACAGTGTATCAGTATGTGACATCATTTTCTATCTCCTCATGTAACGACCTTCTTTGTGTTTCCTATGTTCAGTTTTCCCATGGGTATCAACCAACAGTTGGAGTGGACTATGGCTTCAAAATACAAAATATATCGAATGTTGATTGTAAGTTGTTTTGTTTCTCTTATGGAAATCAGGAATTTAATTAATCCTATTACAGATGTGGAATACTCTGTGTTACTTAGTTAAGCACATTGCATTGTATATTCATTTTTATAAGCAGTACAAAATTAAGAAAACATTGTATTAGAAGATCTCTCTGAAAACAAGATTTTAATCACAGTACAATTTCAGAAAATGGGATGTTTTATGATTTTGTTTGGGTAGTGCTTATGATCATTTTCTTTCTATAGTATCTTTTTAAGAGAAAATTCAATACTGCATATTATGCTGTGAGCTGTAGGAATTCTGTAAAAACAATGGTCTTACCAACATTTGAAATTTCATTAAGATGACTTAAATTTAAACAAGATATGATTGCAGATTGAAGAAATATAACAACACAGCAATTTGTTTATAGATGTTTGTGTTTTTCTTTTGATTTGACAGTGAGAGTTCATCTATGGGATTTATCAGGCCATTCTGATTACCAGGAAGTAAGGAATGAATTGTTCAGTGACACTCAGGCATGCTTCTTAGTGTTTGATGTGACAAACAGACATTCCTTTGACAACCTAGAATTCTGGTTGAAGGAATTAAACAGGTACTGCACATCACCAAGCCATGTTGTGGTAGTAGCTAACAAGGTAGGTTCATGTTTTTCCTTCCTATTATTAAGGATCACTCTTGTTGTGTGATCTTTTGATAATTCCAGTTCCTTAATAGAAAATTGAATCCTCATGGTTAGAAGCTTTTTATTTAATAGAATACAAAATGAGAAACTTTTTGTTCATGTGCATGTTTTCAGAGTTTTACATGGGGCATAAAACTGGTCTGAAGTGAAATACATACATCATTGCAAATTTGCAATGGTACAATGGAATGTTTGTTAGTAGGCAATTCTTCACAATGAGAGAATATGATGTAACAAATCTATGCTGTAATAATTCTGATAACATTTATTAAACATACATTATAATGTGCTATTTCTTGAATTGGAAGGGGAACTACTGAAACATACTTTGTGTATTAAACTTAAAGTTCTACAATGTTCCACAAAAATGGCCAGCTTGCAGCATTTCATTTAATTAGGATATTCTAGGAAAGAAAATGTAATCCATGATACACACTGCTTTGATCCATTATGCAATGAGCTCGTTAGATGAAACATTTTGATTTCATTCAAGTTTATTATAATTTTGTGTGTTCAGATTGATATCAAGGCAAAGCGTGTGATACAGTCAGATGAAGCAACGAGATGGGCTGCTGCTAAGAAAGTCAAGTAAGTAATATAATCAATGAATGTAAATGACAAATTATTTTGTAGAATTGGAGGAGGTTACTGTTTTCCCCAAGAGAATAGAATTCTCTCAGTTTTTCTCTTATAGTACATTCTTTGAGTTTTGCAAGGTTTCTCCAGTATTCATCGTTACTATTAAAATACATCAACTCTTCTTATCTTGAAATCTTTTTCACAAATATTGGTCCTTCTTTTCATTCATATTCCATTTGTATCTCGAAACGAAAGGGCTTGAAAATGTCTTTTTTGTACTTTATTATAAATATTAATGGTATAATTTAAGTAGTCAAAATTTGTTAATGCTTGAGAGACTGTGGTTTCATGATAAGTTTGTGATTATTTACAGATACTATGAGACTTCAGCCTTTAATGGTGAAGGAATCACACGAATGTTCGCTGAAGTTCTTCAAGAAGTGATGACAAAATCCAGTCATGGCACAAGATGACACACCCACAGGGTGACCTACTTCCTAATCTGACTGGAGAGAGAGGCTAGTCAGCTCAGTCGATAATAGTATCTGCCTGTTGATCAAATATAGTGGGTTTGAGTCCAGAATCCACTCAGATGACTGAAGCAGCCATCACTGTGTGTTTTCATGCTCCTCCTCTGGTCCACATACAGGCTAGGTTACAATGGAAAACACTTCATTCCCTGTTTAGGACGATCAGTGGAGGCATTTGTGTGGGACAGTCACCACCTGTACATTAGCCACATAGTAGTCAGTGTTCATGTGTATTGCATCATAATTCACTGACACCAGATTTGGTTGAATTACCAATTAATGTGTCTGTGTTTGCAAATGTTTCTGAAACAGTGAACGTGCGGTCCCACCAGAAAAAATACTCCAACTTGCCTTTATTTCATTAGGGTGAGGGAAATTTGATATCATACTAGGCGTGTCTTCATCAGCTCGAGATTGCCAAATAGCCCGCTATTTCTGATTTGGGAAATAATCCCGAAGTTACAAATCACGTCTTCATCAGCTCGAGATTCGACCTCGAAACTGGAAACTCGACCTTGAGAAATTAGTTTTGTTTGAGGGCAGAAATTTTGATGACTCCATAAAAGTCAGGAATGAAATGAATAGCATTCGTTGTGAAGAAGTGGAGAAAGAGAATTGGATAATCTACATGTACACTGTTTACTGATCACTTTATGGCTTTTAAGATCATGTCATAATTTACAGTATTTGTGATAATGTATTCTAACAGAATTGCACAAATTTTTCATGAACTGGTAAAAATGTCATTGCCATTAAATTAGTTGAATTGTTGACTAATTTCCTGAGAATGCCTTTGGAAAATGATTGTTTATGAATTTTGATAATGAAAAGTCAACAAGTCAAACAAATTATGACTAGCAAGAATGGCAAAACATTATAAATACTGCTTTAATTTATTTTTGCAGTCCAGTCAGGCAATATATTTGATCCCTTGGTTCATCACTTATTGTCATTTAGGATCATGCATTGCAAATATACATGTTTGTTTGTGAAACATTGATTAATTGTTTAAACCCAAACATATGGTAAAATCATGAAGAATAACATATTCATATTCAGCTAAATTGGTATGTGATAAACATGTTGATGTGTGTGCCAAAATGGCTGAGTTGAAATATCTTTGTAATTAAAATTCAAGTTTTTCAACAGAATGTGAGGTACTTTTTATGTTAAAGAAGTACATGTATTCACTATACCGTAACCGATTAAAGTGTGTGACAGTTAACTTTCACAGGTGGTCAGTCCACCATAAAAGACCCTGTTGGAAGTGAAAAATGGAAAAAAATGAATTATATATCAACGGTAAGGAATCAACGGAAAGCATATGACCCATAGATTACAATAATATCATATTACCATGAATATCATGAATTTAGTTGTCTTTAGTTGGTGCCCAATCTGATCATTTTCTTTTCCCATTTGTTAAAAAAAAATGGCTGATTTTTGTAATAGTTTGTCACTTTGTCTATCTTACAGATTTGTATTTTGTTCCTTTTAGACACTGTCATGGTATTAATTGAATTATATATATTTGTATAATAATAAAACCTTAACAAAAAACAAAAATCATTATTTTCTGTATTCCTAGAACTCTCTTTGTAGTGTCTGTTACTGGGAAAATGTGTATCTACTTTCTCTCTCTTTCTAGGAGAGATACAAAACTTAATAGCGGGCAGATATAATTGTCATCCTTCCAGTGAAGTGAAAAGAAGAATAAAAAGCAAAAAAAATATAAAAATAGTGAAACAATGAAATAAACATATTAGCAAAATTATGAATTAAATAAACAAACAAAATAAACAATGAAAAATTGAAAATAAAGAATGAAAATTTATGCCACTACTTTGGTTTTGAAAAAACCTTGAACTTCTTAAATTGAATTGATACTGATAAATATTAATAAGTTGAAATCTATATGATTAAAACAAAATTGTATGATAAAAACAACATATAAATAAATCTTGTATAAAAAACTAATTTCTATTCTTGAAAAAAAGATGCAAAAAAGGATTGGGTCTCACTATGTTGAACGGGCTGCAAGCCGCCGCCTATTCACAGGCGCTATCCCACTACTGCTCCACACGGGGACTTTTGCCTGCTGCGTTTCCGCCCTGGGCCAGTACGTCCCTCCTTAGACGACCTGGTTGGCCAGTCCTCCGACCAATCAACCATATCGATGCCGAGCTTAGCATGGACGCCCGATCGCCATAGAGCGACGACATACAGAACTCCCGCTCTCAAACGATCCACCAACCCCGACTTCCAAGTAACTGGATTACAGGCGCACGCCACAACGCCCAGTCGAAAGCTCGGTGCGAACATAGGACAATATCTATGAGCTTCCTCTTTCATTTGCTTTTCCTGTAGAGGGCGCACTGTGTTTACATAGTGTCCCTTTACACTACGTTTACGTAGAGACCACATATGTTTACAGTATTCCCCCCCCCCCTCAGAATATGATTTTTTTTTTTTGCCCTCCTGTTTTTTAACAGTGAACATTATCCTGACTGAGATTGTATAGTTGAGCTTAAATGATAACACCGACCCCGAACAAGTTATGTTTGATGATGATAATAATAATAATAATATTTAATTTTTATGATAACATTATATTATCCGTCATATGCATGATATTTTGTATATATATTATGCATACCATGTACCAGAGAAATATATTACCCGAAAGGACTTTTTTGGTTTTTCAATATTCTTAATTGATTTCATTCATACATAAACATTTCATGTTGGATACATTAACCAAAACACGGTAAAAAACAAAAATAAAAAAATAATTGCACGTTTATAGTCAATAATCCACCTTGACTATATGTATACACTGAGATCCAATTAGAAAACAAAGAAAAAATTACATGAATTTATTATGATTACAACACCCTCCCCCTCACCCCTTCCCTTAAAAAAAATGGTTGAGGATGATTAGCATCACTCATAGAGCTATATAGCTTTATGGTATCACTCTACCTTACACACGATTCCAAACTGTATTAGCGCCCTCTATAAGTAGAAAGCTCCCAAATCGCTACCTCTTCTTAGATTACCTGCTATTAATTTGATTTCGCTAAAATATCCCAAGATGATCACTTTACAAGGTGTAATACACGATTGTTCCAGGGATGTAGAAGGGCTCCTTATATAGTGCAGAGAGCAAGGAGACTTTTAGGAAATGAATTATTGAATAAGGAAACAGAATTGTTTTGATATTATGGCTATATGAACAAATAATAAGACACACCCTTTAAAAGCTGTAGAAGTTTAAGGAGTTTCATTGTCTTTGGGAAGAACTTCCCTGTCAACAGAATTCGGTTTTAAAAGGGATTCACAAAAAGAGTTATTAAAGGCTTAAAGGTGTTACACACTGTATGTCCCATTTGCAGGCCAACAAAATTAAAAGGTTAAACTCCACCAGCATTTGAAAGATAATACTAATTTAAAACTTCCCTCAAAACGAAAGGGCTTGAAAATGTCTTTTTGTGGGGAAATAACGACCGTTAGTTGTTATATCAACATCAGGGATTGCAATCCATTTAGTAAATAGTCTGATTTTCAGAGCCTTGTATATACGTGGTGTACGTTTTGTGCTGCGCAAAGATTGAACCAGTTTAAAATGCCCATGTACCCTGTATAGTTAAATTATGAATGTTATTACCAAAGAAATCAGTCAGTCACTCGTCTGACAATGAATTCTAGAAAGCAAACGGGTTTCCTTGCATAAAATTTGAATATTAAGGTATTGCTACCGTTTACATTTCACAGATAGGACATACACGACATATTCATAATCCCTGCAAAGTTATACAGAATTTGGTGCCAAATATATTGTGCATTTTCAATATCAATTTTCTCTTTCATCTCCCCCTTTCTTTTCTAATCTCTCTCTCTCTCTATTTATTTATTTATTTATTCAAACATTTTTACACAGGTACACAAGTTCAGAAGTAAATCTGTTTTGCGTCTTGGACCTGGTATTAAAAACAACATATAAAAAGTAGTAACAAAGTAAAATACACAATACATCATAGTAATAAAAAATATGGTAGTATACCATTCAAGGCCTTAACAACAATGCTTCTAAATATAAATGAATGCTACATATAATAATGTTAACATAAAATAGTCATATAAGAGTATGCAAAATTAATGTAAGGTTTTAGATTAGAGGTTGAGGTAATATCAATGGATTCGATTTTGATTTTGTGTACAATAATTTGAAAATTTCTAGAGACTGAGCATTTTGAAAGTTATTAGGTAATATATTCCATACTTTAGCACCGGCATATTTTAAGGACTGACATTACAGTTGAATGTTTGGTTTAGGCGGCACAAGATTAAGGGAATTTGCATTACGCGTATTTAGTCCATATCTATCGTCTCTCTCTCTCTCTACCACCCTCTTACTATATAAGAGTCTCTCTCTCTCTAACATAAACACCTCCTCCCTCACACACACATTCTTTCTCTCTCAGTTAATACACACAAGCGCGCAAACACGCCCACCCTCATGTACACACACCCTTACCCCTCCCACGCATACGCACACACTTGATTTCTCGCTACCTGTCTTAACAATGAGACTGTAAGTAATAATCATTCGAGTTATATTTGTATTTAACAATAAATTATAAGCCATGTTTCATAATCTTTGTCAACTGGACATACTGCCAATCGTTTCAGTTGTTTACAGTACAAAGTCAAAGCAATGAGAGAGACCGGCAACATAAGCGTATGGACACTTTGCTACTCTGATTGCAGTATAGCTTCTATGGCTTTTCAAACGAAGAGATAATTAAATATGTTTATTCGGGGCATGATGGGGGCATGATGAGATGTGATGAGACCAGTTCAAACTAATTTAAAAAAGAGAAGTTTACAATACAAAGAGAAACAATGGAATTACCATATGACGTTCAATTATATGTATTGTATTTTCATATATAGGCCTATAATTTGTATTTTTATTTATGCACAGACTTGCAGAAGAACAGTCATTGGCTGAAGCACGTGTCTCCGTGCTGAAACAAAATAAGATGAAAATGAAAATGAGATGGAAAGGTTTTGTTCTTGATGAATTCATAGATTATTTCCTCAGCACTTCATGTAAGGACCACCCTTTTCACCCGTCAGTCCTTTTTAAAATCATGTAAACCTTGCCATCCCTCCCAAATTTCTTGACTTGATATATTTCCATCTCAGAAAATATTCACTACATGCACGACCCTGCTCTTCTTAATCTGCACGTCACATTGCATCGCAATCATTCATGTCAATCAAAGAACACATTAAATACAAGAAATCTGAGCAAGTAATTATCGTGTCAGTGGACGTTTTATTTTAGCAGTAATATCATATAAAACTCTGAAGAACATATACACTCATAGCATAGCCTAAAAGTACTTGTATTTATTTCAATGACATAAGAACAAGCGTGCGAGTCTCTTAGCGAGACTACGCCAAACATAAGAAAGATTCAACCGTTTGTTAAAGAAGGAACCCATGTCTAGAATGTTCCTCTCCATTCAATTGTATAGCCTGACTTTTGCAAGGTTTCACATTTTGATATACGATATCCTTATTTCAGATAGTATAGTTTTTCAATTCCTTGATTGATATTATATAAAAATGATTCCGATAATCTGATTGATCAATTTTATCTTTTAAAAATAAAAATCGTTTCCCCAATAAAGCAGATTTCATGTTTTAATGACTAAAATTCTGTTTCTATTTTCGGGGGCTTGCTCATCAAAGATAATACCACATTTTCGTTCATATTTGAACATAATTAAGTACATTTACTATCGGCACATGTATACGTAGAAAAATAATAACTTTATTCTGATAGTTTTCTTTCTCTCACACTCTCTCTCCGATATACGATTTTGTATAAACGTGCTCAATTTTGCACACATCTGTTTCCATATAAAACGAGGACGACATTGCACTAAATGTTGAGATGCGATAGTTTACGAATAGAATCATCAACACCATATATAAATTGTATATAAAGATTAAAGCATCTATCACAACAGACAACATCCATTACACATTATGCGGCAGAAACATTTAAAGTGTGTTCAAAATAAAATTGAATGTATAACCTAGTTGGATTATTTTTCAAATTCAAAATAACCACAAAAGAATAAAAACAAATCTTGCACTAGATGGGTAATTAACGTCTATGATTCATCGTGCAGTGTAACTATCATGGGAAATTAATTGGTGTTAATATCTCACATCAAAAATAGCACTCGAATTTAAAACGCAAAATTGCTACAGTAAGAGATTCACAGATTTGATTTTCACTACGTTCACATTATAAAAATATACACCAGTGTTCAAGTATCCAGATAACAAACAGATTTTGGCAGTATATGATTCGTAACAGGACTTTCAGCAAAGTAATTGCATTTTATCGTGTTATAAGGTCGAATAGTGTTACGCAAGAACGCATAGACATCTATCAAAATGTGCTCACAGTCATAATGCATTTCAAAAAAAGACACAACGGCTAAAAGTTAAGAGTATTGTCTATACTGACATTGAATTATTGGCCGTTCATTCACCCTATATGATTACGTCATCTTTCTCACTTTTGAGACTTGGTAGGGAGTTAACGGTATATGCTACCCAAATTATCAAAACAGTCATAGGCCTACAAAGATTTGTCTTCATCTAAATAAGTCATTGAATATGCATTTTTGAAACATCCACAGAACATGTCCACGTTAGCAATAATGTAAAAAGACTGCAACATTTTCTGTTTTTTTCATCTTCATAGCAAAATGGTATAAAATGACTATTCTACAGAACCAGTAAGAATTCAGTGTCAAACAGGCAGTGGACCTGCCAATAAGCATGTCTACTCGTGCAACATCATATCCTCCTCTTTCATCTTCAACAATCGGTAAACAAAATGTTTTCGTAAACAAAATGTAACAAAGTTTATATGTATAATGAATATTCATGTATCTCTTTTCGTATACATAATAATTAGCACATTTGAGTGATCATAGCATAGACATCGTGTACTGCAATACATTACTTAGTATCTTAACTATAAAATTATCTACAATCTCACGTTTTCGTGTGGATCTCCACAACACCTCATATTTCCATATTTACAAGAATATTTTTCGCTAGATTCATAAGTGGTTTGCAGCTTTGTACAGTGATGATCATGATACTCTTTTTGCACATCTAAACTTCTTTCAAAATCATAACCTTTGGTGTAAGTATAGATTTACAAGAGGTACTACTCTAAGTTCCCTAAGAATATACGTTAGGTAGTGCAAACAAAATTGATATGTTTTATGGGTACTATACACTAGATCATTCTACAATACCTTACGACATATAATTTATCATGTGCTTTTTTTCTTTGAAAACAATACATACAGCTGCAGATTGGCCACGCTTACAAACGTTCTTTTTTAAATCCCTACTTACTATCATATCCTTTTTACAAAGCGTTTTATCAGCTGCTAACTAACAATTTAACTACTTTTACTTTCATCTTTACATCGTGAATAAACATGAGAAATCATGCATAATGATATTGAACTAGCGCTACTTTTGTTGTTGTAAAGAAACCTTGCGGATCAATGAAGCAGCCAAACAAAATAAAAAATAATTACGTATCAAACCGCTAAAATGTCCCGTAGAAATTTGGTGAAACTGAGATGTAATTCTGCATGAGCTCCTGAAAGACCGGTAAAAGCAATGTTTTTCATGATATAATATCTCCTGTTCAAATCAATCTAAAACTTTTTAATTTACGACTTGTAAGACTGTTACCCCCGTACAAAAATACATGTGTAATTTACGACTATTGTCTCACGAACCCGTCCTAAATACAATAACAGAAAGAGATTAAAGTCATCAAAATGAAAAAGTATACCTGACTAACTAATTATGAGTGTCATCTCATAGCTATTTAGCCGACATGTGTTTTATAGAAAAAACTTGAATTTGCAATTATTTATTCTTTCATAATTCAGTGTTCACATGGTTTACAAGTCAATCCTAGATTGCACTGTAACAAGTTAAAAATAAGTTTTCATGATATATCCCACGTCACAACTACCTTCATGCAAAATAATGCTCTGATTTTTATCATAATACCAGCTAAATCGTAGTTTTCCAGGTCGTCACAATTTGTTATCGATATAACGTATAAATTTGATAAAATTTAGGCGTATATTATCTAAAGCGATGAAATTAACTTGACTTGCTTACGCTTCGATAATTGTGTGAACATGGTAAATACATCAAAATGTAGAATTGAAGCTATTTTCCCCCAATGAATATTTATATGAGAAATTTCATGCTTTCTTAGTACAAATTTGTTCACATGATTCTTATGTGCTCAAAAAACAGAAGATGAAGGTAAGAGGGGGAAAAAAGTAAGATTAACCGCAACATTTATAAAGAGTAATTTATCTTTATGGATAAATAAGGTTTACCTTGACAGAAAAAAAATCATAGAAATGCGATTATCATCTCATCTCATTTTAAAACATTTAAAATTACTCTATTTAAATAACCGAAGGTGCAAACCTATATATAATTTATTCACAATCGTGTATGACAATATAAACGTAAAGCATAATTGGTTGTACTGTGAGAATAGTAAAACATGTCAATCAACTAATGTGAATATCTGTTGGCTCAGAAGGCAGCCTTTCAGAGTAGAAACATCAAGTATTTCTTGAACCCAGAGTTAATAAGGCAAGTTAGGCTCATAAGTTTTTTCGATGGTGCCAGGTACTGGGGCTGCACCTTCCACTTTGAGTGCGCATAATCTCTGGCGTCCCTTCTTGCTCAACACACGAAGCTCAGGGAGCTGCATCAACATCCGGGATAGGAAATTGGCTCGCGTTTGCGCACAAGTGTTGTAGGTCACGTGATCATTGAGACAGCTAATGATCCTGTTTTGCAGTTGACTCACTTTCTCTGGTTCTTTTAATCCGTGTCTCTCTGTAAGAGTAAATGAAGGAATGAAGAAAAATAATGAGAGACATTCAATTATAATTCAAGACCCTGCTATAAATTTCTACTAAAGTTTGAATAAACGGAACTCTTTATCTTTTAATTAATTTATATTAATATCAATTTGCCTTATATATACACATCAGATTGAAGAAGAAAAAAAAGCAAAATAAAATTCATAGAACAATCGAAAATTTAAGTTGAATAATTTTTGATTGTGTCATTCCTAAATTTTTGTAATGGCTGTCACGAGCTGTTTGCTAAAAATTGTAAAGTATACAATCTCTCTGATTTGATAATTAATTTTGATAATGAATTGAATTGTACTTTAACATTTTCAATAAAGGAAATGAATGATAAGTTTGATAATTATGTTCACCACTCACCGGTGATTAGAACAAGAGATGACAGACATGCGAACGATGAGATGTCAATTTCAAGGGATGAAAGTACTTTGGAGAATGCCCGTATATCGTCTAGCCACTCCCCAAAGCCCCGTTCGCATTGCTGGTTGTGGAGGACGTTTCCGTTGCAGAATACTACATATGGATCCTCCGGGTTTACTCTGTGGTGGGAAAAAGACAGAATGAGAAATTAACTATTGAATAATCATTGTAAGAAATACAGACATTCTGAAGCTTTTCGTCTATTCCTCATCAGAGTACATCACAAGAATGAACAGAAAACCGAAATCGGAAAGTATAAACTGATTCCAAAGCTGTCAGAACAAAGTCAGTGCGCGATATTTTTTTCTTCTACATTTTAGGTAAAGGCAAAGGAAATTGAGAAGCCTACATCCTTTTTTTCTAAAGCATGGGATCTTAATCATTGGCTACCCTTTCCTATGAATATTTATACAAGAAAAGATTTTGTATCAAGTGTTTGAGAACAAATTTGTTACCTGTACGCCATCTTGAGAACGAAGAGCTCAAGGCATGATGATTGGAACAGCAAATCTTGATCTTCTCGGCAGAGATCGCTAAAACCAGGGATACGCTCCGCCCACGATCGGATGACGTCAATCGACGAACAAAAGTTGTCGTAGAAGATTTGCAGCTGTTCGTTGTCTGGTGGTGGTGAAATGACGTCACCTGGCAGCCGAAACTGTGAAGTCAATCCAACCGCAAGTCAGATGGAAGTAAGGAGATGGAGGTAGAGAGGTAGAGAAAGAGAGAGACAGAGAGAGTGATGGTTAATATAGTGCCACGTCCCAAGTGATTACACGCAAACCATTGATCTGAAAGGCCGACCCATATATGCTCGTAAAACTCCTTCCATCTCATCTATTATTAATCTTTTATATAACTGCCTATTTCCCCGTGAGCCCCACTGGCGAAATTGATTGCATTGTGACGTCACATGAGACTATCCTGGTTTGCTGAGGGAAATAGGGGCAGCTGTGTTTATTTTCGTTCTCCCTTCTATCTTTCACTACCCTGTAAGACGTCATAATGACGGAGTGACGTCATCTAGAGGTATCACATCCATCACTTTATCAAGCCGTGTCGAGCATGCCTGACGGGCGGGAGCATTTATGGAGAACCATCGTATCAAATCTCGCCCATCTCTGCTCGGTATGTAATTTCCTTTCCCTTCCTGTCCCACTTTTAACGGTGTGACGTCATAGTGAAATTATTGTTCAATAATACTGGGAATGGGTGGATACTTTCACCTTGTTTCGAGCCATCAATTTCACAAATCTTTTGCTTCCGCTGCAGACCTTATTCATAGCTACATTAAAAGTTGCTTTTGCAGTCTGTTAATAGTTATCATGCATCATAACTCTTTTCTCTCTTCCTCCCTCAAATCTCATCTTGTTAAATATTCTTTTGGAAGTCCATGAATAATTAAGCCATTAGACGAAGTTATAGCCAATGACGTTACCCTTTCTGTAATAAGCGATATGAAAACGTCGGGACCTTTAATTGTGTACTTACCTGGCTGTAGTCTCGGTTGGCTTTAGCTGGTGAGGCATCAACATGTGCTCGGACCAGGGCTGTGATCAAACTGACAGGAGGGGATGGGGGAGGGAGATCCTGAGAGTTCCGCTGTTTGGTGGGCAGTCTACCTCGTCGCCCTCGAAGGTTATCGGTTCGAACAACTGCAAGAGAACAGAGAAAGGAATACCCAATTAATACAGTGTTTGTGTGTCGTAGTGTTTTATATCGTACTACCAGTTTTATAGCAACCTTACTGAAATTGGTAAAAAATATTTGTACATTCTTTTCTGTTGATCAAGAAGGGTTCAAGGTAATAATGATACACTATTTATAAATGCATTGCCTGATTACGATATAAGTTCAAGGGTTCATTTATGAGATAGAAATAATTTAGTATGATGAAAAGCTTTCGTGGGTTATCCTGTTCAAGCTGACCTAATTTGATCTGTTATTCTTGTATATTGTTGTATGTTGGAAGCTTGGCGAATAAAAATCAATTAATCAATCAATCAAATAAAATGTGTATGGTATATTATGAGGTGACCAAACGTACCTTCTTTGACCATCCCACAGGCTAGACACTTCTGGAAGCGACAATATTGACATCGGTTCCTCCGTCGTTTGTCTACCGTGCAGTTCTTGTTGGCCAAGCACACGTATTTGGCATTCTTCTGTACTGTCCTCTGAAAAAAATGAAATACAAAATATCTTACAATTACTATTTTTACCATTTTAAATTGCTTTGATACATTTTATCATTTTTAAAAGCATTGAATTAAAAGACCTGCCTAAGATCAAAATGTTGGAGTGGAGAAGTACTTTAAGACTTTTGAAAAGTATGCAAGATCCTGTTTTTTCGTCACATCACACACTATGACAACCTGAATCTATGGGGATTAGCTGAGACATTGCGGTGGAGTTTGTAACTCGCTTTTGTAATGGAGTTTGTAGCTTTGTTACCAGGGTAACGCTGTGTCATCCGCCTCAAGCTCTAAGATTGCGGCTTCCTGTTCTCACCCTTCTCGCCCCCTTCCCGGCGGCACAACTGTCGGCTCAGACGCAGCAGTCATTGCCAATTTGACAGCTTGCCAGGGAAGGCACAAGTTAAAAACTCCGGAACTTTTCAATTCTGTAACTGGCATTCTATGACGTCAATACTATGAGGCAGACTCTGGAAAAAGTCCTACTTATCTGCATCACGATCGTCCGGAGGGAATACCTAGACTTGTTATTTCCTCAAAGTTGCCCAAATGCATGCCTTCAAGTGTGGAGAGCACAGTGACGTTACCATATGCTACTTTTGTTAACGGAATACTTTCATATTAGAAAATTTCCTAGGGAAACTGGTCATGAGGAATTCTTGCACAGGCATCTAGAGTTCACTTTTCCTTACTTAACCGAAAACGTACTTTCCAAGATGAATGATGCATTGAATGCATTTAATATTGAATTCGTCTCTATCTTATTACTGAATATTAGTTAGTTAGACAGTATATATCTTACCTTAAAGAAACCCTTGCATCCCTCGCACGTCCTGACGCCATAATGTTGGCAAGCTGCACTGTCCCCACACACAGCACACATGCCTTCCTGAGAGGGCGTCCTAGGCGGGGTTATCATAGGTCCTTCTGGTGATAGTGACATGATGGGACTGTTTCTCCTTGCCCCGACCATAATATTATGATGAGAACCAAGCGGTGGGTTTGGTGGCATTGGGTAATGATGAGGCTTGCTTTCCAAGATGGATGTTTCCGTACATGTTGGAATGGGACCCTCTTGTGAAGTACCCCAAACGAAATGAGGTGGTAAGCTCGCATCAACATGGATAGTCGAAACGTCATGCGTAAAACTTGTGTCATAATAATCGTTCTGTTGAGCCACAGGGGAATACGTGCTGTGAGATGTGGTTGGAGGAGTGACACCCGTTAAGGATGGGCTGTATGCATGTTGGTAAGCTATGTGCTCAGCCATAGAGGGGATTGCAGGGAGCGGGTACTCCCTGTCGTAGGATTCTGGTTGAGTCGCACTTGGCAGAAACTCCGTCATTGAACTGAATGGTGGAAACTCTGGTGAATGTTCTTCGTAACTGGGCCTCAATCCTGGAGGGCCAAAACAGTCCTGAAAATTAGGCAATCTGCTGCTGGCGGTAGTGCAAACCGGTTGACTGCTATAGTTTGATGAGAAGGTTTCTGGCGTTTGAACAATACAAGGCGGTGAGGATGCGTCTTGTTTCGGGGTGTAAGAGGGCATACTGGCCGGCATAGGGGTAACGGGAGATTGCCTCTGCGGGGATTGATGAGGGGTATGCTGCTGGTGATTATGTGGTGTTACTCGATGCTGGGATTGTTGTTGTTGTTGTTGTTGAGATTGAGGTTGTTGAAGAGGAGGTGATGTCTGTGACTGAGGATGCTGCTGTTGCACCTGTTGATGCGGTTGAGTTGCTTGGTGATGTGGAGGTGAATGATGATGTGGATGATGTTGTTGTTGTTGTTGCTGCTGTTGTTGTTGTGAGATGAGCGTCCCGTCTGTACTGAGTGGTGGGCTGACTGGACTTCCTTCTGGTAGGTTGGGACTGGTAAGGTTCTGAAACAGTTTGGTTTCCAGTATATTATACTGGGATGACCCCGCGTTCGGATCGATGTAGCCTTTAATGAAAAGAAGATAGAAAAAGCGTTAAAATTACAATTATTTTGTTGGTAAAGTAGTATCATTTTTGTGTGAAACTTTTGGAGAGGTCTTACAAAATTTTGCTTTACGATAACTATTTGAATTTTTGCGTTGAGGTTTTTTAGGACTGCGAGACATCACTATTCCTATAATTGGTAATAAAACATTAGTATCTCTATGTTAGCGGTGAATTAAGTCACTATTTAAGTGATTTAACATTTATTTGTACCATTATTAATTAAAAATAATTAATTCCTTGACTCTCATTAGTGCACTATACATTGGATTAATTGCCATGAGATTGGATTTAAATATGGATAGAAATATTAACTACTTAGATCGTTATTGATGACGAGTTAGCAAAATCAATAAAAACTTGGTAATCAGTGAATGACAGATAAACGCACAAACAAAAACAGGCACTTGCAATGATTACTTTCGTGCATATCTGGTGAAAGGTTTGCATGCAGTGTTACAGGGTGAAATCAAGGCAACATAAACAGAGGGATTGATCACAACATTCCATAATAAAGTCAGTACACAACGAATATAACTTGTCTGAATATTTCCCCATTTTTTATTTTTGTGTCGTTTTCCGTTATCTATATTTAAATTACAGTATCATTTGAATAATCGCACAGACTGTTATATCCTTTTAGAGACTATGCCGAACGCGCAATTGCTCATAACATGGAGAATGAGGGGATGATTAGCTATTTCACAAGATGAGGAAATAAGAATAATGTTAACTGAAATTTCTTAATCCACAGATCATGAAAGGATAACTTAAATGAAATAAAAATAATGATACACAGTCTCGACACCACATTTAAGAGCGATATAATGTTTTACACGAACCTAGTAAAAAGGTGAATTCTGAAAGAAATTGCAATGTGTTTACAGAAAATGTTCAAGACGATGGGTGTAGAACACTTAGGATGATATTATTGAGGTAAGCACCTGAATAGGCTTCGAAGTCGTTGTCAAAAGGATAGGTTGGGTAGCCATTGAATTGTGGATACCCGGTCCCAAAGGATGTGGGTGCGCCTACCAGCATCATGGTCAATCTTGGGTAGCGGTAGCACCCCTTGAAGTCTCTTTGCGACGCCGTTTAAAGGGCTGCCAAACTTGGAAGCAATGCAGAAGATTCCCGCGTTAAGCACGGCCTCCGTTTTTTAATTGGTTAAATCTGATCTGACGTCATCAAATCTCAGCAAACCCAAGAGAAGTTCCCGGCATTCACTGCGATATCGTCTGATTCCAAAGGCCTGTATAGTGTTGTATATACAGAGTTGAACCACACATTAACCACCGTGTCCATACAAATAATTACAAATTATGATTGGCAAATAAGAGGATTGCTATTGAAAGTACGCCTACCTTTTTTGCATGTCTATTTATGTACTTTCACTCTCCAAGAGCTTCTATCGTAAAATGAGGAGGGAACACTTTAGATTGCCTATTTACACAAAAAGTAGTGGAAGTTTTGTTGATTGGTATCATAGGGTTGTTTCCTGTAGTCATATACCAGGGCGGTGAAACTGTTATTTTAAGAACTTCCTGAATTGTTTCCAAAGCCCAGATTCCACGAAGTATTTTGGATGAACTCTTTTGTATTTAGAATGAAAAAACCGCAGAATTTTATGTCTAACGTATGCCTTTTTTAGGAAGTGCGTCTTGTACAAGTGGATACTTCAAGTAATACTCTTTGTCATATCTAGTTTCTGCGAAACAAAAATTTTTGGTAAAAAAAAGGGAACTCGATTTTGGAGTACCATTTGCAACTTAAATCACAATCATGTTTTTCTACAATACCCCTTTCTAAAACAATTGCATAATCACTCATTAGTGATGCGCTGTACTTTGCGTTGAGGCAATTATACATGTTATTTGGACAAGAAAACAACTACGATAATCAAACAAAGAATTCCAGTATCCCAAAAGGAGATGTTATAGAGCAGATTTTACACCTCACACAAATACAGCTATCCGAGATACGAGGGAGAGAGAGACAGAAAGAGAGAGAAAGCTATCGCGGCAAACGCGGCTAACGTTTCGGAGACATCTTTGTAAAAATGCAGATAATTCTAGCCAACGAAGTAGTAAGTCCGTTCGCTTCACCGAGGCGACGTAAATAGAATATATCAAAAGACCCTTGCTATGTACAAAAATCTGATTTAGCATGCAATGACGTGGGTGTTTTCTTACGATCACTGCGACTAAACCATTCACTCATTTTGCTCTACATGTATGAATTAGTGAAGACTCAAGGGGATAAATGAAAGCTGACGTAAGCTTCCAAATATACTCTACTTATGATTTCTTTTGCGATGAATTACGCAAACAAAGCGTGTTCCATCTCATAATTGTGTGTTAGTAATTCATAATTAGAAACATAAAACAGGTACAGTTTTTGCCAAATATTGGGTGTTTTGGGTAACAAATAAATTACCCCGCCTGTTTCCTTTCATAACGAGACATCTTCATACAATAATTAAATAACGAAAAATTAACCGCTATGTATTCAAATGAAACGTTATCGTCTCTCATTGCCTTCTACTCATATCAATTTGATTGTAAAGCCGGATTTCTTTTAAGAAATATAACTGGAGGGAACCATTGACATACTTCTTTCCTGTATTCAGTCTCTTTGCAATAAAAAGCGTAGGCACACAAAACCCTTCGTTTCTATGATGTAAACATTTATCAAACGCAAATACTTGAAACAGTTTATCTTCTAATTTTGATGGATTAGGAGGGTAAACGTAACGGTGGAGATGTTTAGTTTGATATCCACTTCAGAGTCCTCGGTTTGAAGGCGGCAAATCATATTCACAATAAGCGCCTCATGTTTGGGCTCTGCATATTTTTTCCCCACAGATATTGGAAAAGAATAGGAAGGAGAGTAAAACGATTAAACACTTGGCAATTCGCTTCTGAAGTGGCTACCAAAATTGATGTATGCTGTGTACATATACACGCGATGCTTACGCAAATCGCGCTACCCTCTTATCCACTGAATCTGCTATTGCATTTCTGGAAACTAAGGCGGGGCAAAGTGTTTGCACGGTTTACAATAAACATCCATCCATAATTGTCTGTAATAGGTTGGGTAAAAAAAACATGCAATGTGGCCACGTTGGTGGGAATAAAAAGCGAGTGGGCAAATCTTTATTTCCCCGAGAGGGAAGCGAGAGGAATATTACATACTTGAAGTGAATGCCATGTCTACTACCCGATGTATTGAGAATTTTGATGATGAAAATTGAGCGGCCGTTCCATCTTATTTCGTTTTATATCGGTATATTATGAATACCCCGGAGTCTGTCCGCTCTCCTTGATATGAGGATGTATAAGGCTTGTATTGGATGCCTTCGTGATAGTACATTGCCATACCCAACCCTTGTATTGAAATCTATTGATGTGGACAGGCACCTCCTACCACGCACATAATGCACAACGCTTGCTAGCTGCCTATACCATCGCATGGCGCCGTGTAGCTTATGCACTGATATTATTGCAGGGTTTACCAATAGTCCTAGGCATAGCAATACATATAGAGAAGGAATTCATTTATCATCTATGATTATAATGAAACTTGATAACTTCTACTATGTGGAATGATATTTCGCATCATTGTCGTTATTGATGTCTATTTACAATATAAATGTTATTGCTTCCTTATATTTTCAAAATATATAAGTCCAAAATGCAAAATAATATGAGCTTACATGAAGTTAGAATTTGAATTATTTAAATCAAAGATGGTTCTTTTAGCATAAGAATATGAATTTGGATAATTATGACCTTAAACCGAAATGTACAACCCGAAAAATCGATCCCCTTATCTCGACATAATATCATATCAAATGATACACGTGTATTGTAAAGTCTGGATAAATATGGATACAAATATATTATGCGAATCGAAGTCGAATGAATATTTAGCTTTTCCATAGATCTAGTTTTAATTAAGTGTACTAAAGAGAACTGAATATAAGTAGCATTGAATGGCAACAACCAGGCAAAGGGATGCCGTTGGCCATGGCGCGTCGACTTCAATTAGATGCGGAAAATATTCCAAGTATGTGCAGCCAGCTTAGATGAGGCCCGGTGGTTAATGATATTAGCCTATACAGCTACCCGTCACTTCATTGTAAATACGATATGTATACGTTATTAGTCAGTATACCCTGGCCAATAACGTATATATATTTCGTATGTACAAAGAAGTGATATATATACACACTATTGCAACTTTATAGCAGGGTTCTGGTTCTAATATAGGAGAGGCATTTTCATGATCAGGTACACCATAAATATGATCAAAGGATGAGCTTTTAAATGTGCGATATAATAAATGTAAACGATCTTTGGTTTAGAGTATAGAGTATAATAGATAACAATCCTAGATATTAACTGCCATTATAATAAAATAAAAGTCAGAAGTCATTATGTGTTCAAAATGAAAACACAAAAGAGTGCATACACACAAACAGAGTCACTCACAAACACGCGCACGCACACGTACACACACAAACGTTCACCCACATGCCCTCAAAAAGGGCCAACATCAGATTCAAATTGAAGTTTCCCTTACTGAGTACTCGTGGAAATAATTTTACTTTAGTTTTTATCAACAACGAAATTGAGTCATTTCTTTCAACTTTTGAATAAATAGATATGAAAATATTCAATAGCATGTATTGGGAAAGGTAATAATTATAGTTCTTTACATTCAACAAAGTGAATAAAATATGAATACAATATGCTTCGGTATATTAAAACCCCTTTCAAATATCACTAAGGAAAACGAAGGAAGAAAATGATAACAACTTTCATCAAGTGATGTAAACTAGGCATAAAACACTTGAAGTACTGTAAGAAAATTTAAATTTGCAAAGCAATGCTTAAATACACGACTGGAATATAATTATCTTGAGAAGGTATCAAAGGAATAAACATAAAAAGAAATGTT